ATCACTCCGATTGGTGCTAGTTTCATAGCAGATTAGGGAAGCAAACTCGCAACTGCAGCCAACCATGTGCTTAAACTACTAAAGTAAAGTCAAAAACTAAGCATGTCTCAATCGACGTCGAGCCGATTTGGGGGCAGAGCTGTAATAACTCGACTTACGATACAAGATCCGGCAACGTCAACTTGATTTCTGATCGACACGGGAGCGGATCTATCGGTACTGCCTAAGAAATACGGTCTAAGGCGAGGTAAACCAGTTGCTCTTCCAACACCCAATTTATTTGCTGCAAATGGCACACCCATACTACATACGGCACAAAACGTCTGTTGTTATCCCTTGGATTACGATGCGAATTCCCATGGACATTTGTAGTTGCAGACGTTAATTATCCCATTGTCGGCGCAGATTTTTTGAAGCACCACGATCTACTGGTTGACATAAAGCGGAATCAACTGGTAGACAACAAAACGGTCGTAGCAACAAAAGGTTCGGCAGTGAGGGGCAAGTGAGCAGCATCCGAGCCAACCGTATTACAGATGAATACAGCTTCTTGATGAGCGAATACCGTGATCTATCCACATTGAGAGATAACCATCGCACTTGCAACACGCAAATCGAACACTTCATTGAGACTACTGGCGCTCCAGCGTTTGCTCGACCACGACGTCTTTCCGGGGCTAAATTGGAGGAAGCAAAAAAGGAATTTCAATACTTATTACAAAAGGGGATCTGTCAGCCGTCAAAAAGTCCTTCGACAACCCCATTGCATATGATGTTGAAGAATGACGACACTTGCTGACCATGCGGCGATTATCGTATGTTGAATGCTCCAACAAAGCCGGACCGGTACCCGATTCCTTTCCTGCATGATGTAACAACTATCCTCCACGGCAAAAGCATTTTTTCAAAGGTTGACTTACAGAAGGCGTACCACCAGATTCCAGTGGCCGAATGTGACATACGGAGACGCGATTACTACTCCTTTTGGTTTGTTCGAATTCCGTTTCATGACTTTTGGCCTATGAAGCGCAGCCTAAACATTCCAACGATTTATCAACGCAACTTTGGCTGGGCTAAACTTTGTTTCACATACATCGACGACATGCTGATTGCTCTAAAGACGCTACAGAACATCGAGTACATCTTCAAACGGTTTTCGAGCGTCTTCGCCAAGCTGGTCTGACGGTAAATTTTGACAAGTGCGAAACAGCAACCAGCCATGTTTATTCAATCTTACTCCTGGAAATCGCAAAAACGACAATAGAAAAATTATCTGGAAGCCAGAAGACATTGCCGTATTCGAGACTTACAAAGCAGATTTAGCGCATGCTACGATACTCAACTTTATGGCGTCGGATTCACAATTAACGCTGACCACTGATTCTTCCGATACGGCAGTCGGTGCCGTCGTGCAGCAGATTGTAGAGGGCAAGATTCAACCTTTAGCATTCTATTCGAAGGCGTTAAACACAGCACAGTTAAAATACAGCACTTACGACAGAGAACTGACAGCCATCGCCCAAGCTATACAGCATTTCAAGTATGTACTCGAAGGACGTGAATTTATCATTAGAATTCATAAGTCAGTTCTTTACTGATATCCGCCAAATTGCTGGTGCAGACAATTGCGTGGCCGACACGCTTTCGCGTATTGCACAAATCGAATTTGAGGCAGCGAAGGTGGACGTGATAGCAAAAGCACAAGGTTCAGATGACGAGCTGCGCACGCTACTGGAACATCAACCCGACACTTCTTTGAAGCTATACAATACAAAACCGAAGTATTTTGCGACATATCCAAAGGTAATGTTTGATCGTTCGTTCCAGCCAGTTGCCGTAAGTTAGTAATGACAAAACTACACAATTTAGCACACGCAGGCGTAAGAGCGACACGTAAACTGATTCAAGCAGGTTTTGTCTGGCCAGGTTTAGCAAAGGACGTAGCTAAGTTTGTTAAGAACTGTATTTCATGCCAATTATCTAAAGTTCACCGTCACACCAAGTCACCTATAGGTAGTTTCGCAGGTGTAGACGAACGTTTCCAGCATGTACACATAGACATGATCGGACTACTTCCACTGTCGCAGTGTAAACGATACTGTTTGATTTACATCGACCGTTTCTCACGGTTGCCCGTGGTGGTGCCTGTATCAGATATAACTAGCGAAGTCATTGCCGGCGCCTTAATCGAAGGTTGGGTAGCGCATTATGGTGTGCCTCACACCATCACCTCCGACTTAGGACGTCAGTTCAAGTTGTGACGACTAAATTTTAGTTATTTTGTTTTGTAAAATTAAAATTGTAAAGTATCAAATAAAACTTTGATTTTATTAATAAAAAATTTACTTTGGTGCTATTTTCTTAGCCAACTTTTGCATCTCGGGATAATAGTGTTAATAGCCACAGTATAAAAGAAGTAGTTGACGGCTTTAACAGTGGTCAACTAAAAGATTTTGTACTGGTGCTCGTTCGAACGTATAAACGTGTTGACACCACAAGCAAAAGACGTGGCGCGGCTTTGGTGTCTCTTTGTCTCCGATACGTGGCAAAGTTTAAGTTGAATTGGCGATTCCTGATAATCAACGCTGGATATTGTAAGCTGCCCTGATGTACCAGAGAGGGTAAGGCTTATATATGTATAAAATACAGAAGTCAACAAATAATATGTATAAAAATCGAAATTAAACTGAAAACAAGATATTTGTGAAAAAAATGTATTCTGTAATATGCAAACATAATCTTAATTAATTATAAAGTGTAACATTAAAAATTTAATTACTTAATCCACATTTAAGGAATGTAAAAATATTACATAAAATTCTAAGTGAAATATCAAAGTAATCTTCACACGACTACGCTTAATAGAAATTCTTCTTCCCTTATATTTTTATTTAAAAACATTTTATGAGTTTTTTTTTTTATAAATTTTGTTGTATTTAAGTGAACACAAAAAAATGCATTTATAAAACGTTAAACTTAAAATATGATTAATTAATATTATTTTTTTGTAAAAAAAATTGAAATCAGTGAAATATTATTTGCTTATTATTAACTATGAGTAATTGTAAAGACATTATTTGATAAATTGTTTTTTTTTATATTTAAAATACATTTATGGTTATACATATATTACAAATTGTTCAATAAAATTGAAATCAGTTAAATATTATTTGATTATTATTATTTACGAGTAATTGTAAAGATATTATTTGATAAATTGTTTTTTTTTTTTATTTAAAATACATTGATTGTTATACATATATTACCAATTGTTTAATAAAGAAAAAAACTTGAATTCGAAAATAATTACTTTGTTACGACATCTTACTTCAACGGTAGAAACGACATTAGTTGAACGCTGGGTCCCCGCGAATAGAAATTTTCTTGTAAGACCTTGGACTAGGCTGAGAACTACCCCGGCTAGGAAAAAGTAGGTTCATTACAAAGTCAACAATCTTCCGCGAACTATCCAGACTACTGTGTATCAAACACATCCACAAGACAGCATACCACCCCCAAGCGAATGGAATGGTGGCAAGTATGCATAGGACGTTAATAGCAGCTTTGCGTTGCCACAACACTAACGACTGGACGCGTGCACTCCCATTGGTACTGCTGGGGTTGAGAACTACCCCAAAGGAAGATCTTGGTGTCAGTTCTGCTTAAATACTATACGGAAATCCTCTACATGTACAAGGACAACTATTGTCACAAAAATGCCAAAAACCAGGTGAAACCGATTTCGTTTCAACACTACGTAAAACATTGGCTCAGCTGAAGACAATCAACGGTAGCAGGCATGGACATCATCCAGTCTATGTTTCCAGCGACTTACAAACCAGTAAATTTGTCGATCGAGTAAAAAGATCGCTCGAGTAAAAGCTCCACTAGAACAGCCATATGAAGGACCTTTTTAAGTACTGCAACAAAGGGAAAAAAATTCATGATTAACAAGAGAGGGAGCAGGTGCACCGTCGCAGTAGACAGATTGAAACCAGCTTACCTCACCAGCAATGAAGACATCAGCAAGCAGCTTTCGCTACCCTCCGTAGACAATCTTGAGAAGGAAGAAGTATACGATAAGAAGGTTCCTAAACCACCAGCTGACTTTTCAAAGGTTACACGTTCTGGCCGATCAGTGTGTTTTCCAACGAAGCTGTGCGACTATCGCGAGTAGCTGCAGCAATTTCTCGACAATCGTAGCGTACCGTCATCCGAACTTCAACGCTAGGAGGAGGGTACTGTGGCAGCATGACATAAAACGACTAAAATGTAAAACACTGTGGTAGCATTACATAAAACGATTAAAACATAAAACACTGTGGCAGCATAACAAAAAAGGAGAAAAACACAAAACGACGCTTGAGAGTTTTTTGGACAGCGCTCTTTCGACGTACTTGGCTTGCATTTTCGTAGTTGTTTAAATAAAAGTATTGGCGGTAAAAATCAGCAACGAAGTCATTGAAATAAATCTGTCTAAGTGTTTAATAATAGACTAAGCAAAATCGAACACACATAGTGCAGTGCAAAGCAGGTCAGAAGTCAATTCAGAGCAGTGTTCAGTGTTCACAGTGTTTAATGGTTTAAAATTTTGTGTATAGTTAATAAATAATAAATAACATTTCCATTACACGCTCAATAGCTGACTGATTGACAACTACCATAAAAGTTCTTCTATTTCTTGTGCGTAAACGCTTTAAAAACTAATTATAAAATCACTTTTAAAAGTGATTTTAAGACTCGAGTAAACATAGTGTTTATTGTTCCACAAAAAAATCGCTCTGTTTATTATGTTATACAGCAAACGTTTTTATTAACTACCACATTTGTGTATGGAGAGAATCAACTTAAGTGGTAACTAGATAATTTTATTTTTTTTTAACAATTTGCTCGGCCAAATATCATACATTAACTTAAACCAACAATTTTTTAGTTTTTATTACAATGTTTATTACAAAATTAAAAAAAAACTATATGAATATTTCAGCTTATCATAAACACGATAATTTAATTATCTTCCCCACCGTGTAATTTAAACTCATTGGGCTGTTCAAATACGATACACCCTGTTTTATTTCTTATCCTGGAATAAAATATCGATAATTGTATGCATTAAATTGATATCTGCACAATCTTTAATGTGTATTTGCGAAAAGTGCATAGGCTGAGAATTTTTCAATTTGAATTTTAAATATTCTAACGTTTCATCAAGGATAAAAAGAAAATGTCACAAGTTGAACAAGTATAAAAAATCAGGACTACATATTTTTATATACTAAATAATACAATTTTATATGTTACATTTATAGAAGCGCGCTTTTAATAAACTCAAACACGATTTGGAGCCATGGCGTAATATAATTGTTATTTTAGACAGCATTTTGACTTGGGAGAAGACATTTTATCCGGCTACAATTTTCGGCGCCGTAAGCATTTTATTCATCACTTTGTGGTTCTTGGATTTATCAATTGTAACCATGCTAGCACTATTGGGTTAGTGTTTTTACGTACTTTCAAACTCTTATATCAAATAGAAATACTTTCCAGGTCTTTTAACTTTCGGTTTTGATTCGTTCTATCCATTTATTTCGAAATTTTTGTTTTCTCCCGATAACTGGGATGGTAAACAAGAAGCTCGATTCGAACGCGCATGCAATGAAATATGTTCCATTAAGATGTCTATTCAGAATTGCTATGAATTTCTTTTTATTGCAAAAGAACGTAGATCAACTGCAGTAAGTGTATAGAATAAGTTTTATGTGATTATATGTAATTTAAATTTATATTGCTTTATAGTATGCAATTATTTTGAGCATTGCTTTGCTTGCATTGGCTTGGATTGGTGCAGTTATCAATAACTTGTTGTTAGTATACACTTTAGTGCTCATATTAACTTTGTATCCCGGTATACGTGAGAAAGCAGTTTTTAACAATGTGAAAGAGAAATTTGGGGACGTGGTTTCTACAAAGATACAACAAATTTCTGATAAAGTTATGAAAAATGAATAAGCATTAATATATTTAAAAAAAATAAGAAAAACTCATTACTACAGTTAAGTCATCAATTTCGTATTTATTTTATTCTTTATACTACATATATATTTAAATACTTAAAAGATAAGTTATGCACATATTTTATTTATGAAATCTAACATTGACCAAAGTCTCATTAAATTAATTTAATCACGTAAATCTGATATAAATTTATATATTGATTTATTACCAATATATTAAAATAGTCTTAAGACATATGCCATTAAAGAATCTTATATAGTGCTGAATGTAATTATTTCAGCAAACTAAGTTGATAATTATAATAAACTAATCTCATATTAGTCACAAATTTATTGTTTATGTTAAAATTTAATTAAGTAGTATATATGTGTGATTTATTTAAACTTGGATTAAGAATATGCTTAGCATAAGATTCTAAACATATAAAGCATCTGTCATAATATCATACCATGTGTGTCATTATATTATGCCTACAAATCTTAAAATGATTGAACAGAATTAAATTGCGTTAATAAAAAATAATAAATGCATTTTTTTGGTAGATATATTACTATTGTAAGTATAAAGATCTTCAAAACATTTTCAAATTATATTATCGTAAAAAATTTACTTAATTTATAAAAGCGTTTACCAGCAAATTGTATGAAATATTCTAATAAATAATTATGTCGCTTTAAAAATATATTATTATTTTTTACTGCTCAAATTTTAGTTTTCGTATTTATAAAAATAAGTTTTGAGTTCGCTGAACGATAATTAAAATTACCGCAAGATGAAAAATAGAATTGATAATTTTTCTTAGTAGATTGTTTGAGTTGAATTCAAGATTTCCCTTAATGTTAATTTTCTCACCAATATTTGAGCAAAGTAAATATTACTGAAACAAAATATCTAATAAAGATAGGACCATTTATTTTTGTTGTAAACCTTTTATTAGAGACAAAGACGTTTAGAATAAAAACATATCACTTAAGTTATGATCTGCACCTTGACCGTGATCTTGAATGTCGTTCTTTTTTGCTTTTTTTCGATTTTTTATGAAACTTTTTGGAGCGTTCGTTGCCTGAGTCAGTCGTTGTCGAGGAGCTATATCTATCACGTTTTCTACTTTTTGATTTAGCTTTATTTTTCTTTTGTTTACATTTTTTATTATACCTGCTTCGTTCAGGTGAAGTATCAGAACTCATTTTATGTTCGTTACATCGAATCTCTTGGTTACTGTTACTTATATCATAGTAATGAGTATTTCTTTTTGGCGATCGCGATTTATATCTCTGCTTATATTCTCTACGATTTTTTTCAAAACTGTGTGTATTCTTACTATGCATTGACTCTTCGTAAGTACAACTTTTTTTTGATGATGACGGTTTATGATGCATTTTATTATCTATATGACCGCTATGCCGTTCAGTTTTGTAGCTTTTCATTACCTCTCTGTCGTCATTATATTCTTTTTTATGTTCTTTTGCATCTATTTTTTTGTATATATTATTTAATTTTGTTTTATAATTTACATCATCATCTTGCGTTTTTTTTTTTAACTCTAACTGTTCTTGTTCACTTTCTAACGTTTTATATCTTTCATATTTAGCAGTATCTGCAATGATATAAAATTTCACTTACAACATTCAAATAATAAAAATTTCTAAACATACTTATGCACTTCCCGTATTCAGCGTACTCCTTTTTAGATACAGGTTGACATAAAAATTCATTAAAAGCTTCCTTCGTTCCACCAATTGCTAGTTTTACAATTACTCTTCCAGCGTGATCATCAAAACCTTCGATTTGACCGTACATATCTTTATATTTACCACCTAATATTCTGACATATGCCTGTTTCTTAATGACAAGAATTTCATTTTTCTCAGGCTCTACTAATAATGGCTTCACTTTCAATGCTTTATCAGCGCCTAAGCCCATACCTTTTGGTCGAACAAATGGTGTGTCATCTGCGGGTTTATTATCATCTTTTTTAGGAGGATCTTTCCATCCCATTCCACGAAGCAACGCAAACCCAAATTGTTGAACTGGCACGGACTCGTAATCTTCAATCGTCGATTCTTTAGCACCATCTAAAGGCAAATCATTTGCTGTTATGATTTGTAATATATTTTTATTTTCTTGTACATTAAATTTCGATTTTGATTCAGAGAGTAACTCTCTGGCAGCTCTCTTATCCAAATTTTCTTCCGTGGTAAATTCCGTTACACCCGACATGATTTCCTTAACATCGTCTTTACTTTGTTTTACATTAGGTTCATCTTCGTCCAAAAGAACAGCACGCCGCTTTAATAAACTTGCTAATGCATTGCTCGTTTTTTGACATTCCTTTATTGGAATTACCAAAGGCAAATTATCCACTTTTTCACTATAAAAAAAAATTGAAATGTATATATTATGTTAATTCAGTAGTTAAAAATTTGCAATCATATTTTTTATATACTCACTTAATTAGTTTTATTTGTTTTCCCTCTAAACATTTTATTAATTCGATATTATGAGATGTACTTTTAATTTTATTATTTCTCAACAAATTTGACTTTTTATCTGTTTTAGCAAAACCAAATGATACTTTCTGTGAATCCATCTTTATTCGACGCTACAAATTATTTTCTGAAATATAATTGCCTTAATATTGTTCATTCATATCTGTTCAATTTAAACATATGTTTTTAACAGTGTTGCAAAAAATTTGATTTTGTTGGGTTTATTTACTTAACATATATTATGAGAAATGTGCACATTATAATTGAATAAAATAATACGGTATTCTTTGCATGGCATTATTAGATATTCAGACATGCAACCCTGTTGAAAAGTTACCAACACATTTTATTTTATTTTGTTTAAGCAGAAGTCTATAGCGAAAATACTTTATTCTACAAATAATGGGCAAAACATCTAAGGATAAAAGAGATATATATTATCGTTTAGCTAAGGAAGAAGGCTGGCGAGCGAGAAGTGCTTTTAAATTGTTACAAATTGATGAGAAGTTTAATATATTAAAAGGTATATACTGCCGTAAATTTTATATTCTAATTCCTATAGCAAGTTTTTAACAAATATCTAAATGATATATTATAATCATACAGATGTTACTCGCGCGGTCGATCTTTGTGCTGCACCTGGTTCATGGTCTCAAGTTTTGTCCAAACGCCTTTATGAAAATCGCACCGATGAAAAAAATGTTAAAATAATAGCTGTTGACTTGCAAGCAATGGCACCTTTAGCGGGCGTCACACAATTGCAGGGTGACATTACAAAACTTAGTACAGCGTATGCTATAATTGATCATTTCGGTGGCTCAGAACAGAAAGCTGAGTTAGTAATTTGCGATGGTGCACCTGATGTAACAGGACTTCATGACATAGATGAATATATACAAAGTCAGCTCTTATTAGCAGCACTGAGCATAACAACACATATTTTAATGCCTGGTGGGGTTTTTGTAGCAAAGATATTCCGCGGAAAAGATACGAGTTTGTTATACTCTCAGTTACGTATATTTTTCGAAAAGGTATCTATTGCAAAACCGGCAAGCTCTAGAAATTCTAGTATTGAAGCTTTCGTAGTTTGCCAAAATTATCATTGTCCAAAGGGATACGTACCACAAATGATAAATTCAATGACAGACGATATTCAAGATTTGTTAAACGCTACTGAATCCGTTGTAAATCGAGAAATTATACCGTTTGTAGTTTGTGGAGATTTAAGAGGCTTTGATTCTGATATGTCATATAGTTTAAACGTAAGTCAAAATACTCATATACGCATAGGGTTTTTTAAGTTTTTTCTATTTTTAGCTAAACGAAGATGAAAAGTACACTTATCATGAAGTAATCCAAAAGCCCATTTCCCCCGCTTATAATGAAATATTGGAAAAATTAAAAAACTGTTCGATTAAGCATTCTGCTATAACAGTGCAACACAAATCGAATGACAAAATATGAAATACCTAAAACTATCAAATCTAAAATTTTTTTATTTCAATTTATTGTAAAATTTTTTTAATGTTAAATTTCAAATTTTATATAAATACAGCTATTATTTACTTGTTGGTTTCGCGCCAAACTTATAAACCTTTTGACCTTCTGGGAAATCAGGCAATAAGTTGTTGAAATTTTCCACTTGATGAATTTGAGTTTCAGTCCATATACCATCTCCCGTAAAATGAAATTCACACTCAATAAAGTATAGTACTAAACTAAGTAATTTGCACTTGTCTATATCCAATATATTTAAATGCATCTCGGCAAGAAATTGGGGGCATTTTAACTGACTTAATTTTTCCTCGATTAATTGACTTTAATAAAATAAATTAATATTTGTGATAAATATTTAAGGATCATACTTACATTGGATAAAATAGTAAATGAACATTTTTGTATATCTGTTCATTAGAGAATTTCTTTTTTGTTAAACATTCGTATGTGCGTTGAATATGTATAACTGGAATATGACACCAATTTGGATGTCTTGACAGTAAATTGCGTAAAGTATTTCCATCTTTTTTTAAAATGTTTGAAAGAAAAATTATAATATCACGACCTTTAGTCCGATCAGAACCTTCTCTGGCAAATCTTTACATAAATATAAAGCATTTATTAAAATATGTTTACTAATATGCCAATAAAACCCATACTTAACGAATGCATCTGAACCACAAGACAATATATGCAAAGATGCACAACGCACTTTCAAATGTTCGAGATATTCCAAACGTAATCTTGCTTTATTTTGATAATGAACTAAACGTAAAACACGAGGATTAGTGGCCAAAACCTTAAACTCATCAATTTCATGTAAGTCCCGCAATCTTCCCAAAATAGTGTCTGGACTTAATGTTAACAATTCTAAGCAACGTAAAATTGCATTCTCTTTAATACCAAATTTTTTAACATGTTCCATGCTTGTCAACAAGGCGTCACACGTAGACATTAGTATTTTTGGTCGTCGATAAACAATTTCTCGAATATCTATTCCATCTATCGTTTTTATTTCTGTAATTATGCGTTTTATATTTTCTGGCTCAGCATACAACAAATAACCATTTTTTATAATACGTTCCCTTGGAAAAAGAAGATCGTTTTCCAAAAAATCTACAACTTTTTGTACTGATTGAAAACTTTTATGCCGTACACGAGAATAAGTCGTCCAGTGTTTTTCGAGATCTTTCTCGTTCATACCTAAACGTTGTCTTAAATAACAATTTAAAATATTTTGCCGTAAAACCTTAAGCTCGACAGTATCATCACTTTTTAAGTTCTTTGGAGTTTGTAAATCCATACTAGCAAATTGATGTTTTAACTGTGTTAGCATTGATATATTCTGAGGTATATAATTATACATTTTTAATACCGACAGCCTTTTGTTCATAATTGTTACATATTTTGATAATATTGATATGTTTATTGAGCTAAAGCCGCATTCAGTTAGAACGCTATAACGATTTTCTATGGTAGTTGCATTATAATGTAAAATCATTGGTTTAGCTAAAATGTCAGCTATTGTATAATTATGCGCTTTAAGTGCATTTGCAGAATTGATTACATCTTTTCTTTTTGCTGATTTTAGTTCTGGATATTTTTCTAATATAGTTTGCCACTTACGATGAGACGATCCTAACATTATATAAACAAAATAGTATTCAAAATAGTAAGAAATAATAGCTGTTATTATTACCAATATTATGTGCTAGAAAAAACGGGTTGATAGACGGTATTTCATTTAAAATTTCATCATTTAAAAAAACCGGATTTGTTCTATATGTTGAAACAGTTTTACAAAGAGTAGAAAAGTATGTGGTAAGCAGCTTAACTCCTTCTTGACCTCTACTTATCAACATCTTTTTCAATTATAAATTTGTTAAATTATTTACTTTAGTTTATACATAAATTTTTCAAAATGTTAACATATTTACTGGGTAATCAAAATCAGCTGTAGAAAAATTGCAACTTTTTAAAATGTCATGCAAGATTGACATATTGATTGTAACTTTGCCTAGACTAGACGAGATATTTATGTTGAAAGGAAGTATTATTTTAAAAATTGAGGATTTAGCAAAAATCTTGTGTGACTGTGGCTAATGTCTAGTTTAGTCTATTATAATTTAAATTTTATGGAGAAGTTTCGAAAGGTGGTGATCTATAACAACAAAAATTCTTTTTTATGTTATTTCATTTCAATAATTATTTTTTTGCTGACCATATAGGTGTTTTGAGTATTGCCAAATACTCATCATCAGTGGTCTTAGAATTATTTCTTATATTTAATTATTTGTAAATAATTTTTTTGGGCTGCAAGTACCAAAAATTTAACTTTTGCTCTGCAAAATTTAAAATTAAATTCGGCAAAGCAGTGTTGTTCAGCAATAAATGTTAGAATTTGCCCCTTTTAGAAGCAAATTACTACAATTTCGATAAGTTTTAGAGAAAAAATGCCAGTAAGCAACACAGCCTATTTTATAATCCGTTAATAATCTAATTCTTATAATAATAAGAATAATCTAACTTAACTAATTTTATTATTAAAATTGAAATAATATGTTGTCTGTTACAAACAACATATTATTAAAAGGATACAGGTCCGAAGTCCCTGCACTTCGGATTTTTCCTTCAATTGTCTTTACAAATATATTTTTATTATCATAATTAGATACGGTGCCTTGAGTTTATAATCAATAATACAATTTTATCTTATAAAAGCATTTAAAAACATAATGGAATTTTCCTTTAAATACTTAAATGATCAACAATGTCCTTTAAAAAGGACATCCGGTACAGATAACAAGGTTTAGGATATTTATCATTCAAAATAAGCAACATTTAAAACCGTTTTTGTTGCTTGTCTATTGGTTTGTAAAATGGCATTTACACTGGCCTCAAATGGCTCATTTTGCTCAAAAATCGAAAATGAGAAGCAAATGGCTCATTCTTGCAATTTCAAGCGCGAGTGTATTCCAACGAGGTTCGAATGCATTCCAAATATATTCCAAATGCAAAGGAATACATTGAACATATCCTTCATAAAAGCTTTTCATGACATTTTAACAGTTTGAGAAAGCCGTTTTTGGCATATTTACAAAAAAATGTAAACAAATGTATGCTGGTTGCATTTGCTTGAAAACGATGCACCTCTTTTTAGAACTTCTACTTTCCAAAAAGTAATTAATCAAAGTTAAAATTATATTTTTAATTTATATTAGCTGCATTTCAGCAAACCTGATCCGCTCAATGATCTGAATCATCTTTGCTGAAACGATACGGATCACGTTTGAAAATAATTGGCAACGCATGAAATATGCCAGTTGGGTTTGTGTACAAAATTTTTTGATTTATGTGAATAATTTTGGCGCTAAAAAAAAAAGTGAGAAAATTTTGAATACAAAAAATCTAAAACTTGGAAAATAAATAAAATCTGTTGAAATCTCTGAAGTATGAAATGTAAGTTTTTATTTAGTTTTTACTTAAAAACTTAAATTTAATTCTATAGTAAATAAATGGAAATTGCAGATTTTATTAGAATTATCGAGCGAAACTGACTCTTCCATTCCATTTTTAAATACTAGTTCAAGTGTATTAAGCTCAAGGGATGAAGTGCATCAGCATGGATATAGTGGAAGTTTTGTGGAAACGATCAATAATTTTTCCGTTAAAGATTATTTGATTGGTATTTGCGCATAAAAAATACAATGGTTATATATTAATTATGTTTCATATTTTAATAGATTTGTTAATAAATTCCAATCAGCGAATACAAAACAACCGTGATGATCACAATCGGACGAGAGCAATGAAAGAATTTTATATATTTTTGTGGTATATGGCAAATATGAATACTTTTTGCGAATTTGGTATTTGTTTTGGCATACCAAGAGCTTCTGTATGGAGAATAATTGAAAGAACTAGTGTTTAGCTTATATCAATTGCAAAATTTCCATTCGTGATTGACAGCACACATGTTAAAATAAATGCACCTCACCTTAGCAATTAGGCTTATTTCAAAAGGAAGCATGAATATAGCTTAAACTTGCAAGCAGTTTTCAATGGTTTTTTTTATAAACGTGTATGTTGGAGAGCCTGTTTCCTTATGTATTGTTCTGTTTTAATTAAATAAATGTATTCAACTTAATGTTTATATATTCATTTCAAATTAATTGATTTTCATAAATTATCAAACAACACTTTTTTAATAATAATAAAACGTAAATAATTAAAGTAATAATTTTAATTAATTTTAATAATTTTAATTTATAGTAATAGTAATAATTAAAACATTACTTCAAACAAAGAAATAAATAATAATGACATATAAAATAAATAAGTACATAAAATAAATAATAAATAAATAAAATCAATAATAAATAAATATAAATGTAGATTTGTTTATAATTTTACTACACCGTTGCATCGCATTGCCAACCTCATTTGCATTAAAATACGTTCCACTTTTATCTTTTACATACATTCCACATTGAACCAGAAAGTGAACCAGATCAATTGCTGGTTCACCCCATTGTTTTTGTTTTGCATGTAAAATTGAGCGGATCATGTTTGCTGAAACACAGCTATTGTAAGGTTTGAAGGTATATTTAACCTCCATGCAACGTTTTTTTGACACAGGCTAAAAATCAAAATAACAGACAAGTTGAAAAATCAGTTGTTTGAAATGAGAACAAATGAATTACAACGAATTTAAACACTTTCAAATGGCTCATTCGAAATGAGTCATTTTCGGCCAATCTAAACGCCATATAAGACAACCTTAAATTGATAAATATGTGGAATATGGAATAAATAAATATGATATATAATGCCCGCTTTACACATAATACTTGCGGCACGTTTATGTAACTTTTTCACTTCGTTTTCTCAAACGATTTTCTCATTTTTGATAATTAATTACTCGCAATGTTTGTCACAACTGAGAAAAAGCGTTGAAGTACGAAAGTTGTGCTGTCTCATGTGTAATAACAATATTTGCAAGAATGACGAGGCAAACTGATGGAAATCAAAATATTTTGATTTTTCGTCAATCTTGCTCGTTTTTTTCGTATACAATCGGATTTTTGTCGGATTCCACGCAAATTTAATTCTTTTTAAATTTATGAAAGCGAAAACATCGTTTAAATGCACTCATGATTAATTTATTTTTTAGTATATCTGTTGTATTTTTTACTGAAATAATAGTTCCGTTTCAGCAAACAATGATTTGCTCAATTTACATGCAAAACAATTGCAATGGGATGAACCAGCAATTGATCTGGTTCATATTCTCGTTCAATGTGGAATGTATGTATAAAATTAAAGTGGGACGTTTTTATGCAAAATGTCATTGGTAACGCTATTTTAACATATTATACTGTGCAATAAAAAATATAAATAACACAACAGGTGAAAATATAGAGCCTGACAAAAAAGGTAGCACTTCATATTTTATTTTTAAAATGATTAATTATTCTGCAAATTTAAATCATGAAATTCCTATTATTTCTATGCTGATACACTTTATCCCTTGAGCTTAATACATTCCAAGTTATGTTTAAAAACGGAGTGAAAGAGTCTGTTTCAATGTCGTTCGATAATCTGCAATTTTCATTTATTTACTACAGAATTTAAGTTGTTTTAAAGTAAATAATAAACAAAAACTTATATTTAATAATTTAGACATTTTAGCAGATTATAAATTTGGTTATATATATTTTTTATACACAAAATTTTATCAATTATTCTTTTAGCGCCAAAATTATTCATACAAATCAAAATAAAATTTTGTAAACAAACACAGCTGACATATATAATGCGTTGCCAATTACTTTCACATGTGATCAATATAATTTCAGCAAAGAAAATTCAAATCCTTGTTTGGTGCAAACTCAAGATTTACAAATGCCAGATCAAATCGTTAATTTCCGTTTCATACCACTCGAGTGTGAATACGTAAAAGTAGTTTATAAAGAAAAAAACAGTTATACCCATTTATAGTCGAATTTTGTGAGTGTTCTCTGAGTGTTAAAATTATTATGCGTAGCAGTCATCTGATCCATGTACACGAGATTTTGTGGAAATTTCATACTTCGGCGTACTATGGTAAGCATGATGTCTGATACCGGTTAAGTTATATTTACCCAGTGTATGAAGTTTAAGTTTGCTGTACTACCGTTTGAAACGTGTATACTTTTTTAAGAACAATCATTCATGGTTATGTGTCAAATTTTTTTAACTGCTTCATGTACTTGCTGTTGTCGAATATATTTGAATTTCAGAAAGAGTGAAACACAAAATTATATACAAAGAAATACTAGAACACATAATTGTAAAGTATTGGTAAAATTGTGGAAATTTTTTTTCAATTACAAACACGATTTTATCTTTTTGTACTGTTCTTATTTTTCATAATTAAATAATTTGCTAAAGATTTTTTTTAAATAGTTAAATCTACGAGTCATTATGTCATTGCTAAAACTTTTTTCAAATAATTTACTAATAAAAACAATGCAATTGAAAGAATACATAAAAAAAAACCATTTCGTCGAAGTTATTGGATCAAATCATATCTGCAAAAACAAAGTGATTGGAAAGCACATTTACTAAAAGAATTGCTATAGAATAAAAATAAAACTGATATGCGAAATTTTACTTATATGAATGTTTCGCAATTTGAAGGTATTTTGTATTGTAAGTTATAAATTCTTTACATAATTTGCAAAGACAATAAAAAAAATTTCAAAAAAACGTTTATAATTCTTTACATATTTCATTCTTTCTTTACATTTTCTTTATGCGTGCCGCCGTTCCTGTAAAATTGAAGTTAACAATTGCACTGTGCTACTTGGACACTGAAAACGCTTAGTATGTCATGAAGAATTATCAAAAGTTTCCAAAAGGACCATTGATATTATGTGTCTGAGGTGCTAAAAACATAATTTTAGAGACTCAAGCAAAACTATCTAAAGGTGAGTATACTTATGTAGACATTTTAAAAATGCATTGTTATCTGCATAAAATCGCTTTTTCTAAAATAAATATCTAGCACTTTTTAAATTAAAACAATTATTTCAAATTATTATAATTGAATTTTAATTATTTATGGAAGGCACATTCGATTTAATTTGATTAATATCGGTTCAAATGAAAAGAAGCATATGACAGAACTACATACTTCGACAGTTATTTACAAAATGAAATAAAAAACCGAACTAAATATACGCAACAATAGAACAATAATACCCGGTCAAGCAGTCTATATACCTTTTTTAATCAACTAGCTGATGATACCAATGCCAGATGATTACAAACACAATTATCAGTTGCTGGAAACTTTTTCTAACATTGAATTTCAGGACACCATCTTATATATATGTATGTATACTCAATCAGATATGAATTGGCAAATTATTGTGAAATTAATTAATAATAAATAATCGATGATATATGCATTATAATATACGTAGTTAAATCATTGTTTCCATAGTTATACTATTATTGTATAACTGTAGTATATTATAATATATACATATATTTTACATGTTTTTGACTTTACCAAACAATCAGCAATTTAGTAAAATAAAACCAAGCTTATTTTCCTCGACACTTGTTTCTATACACCGACTTATTATTAACGCATCCAAAAAAGTGATATCGGAAAACCAGTGTATAGAGTGTGTCACATAGTATATAAAAACTTATTGTATTTTGAATTTTCTTTTTACATTCTTCACCCATTTAAGGTACAATTTCTTCAAGCAGAAGATTTTTTAAATCATTAGAGCGGTAGTTTTGACTGTTTGAATTCGGCAGTAATTCTTACAATTTATCCTTCTTAGAAAATAAATTACTGTTTCCGTAAACTATGTATTATCTTTTTTCAAACAAACAAGCCAAAATCATATAGAACACAGTACTATTTAGCTATTCGAAAAAAAATAATTGAAATAGATAAAAGCATGGATTGCATTATAAATCTGAACCTAAATATTACATAGTTACCACAATGCCATATGATTAATTTATTTCCTTGTTCGAACTTTTGCGCTTACTTTTTACATAAAAATTTCCCAGTAAATTTTTAAAAAAGTGTAAGCAAATTAGTTCTAACTTACTAAAAACTTGATCTCCTGTATCAATAACTGACCATAATTAAAATTATGTGTTTATAATATTTATTTAGTAACATAGTAATTGTGTCTATATAGTATATTAGCTTATCGTGGAAAGCTGTTAATTATTATAAATAGTATCATCCCAATATTTTTTTCACCTTTGATTGTAAAGCACAATTAACATTTAAATTGGGGCATTATGTATCTTAATTGAAAAGTTTAATGATTTTGTGGACAAATATATCACTTAATTCATCTTCGTAATAGATACCACACTCATCTTAAGATCTAACAAATAGAAACTTAAAAAATTATTATAGTAACATCATAAAATGTGACAAAATGATGCACCATAACAAATAACGTACTTTTATCATTATAACAATGTTTCTACTTATATACCAATAACGCTGGCTATTGAAAAAAAATATACGTATTCTTAAACATTGCACCAGACATATGTATAACGTCATTATTTTTATTTTATAAAAAATTGTATAAAAATAGATTTTTAAAAATTAGTAAACTCGATTTCAAATCCATCACCATAATAGTCAAACTTTAAGTTTGGTACAATTTTTATTTAATTTTTCACAGGAAACGACGGCACCCAACCTCCAAATACGCGTTCCAATTCTTCTGCAACAGATAAACACAATCTGTCGTTCATTTCATTTGCAACTACTTGTATTCCTAAAGGCATGCCACTATTATCAATACCCATTGGTACTTGAGTGACAGGAACATGTAATACATTGAAAATAGCAAAGTAATAGAAGTCTGTAAACTTAACAAGTGGATAATAATGAAAGGGCGCAGTGCGCGGCGAACTATGATAAAATAGGACTCCATTTTCACCTAATATTTCCTTCAAAGCTTCTTTACATTTGATTGTAGCTTCTTTAATGAAACTTTCTTTTTCTTGTGGTAATATGCCATCTATAAGACCAAAAATTGCAGCCATCGAAAATTGACTTCTACCAATTAACTTTTTAAATAGCTCGACAAAAGGGTTTAGCTTAACTCCATTTCCAAGTAGCAAAGAAAAATTTGCTGGTTCCTGTGTCATCCAATATCGCCACATTTTACCACTAATTTCTGAACCTGGTAGTTTAATACATTTTACTTCCTTTCCAGTTAATGACTTAAAATGATTCCGTATTTTTAACATAGTCATTTTAGTTTCATCATTAATGGGATTGCACTGCGGCATATCGTTACATGGTATATAAAAGTAATTTAATTTTTTGAGGTCAACTTTTTCATTTAGTTTAAGTATATCACACATTTTCGGGCCAGCTATTACTTTTAAGATTGGTAATAAATCAGTTGCGTATTTGGACATGGGACCAGCAACTACCATAGTTTCCTTTTCATTTCCTGTACGGAATGTACAACCGCGCATATTTACAACATTCTTTGTTGTTTTATGACCAAAGATCCCACAGTTGAATGCAGGTATTCTAATGGAACCACCAATATCAGTTCCTAAGCCGAACGCTGTGCAGCACGATGTAATAAGCGCACCCTCCCCACCAGAAGAGCCACCACAAGATCTCCTTAAATCATAGGGATTATTGGTATTTCCAATTAACATGTTCCTGGTCTCCATCCATTTATTTACTTCTGGTACATTACTAGTAGCAATAATGATTGCACCACTTTCTTTCATTAACCTAATACATTCCGCATCGTCTTTGGCACGGATATCTTTTCGTGATACTAAACCTAATGTATGTAGCTTGGTGGCAACTGCGGTACTATCTTTTGTTGTAAATGGTACACCTAAAAACGGTTTTTGAATAAGTTCCTGTTCACTTATATCGCCTTTTGCAAATCGAACATCTATTGCTTTAGCCTGCTCCAATGCTTCTGGAAAAGGACCATCCACAACGGCATTTATTTGTGGATTCAATGTTTTTATACGCTCCAAAAACACCTTTACCACTTCATATGACGTTAATTCACGCTCTCGGATGAGTTTTGCTAATTCAACTGCACTTTTCAATACTATTTTTTCTTCACCGGGAGTTAAAGTTGAAGATAAGTGTTTACGTGGACCTAAATACCAACCAAGCAAAAATTCTAACAATTTATCAACAATTATATGTACAATTACTAATAATATGTCCAAAATTGGTTTTAATTGTAATGATAAAGCCATTGCTAGATTAATTTAAATTTAATAATTATTCAAATTATTTCGAATTGCATTACAGCAACAGAGCTCTTCTTTATACTATAAAAAGTGAACTACTGCTTTGCAAATTTTGATGGTTAATGATATTCGAACTTTCGAATTTTAAATTAACCAGAGTTTACACGTGTCAGTTTAATATTTAAAAATTTTAATTTACAACCTTAAATATAATTAGGGCATAAAAATGGTAAAGAACCTGATAAATTTTTGAAAGTTCTTAACATATAACACCTTTTTATGATGTTTATTTAGCAACCTTAATTCGTGCAAATTGTTAACATGTTGAAAGATATGCTAATTTTCGAAATTTTTAAATTCAATCTGTTAAACTAGAATGAGCTTCGCTCTTGTTACAAAATCTGCAATCATGTTTCTGTTTAGCATTTTAGCACATGTTTGGCATGCCAAAAAGAAATAAATGAACAATACAATAAAGCATAGAAGAGTAATATAAAAAATGAATCGATTTGTACAAAATGTTTATTTGATATATTTAAAAAAAACGTTTATCAAGCATTTTTTTTAAATTTAATAATTTAATCAGTTAGCAATTTAATGAAAATAAAAATCATACTTAAACAATTTTCAAACAAATATTAATTGAAGTTATTGATTATACTAAGGGCCATGTTATGCAGAGTGTCTCGGGCACGACATGAGTACAATTGTTGTTGTTTTCAATGCAAATTTTAAATTTGAGAATGAGAGAAAAAACAATATGGCCGTTCAAACTCCGGCATGAGAGCCGGCGTATTTTTGCCCCGGCACTAAGGCAAAACAGTGTTGTTTAGTAATAAATTTTAAAATTTGCGCCTTTTAGGAGCAAACTACTACAATTCTAGTACGTTTTGGAGAAAAAATAGCAGTAAGCAACACAGCATTTTTTTTATAAATCGCTAATAATATAATTATTACACTTTCCGATTTTAAAAAAACGCGTAAAAACTGTTAACAATTATTATAAGATAATATAATAATAAATTAACATTATTACAGCCTCTATGAGTTTTTTCATGCGAGTTATTTTTGGTGGCAAATTGAAAGTGAGCATATCTAAATTTCCTTTTAAATTTAGGCACAACCAAGAAGTAGTAAAAATACAAAATTGGCAATACTGATATGACACTCTGCATAACATGCATTTTCGGCATAGCCCGAAAGAGCTTAATTTGCCGTGCCCATAGACACTCTGCATAACATGGCCCTAAGGGCCATGTTATGCAGAGTGTCTCGGGCACGGCATGAGTACAATTGTTGTTGTTTTCAATGCAAATTTTAAATTTGAGAATGAGAGAAAAAACAATATGACCGTTCAAACTCCGGCATGAGAGCCGGCGTATTTTTGCCCCGGCACTAAGGCAAAACAGTGTTGTTTAGTAATAAATTTCAAAATTTGCGCCTTTTAGGAGCAAACTACTACAATTCTAGTACGTTTTGGAGAAAAAATGGCAGTAAGCAACACAGCATTTTTTTTATAAATCGCTAATAATATAATTATTACACTTTCCGATTTTAAAGAAACGCGTAAGTACTGTTAACAATTATTATAAGATAATATAATAATAAATTAACATTGTTACAGCATCTATGGGTTTTTTCATGCGAGTTATTTTTGGTGGCAAATTGAGAGTAAGCATATCTAAATTTCCTTTTAAATTTAGGCACAACCAAGAAGTAGTGAAAATACAAAATTAGCAATACTGATGTGACACTCTGCATAACATGCATTTTCGGCATAGCCCGAAAGAGCGTAATTTGCCGTGCCCGAGACACTCTGCATAACATGGCCCTAAATAAAAAATTATTCAATTAAGTTTTCCATTTCCATTTTACTAGTAATTTTAACTTTAATTTAGTGCTAATTCTAATCCTTATTATAATGCTAATTCATTCAGGGAGAGACCCGCGGAGGGTCCATTCCGCAACTGTGCAAACTGAATTGTACATAAAAATTTGCTTACATTTTGATTTTGTTATTCCTCAACTGTGAATAGTGAGTTTTATTTGTCAAAAAGTGTATACTTTTGTCAAATTTTCTTCACCGTATATTTGGTCGAGAGTTTTAAAAACAAGAGAAAATTTTGTGCAAAATTAAATATAAACTTGTATCATTATTTTTTTATAGGTTTTAAAAATGGAAAAACGTAAAAAACTGATATACCAGAATGCTATCATGTTATATATGATATTGGGGGTCGATAAAACCAAAACTGTGAAAAAATTTTGTATACACGCAAACGAAAAATTCATTTCTCATCGTGCTGAATGTATTTTTGACAGCTGTCATTGAAGAAATTTGTATTTACATTGAATAAAATCAGTTATTGAAAATAAATAAGTAAACAAAATAGCAGACATTATACTAATTATTATGCAATTTTATAATAATTATTAAAAATTTTTATTTTATATTTTTATAATTTTTTTGCAATTATAACATAAGTTTCAAAATTTTACTATCGTTAGAAAATTCTATATTAATATTTGAGAACAAATTTTTGCTTCTTTTGCTTTTTCATTTTTAAAACCTATAAAAACATAATACAAAACTATATTTAATTTTACCCAAAATTTCCTATTATTTTAAAAACGCACGGTCAAATTTACAGTGAATAAAATTTGACAAAAGTGTATACTTTTTGACAGAAAAATTCATTGTTCACAGTTAAGGAATAGCAAAATCAAAATGTAAGCAAATTTATATGTACACTTTAATATGCAGAGTAGAAAAATAGACCACCTGCTGTGTTCAAGAATTTATCTACAGAAAGAGCAATTCAAAAAGCAACGCATCTTTAATATAATAATATTTCTACTACTTTTTTACTGCAATGTTTTCTTGATATACCATACTGGAAACATGTCAAAATTCGATGTTATTATCGATCTCAGCGGCAGAAACATTGTTTCGCATAAATTCCGTTTAGTAAATTTCTCCTACTAAACTATATGAGTGAAAAAATCTGAGTGTGCATTTACGGATTTAATGTTATTATTTAAAAAACGATTTTTAAATTTTTTTATTATATTTAAATATTTGGTAAGTTTCATTGATTAATTATTAAAAGTTGTAGGCTTATGTTGTCATCTTCAGATATAATTTTTAATTAAATGTTAGGCCGAAAGATTTTAAATTTGAAGTGTTAAAAAAATACAGTGAAACAAAATTTTTTTTTTTTATTTATTTACATTTTGCATTCACTGCAAAAATTGTTTAATAAATGTCTGCATACTAATTTGTTTATTTATATTATTTGCTTATATGGTATGATTTTAGTTCATGCATTTTTAAATATGAGTTGCCATATTTCTTTTAAAATTATTTCGATTTAACCGTTGAAAAACAAAATATTTCTTTACCGCAATAAAAGTATAAATGCTTGCGTCATAATACTTTGAAAACAATTGTAAAATTATATTTCAATTCATACAATTATCTGCTCAGTAAAAACTAGTTACTTATGTAGTTTCAATTGGATGTAATATGAAGAAAGCTTTACTTTTAAGCTTGTAGCGCTTGCTATTTGTACGCATTAAAATTCGCTGAAAACATGCACTTATACGGTTTTTATTGTAATTTGCAATATGTACTATAAAAGCTTGATCTTTGCCCCGTTTTAGGACTTATAAGCATTGAACGAATATTTTATATTCACATTATTTTGTTATTGATCTTGTGTACTTAGTTTAACAATGCATTGAATATTTGATTTAAGTTACATGACAAATATTATGTTTAAAATGTTGAGAGGTGTACTTGCTGTCTATTTTGAGTATGATATTAATAACTATTGCTTTAAAACTACTCTATAAATTTTTTTTATCTTTTACTTTTGAAGTGAAAGAGCGATAAGTGCTCGTTACTTAAATACATATCTAAACGCGTTTATATATAGCTAATGTGCGCGTGCTAATATCTTGTAGATTAATAGTTAAGACGGTGAATGTTTTGTAAACAATAGTAACGAAACATGTGCTAGCCTACGACATTTTCGATGCTATAGGCATGAATAGTAGTCATACTATTTCATAAATACTGTTACTACTGTTATCAATATTAATTAATCGAGAGTGTACGTTCCACACACAATTAGTTACTTTCAAAGCAAATATTTTAAAAAAATTGTTACGATACTGAGTCAGCACGTTATTTTATTTAGCTTAACAAATGCATACATAAAAAGTTTAATAAGTATCGAAAAACATAACGAATTATGCTCAAAAAACAATAGTGCAATTTGTATATAAATTACATGTTAATAAAATAAATAAAGTAAAACATTATATGTATGTTAAAGTAAATAATTGAATTCTATATATATATATTTTGTTAAAGATATTTTAAAAGTTAAAAATGAAATCGGAACCGCCAACGTTAACGTCAATGTTATTGACTTCACCGGTAACAGCATTGAATGGAGGTAGCAATATATATAATACGCCAGTAATAAAAGAATCTACATCAAGTAGCTCTCATTATATATCAAATTTTGAGAATATCTTAGCGCCTGGAAATGAACCTTCCATGACAAAAGAATATAAGCCAAAAGTTGCTTATAAATTCGAAAAATATCTTAATCCTCATAAACTGAAACTGCACGTGTTAAAAAGCGAAAAGGTATGTAAAATTATTGAGCATTATGCGATTCAAAACAAATGCTCCCCAGAAGTTATAAAAGAGCAAGTTAAAGATATAATCAACGAAATCGGTTTGGATCGTAGTTTAGCAATTATACGTTGGTGTGGGATTGCTATAACAGCTATAGGAAAACGAATAAGTTCCGGTATTTATGTGAATACAGCTAGCATCGAGAAAGTCAAAAAGAACTTAGGTTGTAATCCAGTTCTATATTTACCTAGTCATCGCAGTTATATGGATTTTGTACTTATGTCCTATATTTGTTTTAAATATGATATTGAAATACCTGGGATTGCAGCAGGAATGGGTGAGTAAATAATTTGTACATATTTTTATTTTCTAATATAATAACATATAATAATTCATCTTCTTAACATATATACAAATTTTGACATATTATTTTTGTACATGTATCTTAGGTCTATTCACTACAATTAATTAAAGAAAAACGAAATATTATGTTTTTATAAGTTATATCAATTATAAAATTATATGAGATTAATTCTTTGGTTACCCATTTGACAATAATAGTTAATGCCAGAAAAGCTCGATATTTATCTTCAGATTTTTTAAAAACAATAGATAATATATATATATTCTCGTGGTTATACTCATTATAAAAGAGACCAGTGGTATAAAATGATACTAGCTTTCGTATAACAGCTTTTACTTTAACATTCTTAGCAATGTATACAATATACAAATGAGTCAGTAATTTGACTCATATTCTCAGTTTATAACATTTATTTTTATTTCAAGTGTTTGGAGTTTAGTGGCAGAGAGGTGTCATATACCACGCAACTAAAACTCATGTGCCTTATTTGATATTACGCAAGTCATTATCTGTAGTAATATTATAAAAATTACCTATTACAAACAAAATATTAATTACTTCGAATAAATACTTTCAGTTTAAACATTTAACTCCATACTAAAAATAATATGACACTAGAGTATGGTATCTTATATAATACTCTATATATACCGTCTAATGAGAGAAGCTACGATTTTATTTTCGTCGCGTCACATTATTTATTTTATATCATGTCTATATTTTGGTCGAGTTTGTAACAATGTTCTTTTGTGGGTAGAAATGTTATCAACAAGCAGTGTGACTTAAGTTTGAAATTTGGATTAATGGAGTGCAGATCCTGAAAATCTGCGCATGAATAAAAGAAAGATAATCTCTTAATTTGATTTATTTTTCTCTCGCAAGATGAAATAAATATTTTATAATTAATACAGTTAAACTTCCATAACTCGAACTAAGTAGAGTGCAACAGGGTTTTAGAGAGCAAATTACTCGAACTCCTATAACTCGAATAAAAATATTGTCACGTGCCAATAGAAATATATAAGTGCATTCTATAACACGAATTATTGTTTTAAATATGAATTCATATTGGTGTAAGGGGAAGTCCCTTTTTCCAAACTAATTGTTTAATTTTTTCTTTCTTATGTTGCTTCTTTGTGCTAATGCCAATCGCTCTAAATTGCAACCACTTAATAAGGGAGTAAGTGTAACTATCGCAACAGAATCGTAAAAGAAGCACTTAAGCGTATAGAAGCAAAGAAAAAGCAGGATATTACATTTATGGATTGCATAAATCATCTAACAAAAGCTTGAGATATTAATCTAAGTAGTCAAACGATAGCGTACTGCTTTAAAAAAGCTGTATTTGACCAATTTTCTATATTAGACGAACAGGACGACATTTCTTCAGTTTTGAATAACATTGATGAAAACAGTGAATTTGAAACAGAAATAAATAAAATAACTTCCAACTCTTAACGATTATTTTGAGCTTGGCAATGAAATTTGTATATCAAACTTTTCTACAGATGACAATATTATTGAGCATTATAGCTCTGAATTAGTAGATCCAATTCTAAGCGCAACAAAGAGTGATGATAAGAGTTTGGTGTATGAACTTGTTCATCAGCCTTTCAAGGATGAAGTAGAAGATTCATTCAAAATTCTGAATTTTTATTTGCAAACGAATGATAACACAACTGATGATCACTATAAAGCTTGAAATAAATTGGAATCTCTTTTTACTGAAAATAATTTCTGAAAGTTTTACTTCACTATAACTTCTATGCTGTGTTTAATATCAAATGAATAAATAAATAAATATCTTAAAATGAAACTCGTTTCTTTCAAAAAAAAAAAAAAAATTCTCTAAATCGAAGTCTCCATATCTCGAACCTTTTCTTTGCAAAATGGTATTTCGATTTATGGAAGTTTGACTATATATGCTTTCTCTTATATTGAAACACACTGTAAAATTTAATATATCAAAAACATTGTATATATATATATATATATATATATATATATATATATATATATATATATATATATATATTTATATATTTATATATATATAAACACGAAATAAATTAATGGACGTAAATAAAGTTCTAAATGAAATGAAATATATGAAAAGTTTGCTATTGGGGTCATAAAAACGTAAAATAATGAATTAATGATTAATTTAATCTATATATTTAGGAAATATTACGATATGCAAGTACCAGCACTTATACTAAACCTTATTAGATATGAAATTCTTCTTCTTTCTTAGCATAACAGTCCTCGGTGAACCAGTGCTTCCTCAACCATTTTTACCATCTGACTTCATCCGATGAAGTTATAAAATTAATACATTCGAACTAATGACTTGCTTTAAAAGCTGTATCAATTACATTAAACGTTTATTGATTTATTATCAAAGGTTTATGTATAAATCTTAAAACTTAAAAATAAATAAATATAAAATAAATATAAATATAAAATAAATAAAAAAAATTTATATATATTTTGAATTTAATGCTAGATTATAACATACTCCCCTCCGTTAAACGAAAATGCGTCAAAATAAAAAATTTTTTATGAAGAGATATTGTTGAATAACTATAACATGTACAATATTAATAATTTGTTTCACTGAACAAATGTAATGTTTAAGTTGAATAGGCGGTATTACCCAATTGTGTGGCATTACCTGAGCTCAGTGGTTTTAATGTTAATATTTGATTTTTATATTCTATATTTCTTTGTTATTATTTACTAAATAGGTACATACAATTCTGACATTTACTGTGAAGTTCTTAAAATATTTTCCTAGTTAGATTGGGTTGGTTTTATGACTGCTGATACTGTATCATCAAATGATAGTATTGAAATATCGTTTTTGGCTGATTTTTGGATTGATGATTTGCGATTGTTTTGGTATAATGGAGTCTACATATAATCACCTTAAAAAGTTCGAATCTTAAACGTTGAACTGATTTTGTAAAAAAATAGGTTTTTTTATGAAGCTGTGAAATTTGGAACCGCTGTTAAATTTGGCTTGTTTATTAAAGTATATGAACTGAAATAGCTTACCTTATACTACTTGCTTTTAGTTCGTCTAAACTAAGTGTAAACTCCTGATCTCTGTGTATATTAGGTGCAAATACTTGCATATCAAGTTTTATTGCAACTAACGTGTTATTACTATTGTAGGAATGGGCACCAAATGAAATAGGTCAAATTCATTCTAATCAATTCAGAATTTAGGGCAATTTAATGATAATTCACACACTATTCTTTATGTTTCTCGATGCTTTCATCATGTTAATCGTATTTAAAAATGCACGTCTAAGTACTAACCTAATGTTTTTAAGGAATAATTGTGGTGTTAAGCATAATCTTGTGACAGGTATTTATTTTTTAAATACTTACTTAGTTAGCCATTACATACGGAAGTCGTTCTAGGACGCGTCGTGTAGCCAACGCCCGATCAGTGGCTTGCTGTCACATATAATGTCACAGAACATATAATTATTAACAGTGACTTGGATCCCAAGACGCTCAGAAAATTTGTTTGTTGACTGAAATTACTTTGTTGCAAATCTGATGTTAATAGTTTATAGAGTATTGCGCCAGACTTCAAATAATTTGTGGGTATTAGTTAGCAACAACGATCAAACTTTGTATATTAATCCTGAATAATTGATTTTTGATCAATTAAAATGAACAGTACATTTTATATTTAAACGCATTTCATATTTGGTTTGTTATATGATTTGCTTATTCTATTGTTTTCTGCGCAATCCAAATTAATAGCTTAGTATAATTTCACATTGTTCAATACGTGGACGTATTTTTTTTTTTTAAATAATTGTTAAATTAGTAATAAACTGATTAGTCTGCCTTTTGCCGATTTTCTTTCTAATCGTAGTGGAACAGTGCGTTCATTAGGAATTTTAATTTTTTTATTTGTCTTCCATTATAAGTTGCTTTTAAATTATCTATCATATCTTAATTAAGTACCGCGGTAGTATTTAATTTGTATCTTATTTATTTTTGTTGTAATTTGAGATGGTGGCGTTGCTTTTATTGTGCAACCTCCACCAAAACTTCGTTGAAATATTCGTTACTTCGTTATCTAGCGAGTGCTCAATATCATTGTTAGTTCCCATTGATATCATTGGTGAAGCATCTAGTTTGTTAGTTTTGCGGTTAATCTGTTAGCATAATGCATTCCTACTAACTATCGTCAGTATTTGTTATTTTTACAAATAACAAATTTAATAAATTCAGTCATTTCTTGGCTTATGATGGCCACTTAGAATTTATTAATCAAAATCGCCAAAATAAGTGCTTGAAAGCATAATATCCTACTGCAATTTATTTCCCAATGAATTGAGAAAACTATTTCAGATGCATTGGTTCCTATGAAAACAGAAAATAGCACTTGATGTGAGTATTTTTCCACAGCATTATAAAGATATGAAGATTACCTATATATATATTTTTTTTTATTGCATTTATTAAGTTAATATTGGGTAAAACGATTTTTTATTAAAATATTTGATTCATTGTAAAATTTATCGTCAGGGTGACAAAATGTCGTAAAACTTAAACTATGGTATTTTAAAGTAGATTTTGTTGTTTAAATATTTCTGATAAGTTGCAGTTGACTCAAAAATCATTTATTTTGTTCATGCTGCAGATAAAATGAAATTATCATATATTTTAGCTCACAAACTGGATGACGGTGATGGCGAAAGTGACAATGAGAAAGGTCAAGCTTTCATAAGAAATTTAACAATGTGGAATAGTTAACAACGCTGTAAAATTACCGTACAGAAATAGAGTTTTATTAGATTACATTTAAATTAATATATTTGGGCTATGTTTCATAATTTTTTTAAACTACTATTTTCAAATTTGCTATCACAAAAACATAAAACTATGGTTTATATGACATCGATAAATGATTTTCCTTCTATATGATCTTTGGTGTCTCTAACGTTGCTAAAATATCTTGTTTTAAATTTTCCTTTTATTCACAATAATAAGAGTAGTTTGTTGCAGATAATAAAAGTTTGTTGTAGATTAGTAAATTAGTATTTCCTATGATTTGTTAAAAATTAAAATTGAAAGAACTTATAGCGCGGTGCAAACTATAATTTTTGAATGTCATTTAAGTTGCGCTCTCTTTTGCTCAAATTTATTCTAATGTATTTTAAAATTTTACAAATTAATATTTTATTATTATATTGGAGCTGTTTTGAGCTAGTGCACTTAAGCACTTATACTCTTTTTTAACTCCTGTTTCTTCAAAACCCCTCTCTACACCTTGACTAGATTATTGTTTATCACTTCATCACACTAAGCAATAATTGACCTCAGATCTACATACCTCCCCGAGGAGCCTGTAACCATTCTGAGATTTGATAACGAGATGTTGGTAAGTCTGTCAGATTTCGCAAATAGTTTCAGGGCTCTATCCTTTATGTATTTTTTGATGGGATCAATCTTGATGTCCCTGAGGATGTCATTCGTCCTAATGTACCATGGAACTTTGAAAAGTCTTCTCAGAGTCTGGCTTTGTGCAATTTCTAGCTGGTGAATAGTAGTGTTTGAAGCTTTGCTAAACGCTACACAACCATATCAGTTTCCTGTTCTTAACATTGAGATTTTGATTTCTAAATAGCGGTTGGAGGTAATGAAGAACAGCTAATGCTTTTCAGTTGAACATGTTTAAGCCATGTGAATCGTTTGTCCAACGTGATGCCGAGATATTTAACGCTATCCTCCCAGTTTATCACCATATCACCCACTCTCACTCTCGACGAATTCTGTTTCCACTTACGCGTTATAAACAGAGCCTTAGTTTTTTGGGTGGAACTGAAGTTCAAGGGTGTTCGCGAAGGCTTTGGCTTTTCCTAAATCTGTATATACCAAGCCTGTCACGCTTTTTTATTTTATTTTTTTATTTTTATTCCATAAATATTATAACTATCATAGATATCTAGTAATACTTTTAACAAATGAAAATTTGGAAGTTTGAGTTATCTTAAATCATCATTTAAGATAACATGTTAATGATAATGATACATTTCATACAAATTTCAATACAATTCATAAATAAATAAATAAATAATAATAATAAATAAATAAATAATAATAAAAAATTAATAAATATAAATAATTTTTTTTTTTGTGAAGTAAAGAATTCAACTTAATATAATACTTAATACTTAAATAGGTTGGAAGTGAATGTTTTAGACTTCCTTTGTACCCAGCTTTTGGTCTAATAACATACTTGGGCATGTTGGCTTTCTTGTAGATTGATATGTCAATGTTAACAATTTTCAGTTTCCGTTATTCAAATTTCCTATTGGTGAAAATAACTTGAACTTGGAGTTTTTTCGGCGTTTATCTTAATCCCCCAGGTGTCAGACATTGGCCTGGGGTGTCAGACCATTTTTTCACTTCGTTTAGATGATTTTGAAGGTTTGTGATGTCATGGTTTGTTGATAAAAGTCCAATGTCGTCAGCAAACGTTATAGTTAGTATTTCTCCACTTTTTGGCGTACGAATGTCTGAAGTGTAGAGTAGATACAGAATCGGGCCTAATACACACCCTTGAGGGACACCGGCTTCTATTTTTATCATGTAGGATGTGTCGTTTTGATATTGCACAAGGAAGTATCTATCTTTAAGGTAGCTCTTCAGTAGTAAAAAAAATCATTCGCAATATTGTTGATAGTTTGTAGAGCAATCCTTCGTGCCAGACGCTGTCGAATGCTTTAGCTATGTCTAAAAACACACCCACAGTGATTTTCTTAGAGTCTATATTCATTGCAATTTTGCTAGCCACCCGATGAATTTTCTGAATTGTAGAATGCTTTATACGAAATCCAAATTGGTGATTTGACAATAGGTTGTTTTCTTGTATTATTGGTTCCATAAATGAATTTTTGTAAATGAATTTTTTGTTTCTTTTGTTACAGATTTTCATGCTATGTTCGGTATGGGTACGATGCTACGTAAAACAGGCGCATTCTTTATGCGTCGATCTTTTTCGAATGATGAACTCTATTGGGATATTTTCCGTGAATACATTTATTCTTTAGTTTCTGCGTATCATATTGGTGTTGAGTTTTTTATAGAAGGTACTCGAAGTAGAAATTTTAAAGCTCTTGTTCCAAAAGTCGGATTGTTTTCGATGGCGTTGCTTCCATACTTTACTGGAGAAGTGCCAGATATAACCATTATACCAATAAGCATTTCATATGAACGTGTACTTGAAGAGCAATTATTTGTCTACGAATTACTAGGAGTTCCAAAACCAAAAGAATCAACAAAAGGTTTCTTTAAAGCATTAAAAATTATTGATGAAAATTTTGGAAAAATGTTTGTTGACTTTGGTGAAGCAATATCGGTGAAAGAGTTTTTCAGTCATACAAGCGTAGATCGCATGCAAAGAGCTAGTATTGGTACACATCTTCAAATACTTAACAAATATGAAATCGATTTAATAAAAAACTTGGCAAATGAGGTAATGTAGAACTGTTAAATTTAATAATTCAATATAAAAATCTTGTGATTTTTAGATAATTTATCAACAACAATATCGCATTGTTATAACAACATTCAATTTAATAAGTTTATATTATGCTAGTCGAATATATTTGAATTATGCACCTAATATCGATGAACTAGCGCGAGGAATTCATCAATTGAAAAGTATTTTCGAAGAACTTGGTGCGCATGTAGCCGTCAATATGAATCGAATCAAGGCGGATATAATTGAAACTGTTGAAATACATTCCAATATTGTGCATTTTCGTAACGCTCGACTACAGTACACAAAAGTTGCTATTGAACAATTAGCACAGGAAATTGAAACGGAAAGACTGAAAGCACACATTTTAAAGCCTCAAATAATGGCTATTGCAGTACCCACCTTAGCACTACAGTTGTACATAAATCCATGTTTATTTTGGTTAGCACATCCGGCATTTTTAATTTTATCCGCATTACAGCTACGACAGGAACATCAGCAAAAGAATATAATTGAAATTAGCTATAATGATTTAGTTATTAATTTAAAAGCTCGAATTGCTGAATTGGATAACATTTTCAAACACGAATTTATTATTGAATCAAATAGAGAATCAGAGGTAAAATATTAAATATTTTTGGTTATATATTTAAATAATTTTTAAAAACATGTATAAACTAAACAGTAGTTTATGTTAAATTATTAATAATGTTAGAAATTTATAAATTGCAGGTTTCTAGAAATGTTCAGTCAGTAACTATTCTGTTGGTAACTTTTTTACTGTGTAATATATACATTTGAGTTAGGTGCTAATTAAGTTGAGAGTACAAGAGAATATAAAGCAACAATGCAAATGCACAACAAAAAATATATAAATTTTCAACAAAAACAATAATGTTATCTATGTAATTATCTGCATATATAAAATTCATTTAAGCGGATATTAGTTGTTTTTTTTTGCCGCAGATGTACATGTTCTTATTTTTGTATGAGAAACGGTGATCATAGCCATATGTGACAACTTTGCAGAAGAACATATAAAAAAAGGCATTCAGTTTATGTATGTTGAAAGCCCATACAGAAAAAAAAATTTCATATATAATAATAAAATTAATTATAGTACTGTTCTTCATGACAGTAAAATATCAGTAGATCTATCAATCATCGATATTACTCGGTAATATATAATCTATTTTCACAACGACATTTTATCAGCTATATACATATTTGCACCACTTTTTTCGGTTTAGTTTAATACTGTTTAGTTCCCGTATAATTTGTCAGGATATATATCAGATATAACTATATAAAATAAATTAAGAATAACAAGCTTATAAGTAGTTTATAAATTGAAAGTTCACGAAAAACCCTTTTAAGTACAATCATATGAATGAAAACAGAAGTTCTTCTTCTTATTTGTCTCAAGATGCCAGTGTGAAACTTGAGATTTTCAGATTATATCACCTATGCTCGGTCGCCAGAGCCTCGTATGCGAGAACAGGATGCACTACGTATAGGCGAGATTGCCTATTGAGGAGGCTAGGCTGTGTATTCGCATTACTCTTCTATTGAGGCACACACTTCTGCCCCTTGCATCCCGAAAACAGAACTTAAAACTAACAAATCATTTCTATATTCAATTTTTTAATAAATTTTATTGAAAATTTTCTAGTAACTTATTTGAAATAAATGATTTAATATTTTCAGGAGTTCGAGCGCAATCTCAGATTATTGAAAATGCAGGGTATTTTAAGCATATCCAAGAATTCCGGACAATTCGAAATATACGAAAATGATTCTAGTCGAGTGATTTTATCCGCCCTAGCGCCATTTCTTTGTATGTATTATCAGTTAGCTATTACTTTGAATAAGGTAAAAAAAATAAAAGAATATATGAATTAAAACAAAAATATATTTTAATATTCTTTCTTTTTTAGTTTTCTTCGGAAGCCGAATTTACACCAAAAGATGTACTCATTCAAATGCAAGAACGAATAGAGAGTTTACTTCAGGAAAATGACAGTTTATATGTACATCCATATTGTTTTGCTCTAGATAACTTAAATATTGCTTTGAATGCATTTATTCAAGATGATTATCTTAAAAAAGTCAAGGACACAGGCATGTTACGACATTCCAATGGAAAGTCTTTAAAAAGCTTAGAAGATCAAATACTTGTGTATTGTCAGTTGATGCCATTTAAACAATATTATGACGCAACGGCTCATTACTCAATGCAGTTAATGTCTTCTAAATTATAACCGCAAAGTTTTTGCATGATAAGTTTGTTTTCATTTCTCATTCAGTTTTTATATTCATTGCTCAAAAATTATCTAATCGTTGTTATATTTATAGTCGTAGTTATAGTAATGCCAGCGTTTAGCTTTGTTATAGGTTGGTTAAGTAAAGTTTTATAAACAGAAAGTGTGTCCTATATTACATCTAATAGTTTGTGATGTAATTCATAATGTAAATTAAAATTTAAATATTCGCGTCATACAAATTTAATTAGTCAAGCCAAATGGTATTTTGTTAGTATTAAGTATGGATTAATCTAATATAAAGAAAACTTATAACTTAATATGAAATTTAATATATGTAACTATACTAAATTGTATTGTAGTATTTTAATATATGTAATTTATTAATTATATTGTGGACAATAGCATCAAATATACTCTTTTCATACAATTATAAAAACATTTGGTTATATTTATAAGTTGTATTTAATAATAAATTTTCCCAGGAACTAACAATTGCATATTCTATAAATTGCAGCTTCGCAAGTGTAAGACATTCCCAATAAATTAAAAATTTTATTTACACTTCAAATTTGAACACAAATCATATAATGGCTTAAACAGAACTAGTCACTGGTGCCTCCTTCTAACGTAAATGAAATGTAAATCCCCCTTTTGGCATTTCAAGCTCAAGAACTATATATAGTGGATTATAATAGGACACAAAATTAAATAATCGAAAGTTTTAACCACTTTTAGTTGTATTTATAATGTTTAAAGCATTGAATTGTATAATTCAATAATTTTTTTAAGCATTTAATGCAGTAAGAAGCCTTGAAAATATGTTTACAGACAAATGACATAGATTTTAAGGCAAAAGTGCAACGAACCACTAATAAATAATATTCAAACCAGAAAATTTACAAAAACTAATGGACGTTACTTTTGTAAGTAAACAAAAACAACAAATCTATCTTTTTCTAAATTTTAGGATTGATTGTTTTAAAATAAATTAATCAAATTTAAAGAAGTCTTTAAAAGTTAGACGAAAGTCTTTTTTTTGTAATTAAATAAATAATCAAAAACTTGTACGACCTCAAAAAATTAAAAATTAATCGAATTTGTTTTTCAGTAACTCAAGAAACAAGAAACTCATAAAGCTAATAAAAAGTATTAATGTATCGTATTTTCGCAATGGTATGAATGGTTTAAAAACTTAGATTTTTAAAAACCTGATCAGACATTCAACAGAAATTTATATAAATTTCAACTCTGCCTCTTTAACCTTAAACTTATATTTAAAAGTATTACATATTTAAATCAAAACTACAAAACTGAAAGAGAATCATTTAGAACCTTCAAAAACATACAAATTTTATTTTTATAGTTTTTATAAAAAATAGACTTTTTTAACTAATAAATTTGTTATTACTGCTATAACAAATTTTTTATTTATAAACAAACAGTTCAGTTCTATGGCTGTTTTGCTTATGGTAAGACTCCCAAAACGTTTTCATCAAAAGTAGTGTTAAACCGCCTTGAGACATCAGATCTACGGACTTACATATAAATCCCGAATCGAGCGTTTACCACAACGTGACGACTAGTCACTAATACATGTCAATATAATCGACTCGCATTTGAACGTTACATTCTCTTTGCTGAAGACACCTTTCTTTACTCCTAGTAGTTATGTGTAGATTCGCAAAATAATAATTTAATACCAAATTCACATTAGCAACACACATATATGTTTTAATTTATTTTTAAATGGTAAATGTTTTATATTTTGAAATATTTTTTCCGATTTAAATTTAAAAAAATTACATTAATGTTAATTTCTGTATAAAATATAAATTTTAAATTTAATAAACTGATTTAAAACTATTTTAAAAAAATAATAATTTTATGACCTTTTAAAATTATCGTAAAATGTGCAAGAAATATGTATATATATTAATTCATTATATGACGTTTTTCTTAATCATATAATCCGTTTTTTAATTAACTATACTTTACATTCAAAAAAATTTGTCTTATAATTAATACTCTACATTGATTTGAAGTAAAATTATTCAAACCTTTTCCAATATATTATTCGCAAAATAATCGCCGAAACTGTGACATAGCTTTGTCAGCAATAACTACATCCATTAGTAAATATTGAACGTTTGTTTCATCTGCACGTGTTCTGACAACAGCAGCATTTTTATAAAGCCACGTCATTTCATTTCCTCCATTACAAACTTTTATAGTAATTTTTTTCCTTTTAGTTGACAAAAGAATTTGTTTTTCAATTTCAGTTAACAAACTGTGTAAACCAGTCTGCTTTGTCGATGACACAGATATCATATTTTGATTAAGTTTTTCTGGAACTTGTACTAAATCAATCTTATTACCAACATTAATAATTGGTGGTAATGAATTCCTTTCTGCTTCATCTGATAAAATATTATTAACCAAAGATTTTAATGTTTCCTCAACATGTTGTGCTTGTGCTTTACAACAATTATGTGCTAAATCTTGAACATGTATAATAACATCCTATAAAATAAATAATTAAATTTAGTTTTCTAAGTCTAATATATTTTTTTGTTTTTTTTTTTTTTAGAAATATTACAATCAAAACTTACTGCAAGCATAGCATCTTCTAAAGTTGCAATAAAGCATTCTATTAGACCAGTAGGGATATCCGACATAAATCCAACAGTATCCATGTATATAACTTCTAGATTGCAAGGCAAAACACCAGAATGTGCAGTTACATCTAAAGTTGCAAACAATTGATCACGTGGCTGCATTTTATGTTCATTAGTTAAAGCTTTTATCAACGATGTTTTACCAGCATTCGTATAGCCTATTACAGCAATAATTGGGTAATTATTTTGTTTCCGTTTTTTACGTAGTAGCTTCCTGTGAAACAAAGTTATTATATAGAAAACATATAAAAAAATAATTTGATGCTAAGTACCTGTGATGTCTAATCGATTCGAGTTCAAGTTTTAATTTCCGCTCACGTGACTTCAAAAGTTCACGTTGTATATCAGTAAGAGAGTAACCTTGTTTACGAGAAATAGACAAATTATCATCCTTAGCCTGCGCCCATATATATGGTAACTCTGCCATAGCTACTTGTAGACGTGCTTCTGCGCTTGTAGCATGTAATCGCAATATCTGTATTACTACCGAATATCGGTCCATAATTGGTAAATTTAACTCAGCAGTTAAGAAACGTTTCTGTACAAATGAAAGTGAACTCTTACTAACGAACACACATGTTAGAGGTTGTTCATTATTATATTGTCTAGCATTTTTCACTAAATTTTTAAGTTCCTCTATTTTACCCGAGCCAAATAACGTCTTCTTATCTAGGGATTCTATGGGTACCTTAATCGATGAAGCTATATTCCAATTAGGTAATGAACGAACTAATGCCTCAGCTTCTTCGAGTTGTTCATCTGGTGTTCTTTGCTTATTCCGATTAGGACCCCATTTTACGTAAGGTTGTAAAATAAGAACGTTTTGTACAGCATTACAATTTCGTGAAATATTCATTGTCACATTTGCTACCTCATCATACTCTCTAATACGTAAATAATAATAATTTTGTCTAAGTTAAATAGAATTTATATATAAATCATTTCTGTAATTTACCGATCTTGCAAATTTAAAGATTCTACTGGATTACTTTCCGTAACTTCTTCGAAGTTTACATTTTCCTTTGCTATATATATACTTTTTTTACTTCGGATTCCTTTAACTCCTTTATACTGTGTGTACTTATAACGTTTTTGTTCTACATTAATCACTTGAATATATTTTTGGCATGTCCTTTTAGTATACAAATCACTGATTGTTCTTACCGTCGAATTTCTTAAATACAGCATTATTGGCTTATACATTTTGAATTATTTATTCAAATACTAATAATCTTTTAAAGCTGTGTGTTTTCCTTCAGCTGCCATCCAACCGGCTTGGCATGCTTTCGTTCGTTGTGAAGTTACTTGATATGCTGTGCAAGATGCAATAACTGTCGATACTAAAATGTTATAACGGCCTGGGAAACGCGACTTTGCTTCTAAAACTTTCTGTGCAAAATAGCAGCATGAAAAACCTAAAAATTAACATAACAAAATTATTAAATTATACTCTGTATTTATATTTCTTTATAGTTTTTACTTAAGCAGAAAGATGCAAGGCCTGTGAATAGAGAACGAGTCATGCAATTTATATATGAATCAAACCCCGGATGATTGCTTCTTTCCTGATCTTTTAATTGTTTTATGTTATTCATATTTATATTTTAATAAATATTCATATTATATCATATAAAATTGTATAACCCATCGATTTTAAATGAATACCTGCTCTGTACGTATGATAGAAAGAGTGTTTGAAAGTTCATTTGTCCATAAAATAATGTAAAATTAAGAAGCGTTCACACTAAAATCTGCTAAAATTTTTTATTCAGCTCATTTTGAATGAGCCATTTGAAAGTGTTTACATTCGTTGTAATTTGTTTGTTCTCATTTTAAACAGTTGATTTTTCAACTTGCCTGTTGATTTGATTTTCGGCCTATACCAAGAAAATGTTGCATGAAGGTTAAATATGCCTTCAAACCTTACAATATAAACTTAAAACATATTTTTAACTTCGTTTAATTACTTTTTGGGAAGTAGAAATTCTAAAAAGAGGTTCATCGTTTTCAAGAAAATGCAACCACCAAACATTTGTTTACTTTTTTTAGTAAAGATGTCAAAAACAACTTTCTCAAACTGTCAAAATGCCATGAAAACCTTTTATTTAGGGTATGTTCAATGTATTCCTTTGTATTTGGAACATATTTGGAACGCATTCGAACGTCGTTGAAACACCTTCATACAGAATGTGATGAAATGGATCGCATTTTGTTTGCAAGAATAATATGGCGTTTACATTGGCCGAAAATGGCTCATTTTGGTCAAAAATCGAAAATGAGTATCGAATGGCTCATTCTTGCATATAAAATTTCAAGCACAAAAATGAGCAATTTTCTCACATTCTGTATGAAAGACGTTCGAATGCATTCCACATATGTTCCAAATGCAAAGGAATCTATTGAACATACCCTAAATGAAAGCTCTTCATGGCATTTTGACAGTTTAAAAAAGCTGTTTTGACATATTTACAAAAAAAGGTAAACAAATGTTTGGTGGTTGCATTTTCTTTAAAACGATGCACCAATTTTTGGAACTTCTACTTCCCAAAAATAAATAAATCGAATCTAGAAACAAGTTTTCAGTTTATATTGTAAGGTTTGAAGGTATATTTAACCTTCCTGTAACATTTTTTTGGCACAGACCAAAAATTAAATCAACATGCAAGTTGAAAAATCAGCTGTTTGAAATGAGAAAAAATGAAATACAACGAATGTAAACACTTTCAAATGACTCATTCAGAATGAGCCATTTTCAGTTAGTGTAAACGCCATATAAGCCATTTGCTTCTCATTTTCTATTTTTGACCAAAATGAGCCATTTTCGGCTGGTGTAAATGCCTTATAAGATCTATTGCGCGTCTGCTCATTTGCACATATGAGATTTTGTATGTAGAAATCAGTTATTTGTTTCTCATTTGTGATTTTTGACACAAATCAGACATTTGAACCCAGTGTAAACGCCAAATAAGTTGCGGGTATTTTTTTTACATCTCTAAATGAAAAAAATACGACATGTCATATCATATCAATATTTCTTAACTTAAAAATCAATTTAACGTTTTACAACACTACTTGCAACAAAACTGTGGAACGTATTTAACATCTGGATATAAATTTTATTAATGTTGATTTTTGTATGCTTGAATTTAGAGCTAAACTAAAAAATATATTTTAAAAATGTTCGAAGCTACCTCTATGGAACCGCCTCCACCACCATCTGTTCGACTTACAAATGATGATTTTCGTAAATTGCTTGCAACACCCCGCTCTTCAGGTGGAAGTTCATCTTCGCAAACTGCTGGTCAATTTGGGATTGCTGGTAGTACTCCAACAACAGATAGAAAGAAGACTACTCAAGGAACCAGTTCATCGGAACGCAATGATTTGCGCCGTAAAAAGAAGAATTTTTATGCAGCATTAAAAAAACAAGAAGATGGAAAACTACAAGAGCTTTCTGAGAAATATCGAGACAGAGCACGTGAACGTCGTGATGGTGCAAACCCAGATTATCAAAATGTTAGTACGCCAGGTCATGGTAACACAAATGCTTACCGTGCAGTTGCACCTGATATGAAGTCTGGGATAGATGCAGCTGAGCGTAGAAGACGTATTATTCAAGAATCAAAATTCTTGGGAGGTGATATGGAGCACACCCATTTAGTAAAAGGTCTTGATTATGCACTTTTGCAGAAAGTTCGTTCTGAGTTGCAAAATAAGGAAATAGAAGAACAACAGATGGCTGCAGTTGCTGCAGCAACTGAGAAAATAGCAGAAGCAGCAGCTGTAGAGCAACTGGAAGCAGAACGTAGGGAGGCAGAAGATACTACAGCTTTAAAAAGTGCACTATCACGAAATATTTTTAATGTGATACAAACAAAACGTTCGAAAGAAGTACAGCGTATCGACCTTTTTGCACCCGGTCGTATGGCATACGTAATAGACTTAGAAGACGAAACAGGTGAATGTGATATACCTACAACGCTTGTTCGTTCCAAATTTGAAGTTCCTGTGAATCGAGAAGATGTTGCTACATTAACAACAAATGACATTGTAATTAATAAATTGTCACAAATATTGTCATATTTACGTGCAGGAAGCCGTAATAAAAAAAATAAGAAACGCGATAAAGATAAACCACTTTTCTTTGAAAATGATATGGAAGAAATTAGTAGATCTAAAGTAATCAATGATAAACCACTTGGCGATAATATTTATGATGACATTGGTGATTATCAGCCAGCTACTAAAAATACACATTCAATGCATGTTTCAAACAATACCGGCAATAATAAAACTACTTCATATTTTGGTAATTTAACATCAGCTGATGATACCGAGCCAATAGTTTCATTCATACCACCACCACCAAAAATATCTAAAGCAATGGCATCTCGCTTTACAAATGAACCTGAAGGCTATGCTGAATGTTATCCTGGTTTAGAAGAAATGAATGATGCTATCGACGATTCTGATGACGAAGTTGACTACACAAAAATGGATTTGGGCAATAAAAAAGGACCCATAGGTCGTTGGGATTTTGATACACAAGAAGAATATTCAGATTATATGAGTACGAAGGAAGCTTTACCGAAAGCAGCTTTTCAATATGGTGTTAAAATGCAAGATGGTAGAAAAACACGTAAGAATAAGACAGAGAAAAGTGAAAAGGCTGAGCTAGATCGGGAATGGCAAAAAATTCAAGTATGTATATTATAATTTAATTCAATCAAATTTTTGCAGTTTTCATTTTTTATTAGACAATTATACAAAAGCGAAAATATCCGAAAGGAAGTGGCGAAGAACCAGACTATAAAACAGCTAAATATTAATCAACATTTTTAATCTATCTATTTACATTGTATGTTTAAAATTACAATTTGTATGAGATAAGTAGTAAAAAATATTTCGAAGTTTTTAAAATTAAATAAATTCACATAATCACATATTTAAATATTTTATATTATTTAAAAATAAGGGGCATTAAGTTTTAATACTACTTAAAAAACATCTTTAAAAATGTGACCAAATTTAACTTGAAGCATTATATGTCAATTCTTATTAGTAGACTTGAATGCATATTTAAATATGCTATATAATTTTTAAATAAAGATTACTAAGAGTTAATATGCATAAACAAATCATTTTTGAAAATAAAATGATTTAGAAAAGCTATTCCCTTTGTAATATGACGGTAATTTAACCTGGAGCATGTTGATTTAAAATCCCAATTCATAAACTTTTTCATTCTTCTGGCAAATGATAAAACTTACAAATAGTAGTAATTGAAATAAAAATTTTTTATTGAAATTGATCCGGGCATAAATTAATAATCTTCTAATTGTAGAGACACATTCAGTTAATTGCATTGTTAAATTATATTAGTAGTTGTAAATGTTGCGTTTAATTGGTAAATGCGTTCATAAAAAAAAAAAATATAAAAATAAAAATATAAAAATATTCCACCACAATATTTAAGTATTTAAGACATAATAGAGATTTGAACATCTCAAGACGTGGTAAAGATAAATTTTTTCGTTAGTATAGCATGATATAATATAAAATTCTTTTTAATTGCTATATATTTAAAATACAATATAGACAACTTGATTATTGATTCTACTGTTAAACAAGATTCAGTAAAATTTGAATCTATTTTTATGCTTTATACTTAAATGAACACCCTTAGATGTCTTGGCGCATTGTGTTAATATATAAAACTTAAAGTATTTAATAAAGCTTAAAATTCTCTTTGCAGTAGATCTCTTTCCGCAGATCTATTAATATAAAAATCTATAGAAATTTTAATCTTCCTTGCGCATACGATAAGCAGTAAAAAAGTATATGAAAAACTTTCTACTATAAAGGAAGATTTAATCTTTTAGCACGATTACCTAAACCACAGTTACCCGTCGACAAATGTACTATAAAGTTTTAGATATTCCGAATGAATTCTTGAGGCTTCTAGCAATCTTTGTAATAGCCTACGATATCTTTACGACGAGGGATACAGAAAAAAAATTTTTTACAGATTCCTTAAGTTGCGCATTTTAAAAACTGAACGTTTTTTTATCAACAATAATATTTTGAAATTATTTTAGATATATACTAAGCTAAATAGTATCGTTTAATAGAATAAATTATAGATAATATATAACAATTGGAAAATAAATAAAACATTTTGCAAAAGATTAATATTCTTAATACTTGTAAAAAATGTTAATTTTTTAATGAAGTTTAAGTAAAGATATCCAAATCAACAAACTAATGCATCCTTTTTATAAAATGGACAATGTCTCTAGCTTTACATTGTACAATTGTTTTAAAAATGAAAAAACCTGCAATGGTAAATGCAATGCCTTCTAGTGATTTTCGTACAGTTAAAGAGTTGACAACGAGATATTTCTAAAATTTTGGTAGTTTATAATTAAATATTCTCTCTTAAGTGCCTTATTTTCTATTTAAATATTTTAAATCAAACAAAGACACGACTCATTAGTGGTACTATTGATAACTTCCGAGAAATGTTTTATTTCTTTTATAAATTCGGTATATGAATCTGGTTATTTTAAATGATCATTAGTCAGTAAATCAATAAATGTATAATTATATTTATGTGCTTATTATTTTAACATCGACTTATAGAGAATTAATAAATTGTGTGTTATCTCATAATATACTATTGATATTTTAGCAATCTTTGGTTTGTAGATACAATTTTTAACTGCTTATCTATAAGTTTAATACGTTTAAATGTAATGACAAACATATATATATATATTCAAAACAACTTCATTTAGTTTGTTACAGAGTTGAAATTATATACTAATTAAGCGTTACGAAATTATATAATTAATTTTATTTCTTAAAATCTTAACATTAAGTAATATAAGAAATTATTTTAAAACATCAGCGATTGTCCGATTTAACTTACTTTTTACAGAAATATACATTATGTGCAATACAAAACTATTCTTATTATAAAATTCTATACTCATTTCATCATAAATTTCTATTAAATTAAAAAGTAAACAAATTACAAGAATATTGAAAGCTTATCGGAAATCTATGTCAAATTATTTATCAATGTAGGGAGGGACATAATCATGATACATTTAATTTATTATAAAAATTTATATTTCTTTTCATATGACACATACAATGCCAAAAACAAAAATTATACATTTAAAATTTTTAATAAAAAGTTCTTTCTTACAATCATTATTTAAACCACAATTTATTTTAATTCAAAAAAGTAAAAATTTTAAAATTATGAGAACAATTGTATTGATGACGAATATTTTTTTTATATTTTCAAAATTAAAATTGATAAAAATCTTGTAATTTAAATTTTGTACACCACTTACATTTACAAATTACACTTACAAATTTGCAACATCAATGTTGTATAGTATATTACGGCAATTTAATAAAATAGATTTATTTTATCTATTTTATATAGTATATGAACACAAAAAGAAAATAATTAATTATAATACTTAAATTTTTAGATTTTAAATATGAATTTTATTCATCATCTCATTTTTATATTTTTAGGCTAATTGTAACATTTACTTTATTTTTATTTGACACTAAATTAAATTAAAATTGAAAACATAATAATTACTCAGTGACAATTTTTAATTATTTGCGCGTAAATCTCCAACTAGGAACGCCAATGTATACATCAGAGCACTGCAACGAGTCGTAATTTTAACACGCAGAGTACACTCATAAAGAACCAAATATAAATGCGTATAAATATTTTTCTCACACACTACTTATATGTATTCACATTCGCCTTAGGATTGATTCATAAGTATATTTGTAAACAAATGCCGGTGCTAATGAATCGGCTTCACAAGAATGCATACACATTTCTAAGTAGAGTAACATAAATCGCAAATAATTCACGAGTCATAGCACATACTTAAGTAAGTATGAATATACTCATCGAAAATGAATTACTCGATCAGTTGTAGCATTCGTATAAATTTTGTAAGTGCTATTTTTTGTTTAGCAAAAAATTTGTGTGTTTAGTTTTATACTTTTGCCATAAAATGTTGTTGTTAGCATTATAAATACATTTTTTTTGTTTGTGCTCTTGAATATTATGTGTGCATTAAATTAGGTGTTGTTTTAGTAGGAAATTAAATGCACAGTAAACAACAACAAGCCAATTTTTCCCCGACAGAGACGTAATACTCCTGAATAATTCATAAATCATCTACATCATTTTTATGTCGAATGTCAGTGTTTATGAATATAATAGGAGCAGAGTATAGATAGTTCTAAGTGCTGTTAGTTGTATGTATCAGATGGAGTTGAATATACAAAAAAAAAAAGAGTCATTATGCATATAAATGAAATACGTCAATATTTCGGGTGTTGAGAACTCATTGCAGTTCTCTGGTATACATCCTCATAATAATATTTGTATTATTCGATATTTGTATATAAATTAATAAATAACTAATAATTATAATTTGATGTTCGATGATTGATAAGCCGATTAAGATAAATTAAATTTAAAAAATATACACCCATAAAACATTTAAATTAAAAAATATTTAAATATTAATTTAATATTACTTTTTATTACATTGCACCAAAAGCAAAAATGTTTTGTAAACAATGAGCATCCAATACTTAATGGGCCTATTTACACTAGCATGAACGTAAGATGAACTTGACGACAACATGAACTAACAGTTAAGTTTACACTATCATGGACTGTCATGAAGTGTGAAATTTGTTTCGTTTTGTGTAAACACATAAAACTCTTGTGTGTAGTAGTGCATAGGTCAGAAACCCAAAAAACCAAAATATAACATTGTATATCGGTTTTCATGTTCATCTTCATGATAGTGTAAAAAGGCCTAATCGCTTATTTCAAATAGCCAACTCTACACGAACCTCCGAATTGGTGAATTTTCTGTGCTCAAGGATTAAGTTAGACCAACTATGTCACCACAAGGTTAATCTGTAGCTAGAGCTATGCAGATACTTTACCGTAAATACGATAATAATCCTTTGGATAGCAAAAATAAATTGTAAGGAAAAACAAAAAAGTCTATATAATATCACATTTTATATTCTGTATTAAATTACCATATATACTGTAAACAAATATGTAGTGACAACAAAAATAAAAATTCAAATTTGGATATATAAAATAAGTTAAATTTTAAACAATTAATTGCATTATATTACAACTAACCTAAAAATATAGGAGCAGTGTCTCACTCTAATGAGAAGATGATTTATAGTTTACAATAAAGTATAAGTATTACGTATAAAGCATACATGCAGTACATGAGAATATAATAGTTAAAATCTTAATATTTTCAAACTTATCGAATTGATTTTTTTGTACCTAATGGAAAGTATTGTGATATATTGTACATTTTTAAAAAGAAATGTTTTCTGTATAATATTTATATATATACCATACATATAGAAAATTTTGTATATGTACATATACATATATATCTGGAAAGGAAAAAATATTGTTCATTGTTTGTTAATATTGTAACAAAATTTAGAAATCTAACTTTCTATTAAATGCAAATTAAAATAATAAATATTATATTCGATATTATGCAAATGCTGTTAATTTAAGACATATAATTTAAGAGATAGATTTTAATTGATAATAATTCTCTTTTATCAAATTGCAGTAAGAATCAAATCCAAAAACTGTTTTTAACGTAAATGTTAAAATATATATTAAATGTAAACAATAATTATGGGTATATCTACACTTTAGATATCTTATAAAATTCAATGACATATATGACCACTAATATAAGGATATTCAGATGTGTTCTATAACTCATTATTACTATTAAATTATAATAATATTATTACTAAATTTTTTATTATGAAATTACAATGTTATTGAGATAATGTAGTACATAAGCATTAGATGTGATCATTTTTTTAAGTATTCGTTACATCAGTCAATTCTTTTTATTGCACAAAACTTTAATTTTTGAATTAATTTTAATAAGAACGATTATATCTCATATCGTTACCTTTCCTTGTCGCTAATACCTGCAATTTGTGCCAATTATTCATTATTTTCGTGAGTGGATTTTAGCATCTTTCAAAAATATATATTTTTGATATTACCTTTCAACATAATAGCTCACATATGGTTGACTCTGTGATTGAAAAAAATTTAGATCTATTAAGAATCTTATACAGTATGCGTACACAGTGCAGAATAGTATGTTAGGTAATTAATTTAATAAGGTCGTAATGAATCCTCATAAGACTAAAGCAAAGAAGTCATAAAAAATGTGATTAGACGTCTCATCCTATTCCAGACACATAAGACATTCTGCCACTTTGAACAGACCTTGTCAGTTAGTAACAAGAATATACAATTTGCATCCACTGGTCACATAAATTTTTGACTATAAATATATTATTAATAATAAAAAATTTTAAATATGTATTTACCGATAACAAAACCGTTGTCATACATAATTGTGTCCAAAATCGAATGTTTGAATTTTATGTGTTAGATTTCTTTAACATTAAAAATAGTGTCTGTTGTTTACTGTCTATTGTCAATAGACAATTGAAAAATTTCTATCGTTGATAGACAGAACCGAATTTTGGTGCTGTAAACTGCAAACGGATAGAAATTATTTTATCAGCAGTAGATAGATTTGTCTGTTGCGTTTAAGCAGTAGAAGTTCAAACGCAATAGACAAAAAAATGGTGTTGCAACGCTTAATACAAATCTGTTAAATATTTTACACAATCAATTTACCATATAAATTTAATATTATATTTGTTTATTTCATAATACGAAATTTGTCTACCTATCGACTCAGTAGACAAATGTCTATTATCTACCAAGAGGCATTCTATAATAGGTACTAATGTCTATGCAAACGCTTTATTACAAACATTTTTTGGATACAATTATTCTTCTGCTTTGTAAGTTCTGTTAACTGGCATATTCTTATATTTTCTTCGCGTTTTTGGTAGCTAACTTTGATTTGTGTTTATTTAAATATATATATTAAAGTTTAACTAGGCACGCACTGTAAACGTGGGTAGCAGAGTATAGAGTTCTTCCAGAAATGAAAAACAAAAATTTAACAAAGACAAAACTTAAGCCCTATGCATTACTCGTAAACACAGACAACATCCACCGAGAGTGAGAGTTGTTGATATCGCAATTAATTGAGTGAACAGCATTAAATACCTTAGTCAGGCTCTCCGAAAACTCTTCAAAGTGCCATGGTACATCCGCACGAATGACATACTAAGAGACCTTAGAATAGAATTAGTCAGTGAGATGGGTGGGACTTTGCAGAAACCCCCAGCTATCAAAGAGTAAAAGTGCTCAGATGCATTAACTCGGAAAAGGCTCAACATTAGGGCATATATGCATTGCAACCTATTCAATGTGTGACTTTATTAATATTAACCTTAAGCAATAATGGGTCTTTTGCATAGAAAAAAAAAAGAGTTCTTGCTTGATCTCATACTCAGAATTTGCTTAAGATGGTATGCATAAAAATTTTGTGCCTGTGCTTGTGCTCGCAGAAAAGAGTTAAATAAATTCTCAATTTTATTGATTGAACTTTTGTTGAAAAGCTTATTGTGAGTAATTGGTAGGTTTCGTATGCATAAAAATCAAGTTTCTTGATTTTTTGTGAACAGTTGCTTCGAAAAAGTTAAGCTGCTGTTTTTGTGCTCACATTTGCTGCGTTGTTACTTTAAAAATATTTCTCACAAGAGGTCGGAGTTTTGTTTAGAGTTTTAAATAATTTTCAAAAGAAAATAACTTAGTTTCTAATTAAAATACAAACAATAAATTAAAAAAAAAAACAAATAATGGCAGAATTTTTGAATGTGAAATTAAAAATAAAAATTATTAGCAGCGTTTAACTATAACAAATATTTACAATAATAAAAAGCTGTATACATTTTCAAAGGAAAACATTCAATGGCTAGTAGAAGTGAGTTGCAACCAAATTTTTTAGCAGTTACTTGCTTTCAATTTCGATGCCACTAACTTCTTTGTACTCTTTTTTTAAATTAGTAATGGCTTCAATTTTTTTAATTTTAAGTATTGGCAGTTACGATTTTTAAAATAAAATCTGATAATTATGAATTTAGTCTGTCAAAAAAATACCAAATCATCATTTTTCATTTCACACATTTTTAATTCTTAATTCAATTTTTTGCATAAAATAAAACACTTGAATTCAAATTCGAATTTTAACTGAAAATGAATGAAAGCATTTGCAATAACAAATAAGAAACTTTTTACCATGAAATTACAATAACAAATGCATATGAAACCTTTGAGCATTATCTCGCTTAGATTGAGTTGAGTTCAAGCTTCTTAATCTCATTTTTCTGCATACCAAAATCAACTTGAGATTGAGGTTTTGGTGAAACTCTGAAAGTTGAGATCAAGCTTACTATGCTTTGCTCGAAGCAAGAACTCATTTTTATGCATAAGACCCAATAACGTTGTTTTAATTTTGTAAGGCCGCTTAAACAGGATGTATTTTATATATGATGGGCAGGATGGGTAATGTAGGCAGGATCTACTTAAACAGATATCTATATTGTGCTTTGTCGTGTTTTTTCAATCGAACTTGTTCTTTTTCCTTATTTACTGAGCATCCACATTTGCTAAAATTTGGCAAGATTATATAGATCTGCAAATACTTAATATTTTTGAATTCTTTCTATTAACTTAAACCATGTCAAATTCTAGACAGTACAGATTCTGCATATTTTTTGTGCCATATTTCTGAATATATGTTTTTGTATGTACATATATATTATTCAATGAAATCGAAAAAAAAATTGATTTAGTGATTTCTGTCTATTAATATACAATTATTAGCCTATGAGTGGCTCAGACGTGCTCGGTATTTAGAGAAGTAATCAAATTTTAATCGAATTTTAACATCCGTTTTCACGAAATAAACTATATTCCTTATATAAACTATTGTTTTCAATATAGAGGTATTTCGAGCAGTATTAAATTACAACAATAAAATTTCATTATTTTATTAATTAATTGAATTCTGTATGGTCACAGTTGTTTCGAGTATTGCCAAATACCCATTAGCAGTGGTCTTAGAATTATTTCTTGTATTTAATTATTCGTAAATAATTTTTCGAGACTGTAGCCTATCAAATTTAAAGCTCAGAGTCAGTGTTCATTAGCCAACTGACCCAAATCTGTTTTAAACTTTTATGTTCGCACATTTTTCTGGAGTTTTGTTAATTTGCTGTGAAAGTTCATCAACAAATTTACTTGCTGTGTTATATTAGAACGAAATCATAAACAAGCCTGATTATTGCATGATCAAATTATAAAAAATTAAAGCATTTTTTACTTCTTTTCTACGGTTAAGAGTGGCATAAGAGTAGACCATCTTTTTACTCTGCTTTGCGTTACATATATTGGACCAGTTTATTGGACCTTTTAAGAGAATTTATATATATCAGACATTCGGAAGACACAATTTTGTATTCTGTCATTATTGACTCCATAATGTGACCAAAAAGAGCTATTACAGTAAATACGGTTAATTTCTCTATTTTTATAATTGGCACAGTTTAACACATTTATACACAAGTGTAACAGGTCTTACTAAACAACACAAATTTTCATTATTTCAATTCGAAATTTCGAAGATTTACCAAAAGCTGTGATCATGATCGTGTGTTTTTTAGGAAGACCGAAAATGTATGGTATAAAATCGTTTAGACTAAATTTATGTTAAGAGTTTAAATAGTATTAGAATTAGTATTATTCTATTTGATAATGCTTAAGAAAAATACAATTTGGCGCAAATTTTCCAACAAGTATAAAACTTAAACGTTTCACACGAATTCTTGTAACGAATCTGTTTCATTTCAATTTAAAAATATTTAGTGCCAATTATTTTCAATCGTTAAAACCTTATAATTTGAATTTTGTGTACGCCTCTGTTCTACTAACTTTATATCTTTGACACACAAATCGTGCTTTGATTTAGCAGCGAATTTTATTACAGCTTGAGTGGACACTTGCGGAACATGACGTAAATCTAGCCAAACAAGTTGATCACATTTAGACAAATATTCAAGTGAAGACTCTGAAACTAATCGACAGGCACTTAGATTAAGCTCAACTAAATTAGCTATCGCAGTTGATGAAGTACCTATTTGAGCTACACCAGCATCAGTAATACGCTGACATGATGATAGATCTAAATGCTGCAAATGTGGTAAAGCTTGCGTAATGTAACGCAATGCTACATCTGATATATCAGTTCCTGCTAATTTTAAAATTTTTAAATCACGTAAACGAGTTTTAGAATTTGTTAAACCTGGCCTGGAATCCTTAGGTGGTGAGAGTATATCTCGTATTGCGGCATCATTTAGACCACGAACAAAACTTAAATCTAATATTTGTAACGGCGGGCAGAGGCAAGTGTGGAGAGCAAACACTGCTTGTATTGGACAATTTTGAAGTGAGAGATTTTTGAGAGCAGGTAGACGTGCAATTATCCACGCTAATTGTCTTTTAGCAATTTGTGTCCAGTCTAAAATTAAATGTTCTGGTTGACGTCGTACTATTGCGGTAAGTAATGAAGCAGATAATTTATGTTCAGCACAATTCATTGTTTTCCAAAGATCTGGGTCCACCGCTACATTCGACCAAGATTTGCAAACAGAACAACATGCTACTAAAGTTTCTTGTGGAAGATAACGAAATATAATTTTTAATAATGTTGCATCTAAAGCTAAATTTGATGAAGAGGAATGATTGCTATTAGATCCACTGCAAGAAGCATTGTGATGTCCCGCAGGTCTTACCACATACTGTGGTTTTTTTAAAACGCGTGTGGAAGAATTTAACATTTGTTGGGCTAGTTGAGATCTTATAGAATTTTTTTTACGTGAAATTTGACCACCTATATTAACCCCACTCGTATTGCAATCGATTGAAGCGCTAGCATCGACACTATCTTGCATACTACTGCAGATACTTAAACCGTCATCACTTCTTCGTCTTTTAATTTTATCACCAGATACACCAGGAGATGAAGTTTCTTCGTAATGTCGATCAGATTTTCCATCCAAATTATGATGACGTTTTGTTCCATGTTTCCAATTTATCAAATTTGACCCTGTTTCCATTTCTGACTCACTAGTAAAAACAAACTCGTTATATTGACTTATAGGCGGAGGCAATTGATTACTATCAAATTCATTTGCTCCTAGATTACTTCCACCTACAGAAGTTCTTCTTACTTCTGATGATTTTTGACGAGCGCGAAAATGTCGAGGCTGTAAAATTATTTATATTCAAAAATTATAGTATAAAATATGTAATTTTATATATAATTCTACCTTATAGTCATTATTTTTGCCAGATCGACAACAACTTGGGCATTCCCAGCTATTTGGTAAATCTTCATTGACAATTCCCTTGGTATCAGAAATTTCCTCTGTATCCTTAAGTTTGGACAAGGCGCAATCTGGATGTGCAATTTCATAACACACCGAACATTCCATAAGCGCAGACGGCCCCTCAACAGATCCTAATTGTTTCGTTTGAGGCGAAATAGGTGTCTGTCGCCAACCATCTAAATGGCAAAAAACACATTGTGCTGTAACAGGCAACATCGGTGATAAGCATTGACGCATCATACAGGTTTGTTTAGCTCGTCCAGGTCCTCCAAATTTCACCATATCTAAGCAAAAACTACATTCCCCACAATCAGAGCGCTGACATGCAGCACAAACCTTACAGCGGGTACGACGTCGACGTGGTTGACCTGTACCTGTCACATTTGCTGATAATTTTGAATCACAAGATTGAAAACAGTTTTCGCTGGAACTCATATTTTGCCCCAATACATTGAAGATTTGTGTAGAGTTGTTGAAACCAGAACATGTAGCAATAACACTTACAGTATTATTAGTAGAAGTGGCTGCTGCAGCAACTGCATTTGCGAGATGCATCTTTTTCGGTGGACGATATTTTAAACTATCAGTGGGCGACACAAATGTTGCAACTACAATTCATAAAATTAGAATATATTATAGATATAGATGAGTAAAGACATATTTTTTACCTGATTGAATACCATTTGTACCACACTCCTTTTTAATTTCGTCTACTACAGTACTACCATCGCCAAAGTATTCACTTTTGTTATCTGTAGATTCCGTAGTATTCGCAGACTCTAATTGTTGTATTTCACGATTTAATTCAGCGTTTTTACGAGCAATTTCTTGTTTTATTTCTTGCTTAACTTTTGAACGCTCATATATATAAAATGGAGGATACATTTCGCATTGGGGTTGCAATACTGATACACCAGTTACTGCTAACTCCGGCTTATCCTTGCAGTGACGCTCAACTAACGTACGGACATCTTTAATTAAAGCCACGGGATCCCGCACTAAATCAGGCACATTTTTCTTCTGTGGTGGTAAATCGTATAAATATGTTACTATTTCTTTTAAACCAAAAAGCTCATAATGTGTAAGATTAATATGTGGACGTGCTTCCAATTCAATATCGCTAACAGATTCCTCACCATCCAAATGAGCATGTCCTAATAACGTATACACATAACGTGCTAAAACATACCACAGCATCTCAGTGAAAAAAGGATATCTAAATTTTTGTGGAACTTTTGTTGAATCTTCAACTTGTGCTGTCTTTAACTGTTTCACTATTCCAAAAGAATGAAGAAAATTGCCACCAAAAACTAATGACTCGCTTGGGGTGTAAACAGCATGTATCCAGCCCGTGGGAATAAAAAATGTGTTACCTATAATATTTAAAAATATTTAACAATTTTGCAATATCTTCAAATTATACATTTTATGTATGTATTTTAAATACAAACCGGCTGTTAAATAAACTCTAGCACACTTTTCGACTGTATCACCAAAAAATATATCTGACTGCTTGCCGGATAAAACCCACTTTTCATACAGTTGTAAATTTTTCTCTGAAGGTGGTATCAACCAAAAGACCTTGCTTCCTTTTAATATATGATACCAAACACTAGTACCTCCGAAATCAATATGAAAGTCAGTGTAGCAATTCTTCACTGACATTAAACAGTATTTTTGTACTTTTGGATACATCATTTCTCCTATAACATTTGTACCTTCTTTTTGAGCATCTTTTAATTGTTTTGGCCAAACAACATCTACCCAATCGATTTGTCTCACAATCTCAGGACTCTGTATGTATTTGGCTAATCGTGTATGAGAAAACTCTAATGATATGACATTAAGTAGTAGATCTTTTTGTGGATTATCGTAATAATGTTGCCATTCTTTCATTGTCATTTGTAAATTTTTCTGTGTATTCACATCCATTACATCAAGTATTCGACGAGAACCAACGCAAAGTCTAACATCATTTACTGTAAATTCATTTGCATCTGGCATTCGCAAACCCAACCCAGTTTTCTCACGAAATAATAAGGGTACGTTAAAGCCATGTTGTTGCAAAAACCTACAGTCATAATTGAATTACTCTTTGAGATTTATTACATTATAAAAAGGTTTTATACATACGCAACATTTAAATCACATCCTCGCATTTCACGCACCATACCAGATTGTGCAAATTTTGACGACTCAAGTTTCTCAGCAACACTGAACCCACGAGCCCCTTCCATATCATCGTCACCTATGGCCCATTCTTCTAAATAGAGTTTGCGCTGTTTTCGTTCACGCTAAAAATACGATTTTTGTTTTTAACAGGATGATATAAGATGATCATATTTTATAATAAATAAATATATATACTACATATACGTATTAATTAGATTGGCAATAGATCTAAGATTAAGTTATTTGGTCTCTAGTTTTACTTCAACGAAAAGATGTGTAAAGAATATATATTTGGTTCCACTGTCGGATAGTTCTACCCTCATAAAAAAACTTCGACACTACCCTCTAAAGACATTGATGTATACGCGAATTGAAAGCACATCTAATACTCTATGCATATCACTGCAAAAGAAGTGAATAATTATCATCATTGTGACGCTGCCATAGAAAAGGTCACAAAATATTAAGCTAATATGCTGTAAGTTGCGATGCATACTGAACGCTAATTCGAAATTTGTACAAATATGCATAATAAAAAAAGCATATACTATTGCTAACAAATATTAATTTTGAACAGTCCTAAATGATCCATATGATTTATGTATATTACGGATTTTATTCTCTATTCACCGAAATGCTAAATTTCTTTTCTTTTGTGCAGGTGTTTTGTTCAGTGCAAGATTTTATGCAGTCATTCATAAAATTTCGGTTTCGAAAAAAAATGATAAGTTTCAATTCGATTTAACGTTCTTTAACGCTCATGTATCCTGAGTTGACATGGCAATTTCAGCTAAACATGCGAGATAACATGCGACTCTCTCATAGACAGATCATTTGTGGATCTTAGAGGTACGGTCGGAAGTCAGGAAATTTAAACAAGGTATCCCCCAATGAGTGTTCTTTCAGCGATGTTATTTCATATTTATATATCCAAACTCCCGCACTCATTAGAGTGAATCAGAGTCATAACGTATATCATAACGATTGTACAATTTTAGCCACGGGCCAAAACCCTTCCTTATGGTGCAACATGTGGTACAGCATGTGGGCACTATGTGGTCTCATTCTTTGATAATAGAACTGTTCCCGTATTACCAACTAAATCTTCCGCCACCCTATTTACTTCCTAGACTAAAGAGGCATCTTTGACTCTGTCCATTAACATCGATGAATACAGGACTACTACGTCCACCAAACCGAAAATCCTGAGAGTCGTACTGGACAGCATGTTGACCTTTTCTGCACATGTTACGGCGATACTCTTGCAGGTTGGAAAAGACAAAAAAACACATACAAAGCAATAGGCCGTCCTATTGCAGCCTATGCAGCTGAAGTTTGGATCCCACAAAGCTACGAGAAGCAATGGAATAACATACATTATCTTCTATTGGTGTGCAATTATTTTATGGATTCCTTTTTACGTTCGACGTAAATGATCAAGACAAGAGTGCATCGATCAACTTACCTACTTCTACATTTAGTGATGAAGCTCCATCCTTTGCCTCTGTATAACACTGGTACAATAATTTTAATGGTGACCGCAGGTCGCTCACTGACGAAATTCATGAAGGTCGTCCAAAATCAGTTGTTGTGCCAGAAAACATTGATGCTGTGCAAAAACTGATAGTGCACGATCGTCATGTGACATATTGTGAAATTAAGGGAACCTTAGGCATTATTTCCACCAGCATATATAAAATGTTGCATGATTATTTAGGCATGAGAAAGGTTTATACTCGTTGGATCTCCATCCCCCATCATGTGACAAAATCTCAGAAAGATGCTCGTGTGGATTAGTGCACACAAATGCTAAAGTACAATGGTTATGCTTCATCTTGTTCCCGAATGTCAGGAATAAATTGCATGGACAACTATTTTTGTCGGCGAAAAAGGCCGTTGTTGAATTTAAAAACTATGTTTTTAAGGTATCTGAAGAGGATTGGAAAAAATGCTTTGAGAAATTGTTCGAACGCGTTTAAAAAAACATAAATAATAACTCTCGTAATTATAAAATATATATATACGACGTGTTGACTTCGGAGTAACTATTGATTGTTCTTGATCAAGTGACTGCGGATGCTCTACCGTCGACACAGATTACGATTGGTTTCTAATGATGATATCACATCGAAAACACCAAAAGCTTCGGCTAATGTGGACAAACTTCTCGACTGTTCTAAAGGTGCGTAATTGATTGGTATGAGCTCAGATTACCTTTCCGTTTTCCAATCTAAAATTGTACATCACTTTTCTAAGAAGTTCAATAATAGATGTATTCTTTTGACATGAATACTCATATAGAACACGTGTCGCTTAAAAATTAACATACAAAGCAAAGACAAAGTTCGCAAAAACAAGTTCATTTTACTGAAAATTCTTAACTAATATGCCTTTCGCACTACACTGATGGCAAATCTTAAAACTGATCTATTGTGAATGATTTTTGGAAGAAAATGGAAAACTCCAATCAGCTGTTTAATTTAAAAAAGTAATTTTTTTAATAAAATTTGTGAAAACGACTAACAGGTTAGTAATTATAAAGTTCATTAGTTATTAAAGAATTTTCAATTTCTGTGGTCATTAAAAAGCGCAATACATAAATAATTACAAAACACAATCGTTGAAATAAAAGCAAAAACTTATAGACCATTACAAGAAAAATAAAACAGTGCTATATATACTGCTTTTTTAGCATTAACTGCTAATGTTAGAAGTTTGAAAATTATTTAAACGAATTTATTCTCGATCTCATATTACCTATGTGTATATTTATATAAAAAAACTTTTTTATAAAATTCAACAGCAAATTTGTTTTATTTGTTATATGTTTACTGGTTTTGGCAGTGATGCCAAGTTATTCTTAAGCACCAGGAGTTCTTCTATTGGAGCATTTATGTTAAAAGAATACACCTAATAAATAATAGGGTTATTCAGGCAACTGATTTGTTGCTTAGTTGATTCAAAAATTTCATATAAAAAAAATTTAGCATTTTGATGTTAGCGAAACATATGTTAACAGTAAAATACTCATATATTCGTAAATTTATATATCATTAAAAACTATCATACAATTCATCATATAACTAAAATTGCAAACGTGTCATATATCAAGAAGCAGAATATTCAATTTTTAAATTTTTAATTATATTTTAACCCTTTACAAATTATAATTTTACTGAATTTTATTTCTTAATTTATGTTATTATTTTTGCATTTTGTTTTTAAGACAACCTATGCTTATAGCGCTCACACTTGGTTCTGGCAGCACTATTAATCATATTTTCACTAATCTGAGAATCTCCGAAATAGTTGATTCTCTGCTTAGTATCATTTTTGTATGCAAATTTTTGTTGTAATCAACTATTAAGCAATTTATCAGTTGCCTGAATACCCCTTATATAAAAACAAAGCAAAATGATTTTACTAAAAGAGATAATAATAAAAGTCTTATGATATTGTGTAATAAGTTACAAAATAATATTTCTAAAGAATTATTTTAATAAGTCTGGCAACTCTACTAAATAAAATGTAAATAGCATAAATAAAATAAAAACATACCAAACTACATTTTTGTCAATTTTAACATAAAGAGCAACATTAAAGATTAGTTGAAATCGAGCGATAGTGAAGGGTGAGTGATACGAGTTCGCATTCAATGTAGCCATTGCGGCAAGTGTTCTGCACGTCTTTGGCTACAATGCATTAATCACTGTTCGAACATATATTAACACATTATACAAAATTATTACTTTATACTTAAAATTACTAATTTAGAATTTCTTTTTGAATTGGGTATTAATTTAATAGGAATTCATCCAGCGATTTGGAGTTCTCACAGTTGAAGTGGTTGGACACATCCCATTAATTGTGTTACTAAGATTAAAGATTGGATATATAAGATCAACAATTAAGTATAGAATATATAAAGTAAAATACAATAATTCATACAACTCTTGTAACTTATACGAGAAAAACAGTAACAGTAACTAATAGGAATTCATCCGCAAATTTATTATATATTTCAATTAATTTCACTTCACTTACCAATTGGCGACGTTGACCACCTTTTTGAATTTTTCCAGTGGAACCCGCTTCGGTCATAACCAAAATCTATGTAATATTTCAAAGATTTATATTGTTTGAATTTTTATTGTTTTAAGTATAAGTGCCACGGCACACGGTAGTTTACGGCACAGTATTGCCTATATAATGATGTTTATTTATTTTGAAAATGATTCGCGTGAATTCATTTAAATATCTAAATGTGTGCTATCAATTTTTTAATAGATATGATGCGAAGTTTTTAATTCTCAATATAACATTAAACTCCAACACTTAATGTTTTGGGTTGCCAGGTCCAATTTGAATTAAAAATTAACTATTTACTTTTGCAACATTTACTTTTGTTATTTAATAATCATATTTCTGTGAAGTTTAAAAAGAAAAAACAAGATATTATGCTATATATATACCTTCTTAAACTTATTTATTGTAATGTAGTTTCCACATTTTTAAAATAAATTGTAAAGTCCCTGATTTCGGTAACTTGAATGAATTACTTTGTAATTATTTTACTCTATATTAAAATTGAAAATTTCAAGAAAAAATTATTCTCATCGCGTAACAACTTTTAATTGAGCACATCCTTTTGGCGGTTTACTCATCATAACATGTATGTAGATCGTAAAAGCATTAATTGGAATTATAATAGTTGTCAACCCTAGATATCGAGAGAAAACAATAACTAATTAAAGAGCATTTAAAAGTATTGCTGAGAAGGTACTATAAGAATTTTGTATTAAGACTATTCTTTAAATCTAATAGAATATTAAAATTTGGAAATGATTTAAGATTATATGAACTACATGAAAACTTTAACAGCTAAACTAATATTGAGATTTCACAAAAAAGTATGCGTTCATATAATATTTTGCACCTCAACAATTCACATCATAGCACATTTTTCACATTTCACAGGTCAACGAAAATTCTTCGCGTCAGTAAAGCTAGAACGTTGATCGAAATCATGTTTTTTTGTTGTGTCTGCCATTTTGGTCGAAGCACCTTGGCGTTACAGTGAATTTTATTTTTTATTCAACTCGAATACTAGAGGCACAGGACTTCGTTTATCTCAAATACAAACGAGAAACACAGAATATTTTTATGTTTGGAAGTTAAATATTATAATTTATTTGAACTATATTTTTAATATTAAAATTTCCATAATTTGTTAAATTTCAAATTTATCTACGGAAACACATTTTAAGAGCATAATTTTTATTATTTTTGCTAATACACCAGTCATTTCATGGGAATATGTTCACTTCTTTTTGTAATATGTTTTTCACTTTTTTAATAAAATAATAAACATTTAATTTTAACCGTATTGGAAGTTAGATTCCTTCTACTTTTCTCTTCTTCGTAATAATTTTAGCTTGGTGCAACAAAATAGATTTAACAACACGTCCACACCTTTCAATGACACTCGCACAACGAAATTGAAATTTAATGAGAAAAAATGATAGAGCATAGCAAAGCTTGAACCAAAGAACACAGAATTTTAATCACCCAGTACATAGTAGTAAACCAGGGTTTCAGGCAACATTTTTGATGCTTTGTAGTTTTTAGGTAATTGAATATAAAATTTTTACAAGGTTTTTAGTTTTTTAAAAAATTGTTAATACTTTGAATTTTTTAAGTTCTAATTATAAATTAGAAGCATTAACATAAAATAAAATATATTTTAAATTGCACAAATAAATTGCAGGAAAAAAACATATAGTAGGTCTGTTCCACGAGCTTGTAGAAAAACTTACATTAAGACCGAAAAGTTTTCGGAAATTCTCATTTAAAATTCGCGCGCTGTATATTTTTCGATATTTTAAGTTTATGTAGTTTGGCAGCAATTAAGGACAATTACTATGCAAAAAATGAGAGCGATCTGTCAGACAGTTCGTTTACGGCAGCTGTTGAAACCAGTTCACCTCAGTAGTGCGTTGCGAAAAAAACAATGGAAAAAAATATTGAACAAAGAGTTTGCATCAAATTTTGTGTTTCGAACGAAATTTCGTGTGCAGAATCGTTGCGAATGCTACAAAAGGCTTATGGGGAATCAGTTTTATCGAAAACTCAAGTTTATGAGTGGTACAAAGCTTTTCAGGACGGTCGTACGACCGTCAAAGACATTTCGCAACGCACTACTGAGGTGAACTGGTTTCAACAGCTGCCGTAAACGAACTGTCTGACAGATCGCGCTCATTTTTGGCATAGTAAATAAGGACAGTGCTGCCAAACTACATAAACTTAAAATATCGAAAAATATACAGCGCGCGAATTTTAAATGAGAATTTCCGAAAACTTTTCAGTCTTAATGTAAGCAAAACACAAGTAAAGTACAAACTGAGAGTGTAACACAAATAAATTGCCAAATTACACTCTTTATACAGATTTTCATGGTACATCTTAGTGTAAAATCTGATGAGAACACCAGTGCCGCGCAAAAAAACAAAACAAAAATTTAAATTCAAACCAAAACTGTTGATTCATACATCACACAAATTTACTTGAAATAAAAAGTACGAATAAAGTCTATGTAGCATTTTCAAATTTCGACAAAGATGTTACGCTCTCTCAGATGCACTTCTTTACTCGAAAACTTGCTGATGGATCGCACTTGTGTATACACAGTGTTACTCAAAGTTACTACGAGTAGCTCGTGGAACAGACCTAGTATGTATTGTTTATAAATTCAGTTGAATATTTTGTTACACCATTGACAAACTAGAGAAATAAATTATTATTAGGCACCTTCCTTAAATAATAAGTATGACCATCATGCAAATTACTGGAACTCTACGTCCCACCCCAACAAAAGTTTTTTTTTTCGCTTTTCTTCATTAGATTACTTCTAGGCTTCTGGTAAAAACGCAAGCTAAATTAGTGGCAACCAGACTCAATGCTCTTTTCTGCTGGTCTATAATTGATATAATTGATATCATACTGAATTAGGATTTGTCAGTCCCTATCTCAGTGTACTACATTTGCACTTACTGAAACCTCGATACAGAGATCGAATTTCTTATACCTAATAGAAATGACTGGATTTTAGATAGAGTAGTTTCTGTTAATATGGTACACATTTTCACTAACGGCTTCAAAATATACGAAAAGTCGTAAATGGCATAATTTTCTAAAACTGAATGGTTCGGAAAATAAGGAGGAATCCATATTTTAATCCAATTTTATATATGAAATATATACATATAAGAAAACACAATCAAAACGGTATTCGCTTTTGTAAAAATGAGTCAGTTCTACTTAGCAATTGTACATATATATAGAATGGTTCTGCACCTATATAGAACCAGGCTCATGTTTATAAATATACTTTATCATTTATTCTCTATATATAATAAGTGAGCGATTAACCGAACAAAAAATGTAAATTAAAAAATGTCACTGTCTTTTACACCCTTTACACAAAAAAATGTAAAATGTAATGTATATTAGGTTTGTCAAGATTTTTATGACTCACTAAAGGACATACTATAAAGTATGTATATTCTTGATCAGTTCGCATCGATGACTTTATTCAGCTCTGTCCATCTGTCAATTTCATTCAGTCGATCATTTGTTGGATTGACGAAATTTGAACCACAATATTCTACAGCTGATGTGAACACTCAACAATCATATGAGAGAATTATAAAATTTTGTTCATATTATTGAACGTATATACTTTAAATTTTGAACATAACCATAATTAATGAAATGCAGTCTCTTTATTGGCTTTGTCGAAATCAGACCAATATAACCTATGGTTGGTTGCAATGACAGGCTATCACATATTTTTTTTATTTACCTCAATTAGCGGTTAATTTAATAGGTTTTTCGTTACTGTTAGTGAAATACCTCCATAGAAATCTATTTGAACGGCAAAGTCGGGCATTCACAAAGAAATGGTTTACTTTACCTCTAAGTTTCCACAACTTCTGCAGTAAGAACTGTAGTAAACCTTGCAGTATTCACATGATCCTTTTTACAAGTTCCTAAGATATAGTTTTATAGCAGTTCTTATTAGTGTTATTATTATATATATATATATATATTATTATTTCTATATATATTATCATATAAATGAGACCCCAAACTATATTTAAAATTCATAAAATGAAATATGTATATTCATGTATCTAAGCTTCGTTAAAACCAATGCTCGTATCTCTATTTTTTTTTACTTATAATACTATTATATATTTAAATAATATTAAATATTTAAAATAAAACTATTTACGAAAGAAATTAAGTTAGATAGTTGAAATGCTCTCTTTACGAAACATATTTAGGTCAAAGATATTTTAATTATTTTATTTTCATATAAGAACTGTATCAAAAAGTTCAAACGATGGGAATAACGCAGTACTCTAACTTTAAGAAAGACGTACTTAAACCGAAAAAATATTCCATATCTTTCCAACAATTTATATCATTAAAGGCGAGTATCCAATATTTCAGCAGTCCGCGGCTCGACGGTTGAAACACCCTGCTCTAAACGATTTCCTTGGAAATTTTTAAACCAATATTAAAACTGAACCATCTTACCATAATTTTCTTAGTTGTATAAATTTTACTATTTAGTTTATTATTAATCATTTCTAATAATAATAAATCATATAAATGTTTTATATGCTACAGATATTGCAGCAATAAAAATGGACATTCGTCTAGATTGTTAATATTTTGTATTTATATAGAAAAATTTCGCTTTAATACCTTTGTTCTACCTATGGTAATGGCTGTACCAGCTGACTTATCCATTATGTTGCGAAATAGTTTCTCTGCTTTATTCAAATCCGCGGGAACAATAAAATAATGTTGAAGTCTTGAAAGAAGCCTATAGGTTCTCCTGTAGTAGATGGGATAATACTATTTCAACACTGCAATTTAAGCTCAGGGCTGGCGAAGCTAACATTTAGAGGTCTAGAGTAATTAAGCGTTACGCTAATTGGTGAGTCCTCATTAAGCACATTAAATGTGCATTAAATTTGGGTTGATTATAGCAAACCCCTCTGATCTAATAGTAGGTTAGAAAACCAGACTCAAATGTGTACGTTTTGTAGATATACGATTTCTTAGTTTGGGGCCTAGTGCAACACCAATTACTTTAGCTCACATTTATTCTACCTGAAAAGTTGATTGGTTGGCTTGCATCGAATTTGACGTAGCTAGCAGTTTAACCGAGACAGTAGCTCGGTTGAAAAATACTAGGTGTATTGAGTCCAGTTCGAATTTAATGACAACTGATATAAAGTAACCAGTTACGATTTGTCAACATGAAGTTTAATTCACTTTCATGCATCAAAGTTTGAACCATTCTCAGATATATCTTAAAGTTATGCGTTTTTCAATACTCTACTCGTTTATGGGAAATACATATATCATAACTTCCGGTACGGTTAAAATCAATGCAAATATAAACGAATTAGTAACTATTCAATACACATTTAAAAATATGAACTACTGAAAATAATGTGTAGTGTTATTTTATTTTTATTAAGAGCGATTTAATGCTTTAAAAAATGTTATCATCATTATTATTATTAATGAAAACTTCCATCATATAGATATCATCATGTGTTTATTTTTATGTTTTTATTAATAAAATTATTATTAATTGAGAAATAAGCATTATTATGTTAAATACAGCTTAAACACTTTACATACAAAATATATCTGCATCAGTCCATCATAATAATTTCCTAACAGTGCGCAATGAGTAAATTAAGGAAATACACTTCAGTCCCATTCACGCACTGTCGAAAAAGTGTGGAATAAAGAAACGATGAACGATGCTAGAAAGTGTTTCCAGTTAAAGGAAAACTTACTTGTATCACTTACGAAAATATTCATCCTTTTTAAACTACATCAATGAGTGGCATAAGCGAATTTAAATCAACTTTGCCATCAAATATAATAAAAAAAAATTTAAAATAATGAAAATATATCAAATATTTAAAATCACAATCACTTAAGTTTATAAATCTTCATCCATACTATCTGGCTTTAGATTGTTTAAGTCTACCGTAAATATATTATTATTATCAGAAAACTCAATTGGGTCTAGTATTGAATCTGCAGATTCAAAATCTTCGTCAACTGGAGAGTCAAAATCATTTTTCTTGTTAGTAAAAAGTTTGTTGTCGTTCTCAGTTGACAGTGACGAACGTAGTGCTAATGTTGATGGTGGCTTCCAAAGAACTAATGCAGTACAGGGCTTTTCATATCTATTCATTAATACTTGTGGTAAAAATGTTGAATTTTTTTGTGGCCCTTGTAGTTTTTTTAATTCATCACATACACTTATGCGATTAGCATTTTTAAGTTTTTGCTCTAGTTCTTTAGCGGTTAGTTGATAATCTTGATAGCTTAGATTTGTAAAACACTTTCCGGCAGATTTTTTCATGTTTTCACTATTGTTACTTTCGTCTTGTATATATTCACTTGAAATATGCAATCCATTAAAATGCGCTGTGAATTTTTCCTCAGATATATATTGCTTCGTTGGTCTAAATAAAACATTTTGAAAAGCGATAGAATTTCATAAAACAAAACTTACCTTGACTCAACAGGTAAGCCTGATTTACGTTTCTGATGCAGTGAAACACGATTTGTAGTTCCAGTGAATTCCATTACACCGCTATTAGCTGTAGTGCTTGTAGTGGCTAAGTTCCATGGCATTTCCTCCAAACTCCATGGTTCTCCAGAGGGAGGAGGCATTGTGTGTGCTTGAGGTGATATTGGTATGAACATGTTGTCAAATTGGTTGTACTGTTTTTGCTGTTGCCTAGTGGAATAATCATACGTTAAAAGTCTACTTTTTAAATGATAAATTACGTTAACCTTTTAATGGCATTATTATAAACTTACTTTTGCATTTTAAGTGTAATATTCTTTTCATATAGAATATAAGTTTAAAAAATATACAAATTTCGTTTTAAAACTCCCAACCCGTCTCAATATAATGTCAAAGCGAGATTGTTTATTTGTGAATTATAGAAATAACAAAATAATGCTACCAGATGCATTTACATTGAACAAATTTAGCATGTATAACTTGAAAAAAATATATAATATTATGATTTATACAATAGTGTTATACACTAAACATCACTTTGTGTTAAATATATATATACCTTTAAATATTTATATTTAATAAAATTGCATGCCTATGATATTTGAAAAACATTTTTTCTCAATAATATAGTCTGGCAACTAACGAATATAAAATCGTGCTTACTGTGATATAAAAATAGATATAAATAAAATTTCTTTAAATGTTTAGAAAATGAGATACGCACAAATTGTAATAGGACCTGCAGGGAGTGGAAAGGTATGTATTGTTATGATTATTATTAATTATATTTTAGTTAAAATTTTTTTTTTTAGTCTACATACTGCACCTTTCTTCAACGGCATGCATATGACGCAAAACGCACTATTGATATTGTCAACTTGGATCCGGCGGCTGAACATTTTGATTACAAACCAATTGTAGACATCCGCGAGTTGATACAGCTAGATGATGCAATGGAAGATGAGGAATTACATTACGGACCAAATGGTGGCTTGGTTTTTTGTCTTGAATATTTAATGGAAAATCAAGATTGGCTCAAAGAAAAATTAACTTCTGATGATTTTAATGATCCAGATGATGATTACATACTTTTTGATATGCCTGGACAAATTGAATTATTTACACATTTATCTATGGGAAAAGATTTTGTAAAATTATTAGAATCTTGGAATTTTAGAGTGTGTACAGTTTTTCTAGTAGATTCACAATTCATGATCGATGGTGCTAAATTTATATCTGGTACAATGGCAGCTCTTAGTGTTATGGCAAATATGGAAATGCCGCATGTAAATATACTAACGAAAATGGATTTATTAAATAAGTCTGCACGAAATAAACTAGAAAGATACATAGAGCCTGACCCAAAAGCTTTATTAAGTGATGTAGAGGAAGAGTCTATGTGGGGTCTATCGCATAGAAAATTGTCTGCCACAATTGGAAATTTAATAGAAGACTTCAGGTGAGTGAAAAATTTATGAGGAAGACTATGTTTTATACCACTTTTCTAAAAACAAGACAAGACGTTTCTTAATTTAATTTAAGCAAACAATTCGTTATAGATATTTATTTTTTATTTAATTTATTATATTTTTTTAACTTTTTGAATAATAGTGAGTAACAAAATTTTATTAGTTGATTAATTGAAATTATGGCTGACCGACCATACAGCCAAATACCCATCATCAAAATTATTTTAGGAAATATTTTTTATACTTAATTATTCGTAAAGAATTTTTATAGATTCCAAGTACTAAGGGTAGAAATTTTACCTGTCAAATTTAAAGCTCAGAGTCAGCGTTAATTAGCCAATTGACCTAAAGCCGTATTTGAGTTATATGTTCTGACTTTGAATTTTGTTAATTTGCTGTGAAAGTTCATTAAGAAATTCACTTGCTCTGTTATACTTGAACGAAATCATCAACCAGCTATAGTATAATTGAATTAATTATTTATAGGTTTAAATATTTAATTTCAGTATATTACAACAAATTTCAAATTAAAATGTAGAAATAAAATAGATGTTGTTATTTTTAAGTTAAAAAAAACTATTACAAACCTACATCATAAAATATATAATACAAATTTTTTTCCGTTTTTCGCTGAGGTTTTGAAGCTTCGTAACACTTATACTTTGAATGATTTAATTCAAAATCTATTTGAATTTTAAAAATTTTCCGTTTAAAAAGAAGTCAAAAATAATCAATAAACATATGCATTAAAAATATATTACATTTTATTGTGTTTTAACATTTACAAAAAATTTTATTGATTTGCTTTTCTTGTTGGATGGAATGGGTGATTCATGTGTGATAGGTCCGGTGGATTTTTTTCAAAATGAGTTATTTCTTCCATACCTCCGTTAGCAATATTCCAAATATTTGGATTTTCTTTTTTGAAATTGTCGTACCACTTTTTGATTAATTTGTATGGTGATAAATCAAATTTAATTGCTTCCAAGCATAATGTTGCTGAGACCAAAGCAAAATCTGCAATTGTTACATGATTTGCAGCGGCATATTTTGTACCAGATCGTGTTAAATAGGTTTCGAAAACATCCAATGCATTTTTCACTTTTTTTAAAGTCATATCGTTTCGTTTATAATCGAAAAATATTGGAGCCATACTGTGCATTGATATAGCAGAATAATAAAAATTCATATTGAAATATAGTCGATGATTAACAATAGCACGATCATCCACATTTTTAGGATAAAGACTACTATTATCCTTATATTTATCGCATAAATATTGCATGATTGCAACACTCTCAGGAAGGTAAAAACCATCATCATCTAAAACCGGAATTTCTTTTTGTGGATTCAACTGTAATGTACAATATAAAAGTAATTTTATAAATTATTATAAGGCTTAGATCTTATACATATCTCCATACAAATTTATATGATATGGTGTATTAAAAATAGCTTTATCGCATAAAAAGAAAAAAATTATTAATTTCAAATGTTTTATGCTTTATGTTTTTATTGAGGAGGGATCAAGTATATAGGTTCCTCTTGACAATATAATCTAAAAATAATAAAAACTATACAATTCTGACATATTTTTGTTCTCATAACAACAAAAACAAAAAACTGTCTTTTGGATTTTTAAAGTTTTTTGAATTTTAATTTCGCAGATAAACTTTTTTGATCACTATATATATTTATATACATATGAATATTTATATAAATAAAACTGTATATTTGCTATATATTTTATTCAACTTATTAAGTTGTAAAAAAAAACCTTAAACAAAAAAATTTTTTTAGTATTCCACACAAAACGCCAACTGTTTTTATAAGTACTTTAATATTAATATTTTTTAATATATACATCCCCCTTGGCTACGCCACTGACTTTTATTAATGATTTAGTAACTCAATGGAAATCCATAAGGTATTATTAATTATAGTTGGGATCATCATTGCCTTACCTTTGCGTATTCTTCCGTCATATGTTCCGATGCTATATAGTCAACATTAATCAATTCGTAAGGTATTTCCAGTGCAGCCAAGGTCATTCGCACAGCTAGTGAAGGGGGGCCATCGGACACAGCATATAACTTCATATTTACACTTAAAAACAAATAAAAAAATTTATTTAAATATAGTTTGTTATATTAAAAAAGCTTATATTAAAAAAACCAGTTTTCTGCAAGTTTTCTTTTCGAAAGTTGTTTTGGTTTTGTCGTAACTAAAATGCTTCTGAAAGGTAATCATTGAGACTATACCAAGACATATTTTCAGATTAGAACCGCTAACAGGGTTTTTTTTGTGTTTCAAACATTCCGGTATATTTATTATAACTTTTTTAATCTATCGGCAGAACGAGCATAATAAAATGTTTATATTTGATTTCTTTCACAATCTTTCATAGTTTTTTTTAGTATTATTAGATATGGAATATGTTTCTATTTAGACTAAGTTGTAATTATAAAATATTTTTTACTTTATAACAGAATTTATTTCACTCACATTACAATTCTTTAAACTAAACACAACCAACCAAACTATACCGAAACTTTGAGTTTACTGATTGTCATAGAATCTAAACGAAAAATTGTATATTATAGAGCACGAAAGCTTTCTATGTTCAACCTAAACAAGTTACTATTTCTAAACGTGTGAGAATGTAATAATTTGTTTGTGCATAACGATATATGTGTACGGTAATCTTTTATATTTTTTTCATACGTTCCTTGATCTTTTTTCAAATTCGGATGGTATTTTATTATTTTTAAAGCTTTTGAGCTTTTGTATTAAAAAAAGTTTCTTACAACATATAATAACGTTTTTATCTCTATACTCATTCATATATTTATGTGTGATCAACGTTTAAATGTTTTGTGTAAAATTATTTCAGATATAATATTGCAGTTGGAGTTTTCTTATATGGATTTATGTATGTTTGTGTTAAAAAATTGTGTATTAATTATTACTTAGGTTCACTGAGTTGTTTGTAATAGTAGAATAGGAATAGGAACATACATATATACCAATATTCTTGATTAGTTCGACGAGTCTTGTCGAATTGCATCCCAACAAAAAGATTAGGCCAGCATAAACAAAGCTTATCTTGAATTGTACTTTTTTTCCATTTTTTAATTATTAAAAAAAAAGTTATTTATTATTATTTATTATATTATTATTTATTAGAGTTCGGCTAACGCTGTTGGAAGATCTGAGTTTATTTATGAATTAGATATTGTTATACCAAATTACAAGAAGTATTATGAGACCTTATTAACTCGACATGTAGTGTAGTGAAAATGGTTCCTGAGAATGATAAAGCTTATAAAAATCCTTTAATATGTTAATGCGATGTATATTATGTATAATATATACATAATATATACATCATATAGATTATATATAACCTGACATGCTTTTGTTGTTAATATGAAAACTAAAATATGTCAACACTCAATTTTAAAAATATTACAGCTACTGGTGCCAGATTTAAATAACTTCAACAAAGTTTATATGAACTTACTGAGGATATATAGTGGTTATATATTTTATTACTCTTTTAGTTTAAAATAAAATCAGACTAGCTTATAATAACATTATTTTAATTCTCATATGAATAACTGATAAATGTCATACGTACCTATTATTTCGTACAGTATATAAAATATTTGCTTGTGGCTCTCCTTCCGTTTGTTGAGATTGTTTTGTATCAATGCTACAAGCAGTATGTGAATGATTTCCATATAATTTAATTAATTTAACTTGACCTGATTTAGACTTTCTTGTTATTGCATGACTCTTACAGTGTAAATCATGATCTTCTCGTTTAATGCATGTCCAATATGTGCGACCTTCAATAATTTTTCTTGAATAAAATATATAACCATCCAAACAAAGTAATTCTCCTCCTTTTGCAGATCGCAATATTGTTATATTAGAATTTATCTCAGAAGTTGTCGTTTGACTTAAATTATTATCAATTTCCTTATTTTGTGTATTTAATTCGCTAACACATACTTTTCCATTTGAAAATATATTGACAGACTTATTTTGAACATATACAGCCTTCTCCTGGTGTAAGTAGTCGATACTGTTAGAAATGCAAGGTACTTTAACTCGCATCTCATCTAACTTAGTTGGTAATTTTTGTGTATCCTGTTCTTCATCTGATATCGAATCCAATTCACTCTCAAAACTTGATAAACTGTTTTCGGAACTATCGTCATCATTAAATAAATGATTTTTCCTAAATGAATTAGTACAAAATATTTAATTTAATTTAATCAATATAAAATTAATAAAATAACACATGTATACCTATTTATATTCGTACGAATTCTACAGATTCTTCGTTCAATCGCTTCCTTTGATTTGACAAGTATATCGTTGAAATCGTTGCCTTGTGTCTCGGAGTGGGATTTCCACACTTTGTCTGTACTTGTTATTATATTATTTGCGTTTTCTGGGAATAAGTATTTATAAATACGTCGTTTTAAATCTTGTGAATTATCAGGATGTGCGTGTTTGCCAGTTATTTTAACAATCACTGGCCCCTCGTATGTCATTTGAGTTGTAACACGAGCACAACATTTATAAACTTTATGTCGACGTAATGTGCAAGTCCAATATGTACGATTTTTATTGGAACTATGAGAATCGAAATGAAAGATTTGATTTTTCAAACAAAGTACTTTATTTCCCTTAGCTGATGGCAAAAAAATAAATTTAGTTTTTCCATTAATAGTCTTTGCGTTATCTGTGAGTATAGATAGGGGATCATGAGAAAGTTCATAAAGACATGGTGTTCCAGTCGTTCGTCTCTTTTTTTCTGTATTAACAGCTATGCAATCCTTATTGAAATTTGTATTCTTGCTGAATTCTTGAACTATTTTCAAATTTTGTTTGGTTATGAGCTCCGATATTTGCTCTCGACTGTATGGCTCATGTTTATGTTGATTTACGTTTAAGTTGTCTTTTAAAATATGGTGACCACTCGTAAGGCGGGTTGATTTTATACATGCTTCACATGCTAATCGTCGGCGTACACAATCCCATAAATATATCTTACTAGTTTGATTTTTACTTTTTAAACGATATAGAAACCCATTAACAAATATCATATACCGTCCGTATGAGGTTTTAAATATATAGGTTTTTTGTTCCTAAATATATACCAAATGTATTTTACTTATAAGATTATAGGAAAAATTAGGTAAGATAATTTACCTCAAAATCAAATAAGACTACTTTGTTGTCATATGTTAAGGCACAAGGTGATTTTTCAATAATTGATGTTATAGCTTCATTTTGGTTGCAATTGCTTTCTTCTAAACAATTTTTAATATTTTTTGAATTGGTGTTTTTGATTTGGTGTTCATCGGCATTATGTTTAATTTTTTTTTTTAAATTTTTTGCTTCTAAAGTACATGGTTTCCCAGTCAAGTTTGCCTGACGTTTTCTTTCGTAAACCTTAAAAACATCATCAACAGAGCACTTTTCATGTGTATGTTGTCCAAAAACAGATTTAACCTTGTGATTTGATTCATCACCATCTACTACGGTAGTTATAATGCGTGATCTACATGGGGTAAATTTATCCTTGCGTTTATTGCACACCCAGCGATAACCATGCTCTCCCTTGTTTTCAAAATGATATAGAAAATTATCAACACACAACATATCATATCCTTTGGCAGATCGAGCCATAAAGAGTTGTTTTGTATCCATCGGAAATCAACTATAAAAACAAACTTTAGTATATTGAAGGCTACAGAAAATATATGTGTAAAACTCTTTTTTAAAAAAAAACCCGTTCACTTCTTTCCCTTAAAATCCAGAATATTAAGTCAAATACAAAATGTCTGGGATTACGAAAAACAAGATACAGCTGATGGTGATGCCATATGATATTAAATAAATACTTTAAAAAAATGTTTATTTCTACTCTCATATCTTAGATAAGAAGAAAATGTCTACTTAATACCTATTATGTTTTGTAAATGTAAACAAATAGTATAGTATAATAATTCAACTACTTAACCAATAGTTTTTTTATTTTACAATTTTCTTTATTTTAATAATAATATGCGTAATTTTGAACATACAAAACATCATGGAGGCACAGCAATGTCTGTCGTGTATCAGTAAATTAAAATTTATTCTGCATTACTAGAAGTATGAGAATAATTTTAAAATATTACAAAAACTTAAATTGAATACTTATATATAAATTTATATATTTATTTTCGGCATTTGAAAACCAAGCTCTTTCATATCGTTTTTTAAAGAAGACAAGCAATTTATCTATTCAAAATTATGAACCAAGGATACAATTTTAATCGTTACATAGCTCTTTTATTAGCATATATATATAATTGGCAAAAACAATATTTATTAATTTAAAACAATTTTTAAATTATATAATTTTTTCCATTTGCGTTTCTGTTTTGAAATTCAAGGACACAATCTAGTACTATTTTAATGAAAACACAGCATAGTCATCATTTAATTACAACAATATTCACAAATGCCTATTTAGTAAAATATATTTTAACGATACTTACTTGGTTGGCCATTACAGACGTAAGCTGTCCTTGGCTGCGTTGTGTAACACCCGCCAGCCAGCCCGATCAGCGTCTTGCTGTCGCCAGTTGGTTGTACCTAGCACCCCCAAATTGTTGGTCACCAAACACCTGCCTAGATGAAGCACTTTCTTCCATTCGCTTAACATGATCAACCCAGGGAAGCCGCAGGTATGATAAGAGGCTTGTAGAGCGTAATTTTTGTTTGTCGAGTAAGGGTTAGCCTACTTATCCAGAAGTAACATGTGCTTTCAAGTGTTTACGCTAGTTACCAAATAAACAAAGTCTTTTACAACTTCGAACTTAAAATTGTCAACGTGGGTCCCAAGATGCTGAATAGATTTGTTTATTGACAGAACGTTTTTTGTTTTATCCTCATTTATCACAAGATCTATTTGTTTCGCTTGTTTTTTTAAGTTTGAAAATGACACGCTGACGGCATATGCACTTTGCACTTTTGTAGAATATTGTAACAGTGCGGTTTAAACCTTCTGTTTGGATTACCGATTCAAATATTTGTGCCTATTCTGAATCGCATGGGAATGGGAGTTTTTTCCTTTTTCCCAATTTTGCTATTCTGAAGATTATGGGAATGGGAGTCTTGTTCCCTTTCCTTTTAAAAAAGTGTTAAAAAAGTTTTATTAATATGAAAGTAACTTATAATGATCAGATTTTTGAATATATTTTAATAAAATTATTATAATAAAGTTAATATTTTCTAATTTTTATTTTTTTATTTTATCCACACGGGTTGATTAATTTTAATAAAATTATTATAATAAATTTAATAAAACTAAATTTTTATTTACTCTATTTTATTAAAATTATTATTTTAATAAAAGTATTATAACAAATTTAATATATTTAAATTTTTATTTATTTATTTTATCCACTAGGGTTTTTTTCACAAATTAAAGCATTAACTATTGTTATTTAAAACAATGGATAATGAAAGAAACCCAAATTTTGAAATGAATGGGATTCCTAGAATAAGTTAAAATAAACTTTTGCAATTATGCGCAGGTAAAACATTGCTTTTTTTTATTGTAACATCTGCACAATCATAAACTATTATTATTATTATTATTATTGTTAGGGGATGTAGTCCCGCGACCGTCGGGTCTATTATGCCCCCTTTTGGGTTTAGAGTAGGTCTTTAAGCCCTGTTGCGTCTATAAAAAGTATAGTTTTAATGCCTCTTCCGTAAGAATATACATTGCTAGGAGGCTATTTCGAACGTGCCCTGCGCTAAGGTCATTCTAAGAGCACATGTGTGGCCGACTCCTCATTCTCTTTACAGAATCTACAGTTTGCATCCATAAGTATACCCAGTTTTATGAGATCACTAAACTATTTTTACAGTTTATTATATTAAGGGCATTTCTATCCTAACTATATAAATAAATTTGAGTTTTGGAGAGGAACTCAAATTTTAGTTAAAACAATAATTTTAATTAATAATTATATTAATATTTTCTATTATTTAAAATTTTCATTACATAAATTTTTGACAAATAATGCAATTTTCACTTTTAAATTAACATATGATACGCAATTCTTTTCTTTGTTTTGCTCATTTTCGCACTTTTAGTCATTAAAAAGTGCCATGGTTGCCAAAATTCAACAAAACAAATTTGAAACTTTTGTTGTTTCCAAAACAGCTGTCTCCCAAGTAATTCAGAATAAGGGAGTTGTGTTCTTGGGAAAAGCGTGGAGACTTGTTCCCTAGTAGTATTCAAAATTGCTGATTAGTTTAAAGTAGTCTCACGACAAAGAGTCACCCTGTCTGAATCCCCGTTTGGTATCAAACGGCTTAGAGAGTTTCTTCCCGATTCTAACGGAGCTGATGGTGTTACTCAACGTCACATTACATAGTCGTATAAGTTTTACTGGGATACCAAATTCAGACATAGTGGCATTCGTTTTAACGATGTGGTAAGTTATTTTGCACATCGTAATGATGTGGTGCCCGGAGAACATCTATTAAAAATAATGTAGAATTTTTGTGTTAAATAGTTATAGATCTCTAGAGTTAATTCATTTGTATAGATAGACTCAAAAATACTTTTAAATGTTTAGCAAGTAAATGTGGCTGAAAATTAAACGGAAAATCTTTGGCCCAATAATAATTCACTTAACTTTAATTTCTTTATTAATAAAAAATATTTACTAACTCATTTTAAGCGTCAGCTTTCTAGAAGCTATTAATTTTTCAAGTCTAAAATTGTTTCTTAATTAAAAACTATATTTTTTATTTATTTTTAGTCTTGTTCGTTTTATACCTTTGAATATTGAAGACACCGAGAATATACAGGATTTACTGCTGCAAATCGATAATATCATACAATATGGCGAGGATGCAGAAGTTAAAACACGAGATTTTGATCCTCCAGAAGAACTTGACGATTAAAATATATAATAGTAATATAATAATTAATATAAACCAGTAAAGTTCTTTAAAATAAATATTAATTTTTATTTCAACTAATGTTTTTATTTATTTAATAAAATATGAAACAACAATTTAAACATACTCCAAGGTGCATAATAAAATTATATTTTAAGCGAATATGACCATTTAAATATCTTGCTTCTAGTCTACTATCTAGACAAATCAAATTCACAGTTTCATTGGAATATTAATTTTATAAAATATAAAACATAAATTTCAACATACTCCAGAGTCCATAATTAGATTACCATCTTTATCTTTTAAGCGAATACGTCCATTCGAATATCTTGTTTCTTGTCTACCATCTGGATAAATTAATTTTACAGTTCCATCGGGATATTCACGCCTTTTATTTAGTTTCGTGTGGATTTCTTTTTGACCATTAGGTAATGCAATAACTTTATCACCGTTACGCAATTTTATTAAATTTGTTCCGTCTACAAATCTCCACTCTTCCAAGTTTTTTTCGTCTAACGGATTGATAATTTTAATAGAATTATTCGGAAAATGTATTTCAACAACACCATTTTTACGACGGTGCTCTGTTTGTCCATTTGGAAATTCAAGTATTTCTAAACCATCCAAGTAAGTCGTATGCCAAGTATTTGTCTCAGCATAATAATACCTAACTGTACCTTGATTTATATCAGTTTCCTTAATGTCTTTGTTATAATAAAGCATTCGTGTCAGCAAACCATTTGCTGAAACTTTTTTCACATTTCCATTCGGATACAAAATGTCTCTACTACCATCTGCGTTAACTATTTCACGCTTTATATCTCCATTATTTTGAGATATACTTTGTGAATCTTTTTTAATAAGATTGTGTCCTTCGATAAGAGGAATTCCGGAAGACGGATAAGTAATTTTAGGATCAACATTTTCGTTAGATTCTAATGAAATGCCGGTTGCTGACTGATCAGACAATTTCACTTGCGTATTTGTTATTACCTGCTTATGAGACTTCTGTTGTAAACTTTTATTTGTAATATTTCTTGGCGGAGCAGCTGTGTTTACTTTTGTTTCTTTCTGCCGACCATAACTTTCTTCATTGTTTGTAGACTTAAAAAAGAAAAAATAGTTTATTTATTGTTATATATATACGTTATACGTGTACATACTTATTTGCGGGCCATATAAAAATAATGATAATAAATGAGAATCACCAAATACGAAAGGTTTGCAAAAATATTATAGAAAGTTTTATTTAAGTGACTCAAATATATAACCAATAAAATATATAATATAGAATTATTAACCTTTTATAATAAATGTATTTGGTGATTTTAAATAAAACTTTTGACATACCATTTTAGGTGTTAGTTTTGCAATGTTCTTATTAATTTCCTGTAACATTTTTTTATTACTGTCATTATTCAGTCTTAAATTCTCATTTTGTAATTTCTTATTTTCCTTGTTTAATCGATCAATTTCTTCCATTAATTGTCTTTGTTCTCTATCTAAATTTCGCACTTGTGCTCTCATGCGAGACTGAGCTGCTGTATGATCTTGATCTTTTTGTTTCATCTGAACTTTCATGTCCTCAATCTCCTGTTTCATTCGAGATATTTCTTTACGATCTTTGCTAAATGTTGAAGATTTTTGCATACGAATTTTTTCTTCAAACTTACGTTTATCTTCTTCAATTTTCATTCGTTCATCATGCAAGTATATCTCTAACTGTATTTTTTCATCCTTTATTCGCTCGAGTAATTCTGCTTGCTCTTCGTGGAGTTGATTTCTTTCTTGTTCTAGGTCTTGTTTAGCTTTAATGAGTTCTTTATTATTTGTTTTAAAAGTGTCTATTTCCTTCTCCAACTCTTCTAAATGTGTTTTAACTAATAATGTTTTTTCCTGCAATTCTTTTATTAAAGGGTCAGATGAAATAGGAGGAATTGTATTGTCCACACTTTCATTATCTGCTAAAATAAAAGTTATTAAATAAAACAGTTTAAGCAAAAAATTTGTGATCTACTTACATTTTTCTGTTTGGTTATTGATGGTAAAAATCAATGCCTCTTGAAATTTTTTAAAAATATCTTGTTGCTTAAATAAGTCATTTTCAATTAAATTTGAAGTCTCCGATTGATTACTATACACGGTACTATTATCAATTTCGTCTGCGAATCGTACTTGTTGATTATGCTTTACACCACTTCCTTTATTGACAACATTAATAGGAATGCACAAGCTTGACACGTCCATATAGTCGTTTGTATCTTCTTGATCAGAATCATCTTTATTTGGAGATTTATCAATTTCTGGACTTATACCGACATTTTTCATCTTGTCACTTACAGGAATTTCATCTTGTTCTTGTACTCTATAGCAAACCCTATTTTTTAAAAAACGCTTAATAGGTGTATAATTCATGTCAATTGGGCCTTCATCGCATTTTTTTTCGATTAATTCAAAAATACTTAATGTACTGTCGTCCTGCCCCGTTTCATTAAAAATGTTCTTTGGGCGGATTTGTTTTAAAGAAACTGGTTGAATATTTTGTGAATCAAGAACTTTAGCCCAGCTTATTGGCTGTTTTAATTTTGTATCAGAACAAATTGAAGAATTAAGATTTTCTGCAGAACTATGCCTTTCAAATTCATACTCGCTGTCATATTTCTCTGGATTCATTTTCCCAGTTGATAAACTTGATTTAGCATCAAGTTTAGATGTTAACTTTAAAGCACTTTTACTACATATAAGCTGATGCTGAAAACATTTACCATCCTCATCTAGCCGCTCTAAGACGTTTTCTTTTACGTTAGAAGTAGAATTGCTACAGTTTTCTCGTTTTTTAAGTGATGACTTTTTTTTTTTAGCATATTTGTACGACGGTAACTTATCTATACGAAATGTTTCTGGGTCAACCTTAAAACGTGATTTTATACCTTCACCCTTCTTTAAAAAAGGCCTCCTTTGCACTTTTGATTCTGCAATTTCGACATTTTCTGATGTATTAAGAATTTTTTCAAAAACCTCATGCATTGTTCGCCCAAATTGCTTACCAGGGTTTAGTTCACCACTATTTTCCTCACATACTTTATCTGTATTAAATATAAAATAATACAATTTTATTTAATATCTCTAAAATATAAATTTTTACCTGATCCATTCTCTAGACCACGATCTCCACACATTAAACCCATCATTTGGTAAATAGTTTTTTGTTCCATTTCAAGCAATTCACGTTGTTTGCTTTGTCTTTCCTGTAAAAGACATTTTTGTTCTTCCTGCCATTTATTTAACTTTTCAAACCGTTCAATAATATTTACACCTTTGTAATCAGATGAGCAACCAATAACATCATCAATCATTCTTTCAATTTTGAACTAGTAATTTTCAAGCGCTTATATTAATAGCATTTATAAACAAGTTTTGATGTTAGTACAATTCAGTAGTGACAACCTCAAAAACGAAAACACATACACTTTAACAAATAATTGAAATAAAAATATGTGTAGATAAGTTCTTTAATTGAAATATAATATTTTACACACCAGTAAAGCGTATTTTATTTTAAAAATGCTGTTGTGAAACTATTAAACAGAATTATATAATACAACTATTGAATACAACTTAATTTTGACAGCAAACTGCGCTTTGAAGAATATTTTTGTATATGAATAATATAAAATAAAAAATTATTAATTTTCATGTTTAACCCTCTTATGACACATAAATAACAAATTATTTAGCCTACTATATATGTGGTACATATATAAACACAAACTTAAAATGTTTGATACTAACTACATGTGAAAATACAATTAATTAAATGGTTTTTATAACTTAAGAAAAAAATGTTTATATCAATAATAATACCCTTTCGTAATTTTTAGAAAACCCTTATTATAAAATTTGTGATTTTTACACGTTATCATATATATTAAGGCATACGCTATGTTGTATGGTGTAAAATTTTTTTTTTAAATATATTATTATTTTAACCAATATAAATATAAATTCGTAGTCTAATAAATGTAGTTTAATTCAAATTTAATTCAATGTTAATTAATACTCCGTAATACAGTCAAACACGCGACAAACAAATAAGCTTCGTGTAAATGTAGTATACAAAAAGTGGAGCTAAAGAAAAACGAACAAACCTCAATTATCTTGACATATCGAGAAACTCTATTTGACAGTATTCTAGTTTTGGGAAGTAATTTTTCCAAATATATAAAAATTGGACGAATTCGTTTAAGGATAAGTTTCTCGTAATCGTTTCCATTATGCCAGTAAGTGGTTTTGATGTATTAATATTACTTAATAATTTTTTATGGCTAAGCAAGATGATAATAATAGACATATAATGAAAAATGTTTGTTATGCTCATTTTATTCCCAATCCAGGCATATCATTCTCAAATTAAAGAATTTCCACAAGTAGTTGGAAATTTGGCGATATTGCCAATACGAACACAATGTCGTGGCCCAGCCCCATGCAGCAATATTGAAAATGATATTATCGATGAGTCACTTTATTTTTTCAAAGCTAATGTATTTTTTCGTACATACGAGATAAAGGTAAATACAATGAAAAAATCACTAGTTTAAATTAACATGTCATTTTTAGTCTGAGGTGGATCGAGTGCTCATATACATTACTCTTTATATTACCGAGTGTTTAAAGAAGCTGCAGAGATGTTCAAATAAGAATCAGGCTTCTCAAGAAATGTACAGCCTTGCAATTTCAAAATTTGATATACCTGGTGATGCTGGATTTCCTCTTAACGCAGTGTATGCCAAACCTTTAACAAGTCAAGATGCTGGTAAAACTTGATATTTATTGAACGAATATCCTTTTGATGTTTGCTTCTTCTAGACTTAATGCGACAATACTTACTTCAACTTCGTCACGAAACTGGCAATCGTGTATGCGAAAAAGTATTCAGTACTGAAGACGGCAAACCAAACAAGTGGTGGATTTGTTTTGCAAAAAAAAAGTTTATGGAAAAATCTTTGTCTGGACCTGGTCAATAAAATTAATTTATATTAATATATCAATTTATTTCATATTAAGTTGAACGTTTTCTATTGTTTATTCATTAATAAAATAATAATGACATTCTTCAGCATCAATAACTGAATACTTTAATTGTATTCACGTCTTTCTACTTATTTTTAATTTCTAGAATTATTGCATATTTAACGATAAAGATGGTCGGCTTGGATATTAGAAGCTATTTCGGATTCCCATTTATCACCATTGTTTAGTAATTTCTCTTTGTTATAAAGTAATTCTTCATGGGTTTCTGTAGAAAACTCAAAATTTGGTCCTTCTACGATTGCGTCGACAGGACATGCTTCCTATTATATAGTAACATGTAAATAAAATAATTCTTCTTTTAAAATATTAATTACAAACCTGACAAAAACCACAATAAATACATTTAGTCATATCGATATCGTAACGTGTTGTTCTTCGACTACCATCTGCACGTTCTTCCGCTTCAATTGTAATGGCTTGTGCTGGACATATAGCTTCACAAAGTTTACAAGCAATGCAGCGTTCTTCGCCACTAGGATATCTCCGTAAAGCATGCTCGCCACGAAATCTAGGGCTTAGAGGACCTTTCTCAAATGGATAATTTATTGTAGCCGGTTCCTTAAATATGTGAGCTAATGTGACAGCAAATCCACGCACTAATTCTGACAAAAACATTGTTGTGACAGCACGGTCGGTTATGTCTTTCATATCCATACTTAATTCTTTGTTGTTGACATACACATAACCTTTCGGTACAGCGACAATATCTTTGCATTCTGTTTCCTTATTTAACAATCTGCCACTAGATGAGATGGTACGTTGTCCTACAATTAAACAAATGATTAAAATCGAACTTTAAATAAGTTTTTGATATTAATCAATGATGACATAAGTAATCATAACCTTAAAATAGTACACAATTGTGCTTAATTAATAATAATTCACGTTATATTTTCACATAGAATAGTATATTTTACAAACCATTTCGAGTGATTGTAAAAATCCTTTGAGGAAAATATATCTTAAACATGTTTTATACTTTTAAGATTATTTTATGCAACTGAAAATTGAAGTGTCTGTCCTACAAACAAAACAAAGTAGTTGTCAGTACTGCCATTTACAAATGTCAACTTCGTTTCATTGTTTTGCTATAATGTTTCGTGTACAATTAAATTAAAACAATTAAGATACCGTTTTGGTAATATTTAATTTTGAATGAATTAATTTCAATATTTCTTATACTTTACTAATACTGTTTAGAAAATTATCATAGTTCTTTTTCAACTAAAAATAATAATATAGCACACAATATATTTGAAATATTTAGAGCGAGACAAACCTATTTTACATTTGTTGGCAGCGCACCTAACTTAGCAAATATTCACGTAAGATTTTTCTAAAGTGGCGTTCCTTTTATATTTTGTTTTAATATGATTTAATATAAGTGTTAAGAAAATTTCGTACCAATTTGTTTAGTTTATAAATTCTCTTTAATTGCAAAGTGTTTAGAAAATATTATTTTGCTAAGAAGAAAGTTTGATATATAATCTAATAAATGCATGTGAGAAATGTATATTGAAATATAACAAAGAAAGTGAATGAAATGGAAAACCTAAAAATAAATGATGGTTTATTTGCAAAAGTTCAATATTATGTTGTGGGAAATTTGGATGATGAGGTAAATTTATAATCAATTATAAATCCTTTAAAAAGGTTATTTTATTATAATATGTGTTTGTTTAAGATAAACAAAAATTTTTTGTAATTAACTAATTACTAAAATTTTTAGTTTAAATAAATATAGAATACTCGCATTTTACACAAATTGTATTATCTTCTTTTAACGGCCTTATTACTAGCAATGATTTTAATCCACTTTAAATATAATACAATAATTTTATATATTAAATATAACAACAAATATAAATTTATTTCTTGGTTTATCATAATATCACGTGTAGGTTGAAAGACTTCTTAAAAATGGTGGCGCTCAGTCAAAACTGTATCCATCAGATATGGTTACTCACTTGGTGTGTGCGCCAAATTATACTGAAGAAGAACTTATCATGAACTTGGATTTGTATACTTTAATACCTGTAACAGAACAATGGATTATACACTCCGCTAAGCTTGGTCGTTTAGCATCTACAAAAGCTTTCGATCCTAGTATATCTCGCCTATTCAAAGGGCTTAGAGCGGCAATAACAAATGTTAGCATTAATGATCATAAAAGCCTTTATGCCATACTTACATTTCATGGTGCTTTAGTAACTCCCACTTTTGGTCCTAGTAATACACATTTAATATGTGGACAAGCATCAGGTAACGAATATTCTAAAGCTAATTCACTGCCAAAAGGCGCTGTAGTTAACGTTGTAACACCTGATTGGATCATTGATTCGATAAAACAAAATAATGTCCTTTGTTGTGAAGCCTATCATCCACGTCTGCTGAAGGCTGTTGAAAAGCCAAAGAATAATAAACCAACGCAGATAAACAAAATAACTGCACCATCAAACATTATTTCAACATTTGTTCCAGAACCAACATTATCCAACATTCTTGGATTTGATGACATAACTGATAAAACGAATATTGATCAAACCATAAGTAAGACTGATGAAAATGCTGCTAAAAGTATCGAAAATATAAAACTACAACTACAAGCATCTATTCCCCGTAGTATTAGTGACCATACTAATACAAAGGGACAAAATTTGATTAATATGAGTTCTACATTGGCCAGTCAAGATGCAGTTTTAATAAGCACAACAGCAATTGTTAACGATTCAAATGATAATATTAATTTACAACAACAACAACAACAACAACAACAACAAAGTCAGCAGCAAGAAACTCAAAATATAATGCATCAAATTCCTCATTCATTACAGCAACGGCCGCAAAATCATCAACAATCATCACAGATAGTTTTTATAAGACCTAGAAATCTTCAACATAATTCACAACAGCAACAGCATCAACAGAACACAAATCAACCAAATATGCAACAACAAATTCAACATTCCCATCCACAGCCACAGATTATTCTGCAACAAAAAATTATACCAAATGTTCCTGCTACAACTGGTGTAATAGGTCAACAACAACAAAAACCTAACTTACAAATACAACAGCAAATTCTTCAGCAACGAACACAACAACCTATTCAAATCATTCAAAGTCAAGATAGTTCTCAAATCATATTACAACAACAGTTACAACAAAAATCGAACTTACAACAACAAATTCCGAAACAATCACCAATGATTATACACCCTCAATCACCACAAACACCTCAATCGCAACTTCAGTCACAACCTTCCACTCCTCAAACACCACGAATGTCCCAATCACCACAGCAACAACCGCCCCGTACACCTTCGACTCCGACATCAACTGGCAACAACATCCAACAAATTGACTCACGCACACCAACACAAATTGCTATAACCTCGTCTCGTGCCTCTCAACTAGTTATGACTCCTTCACAGATGAAATCACCAACTTCATCTGGGCCACCTCAAGCGCCACGCACCCCACAACCTAATTCTAATGGTCGTCAAACTCCAGCACCACGTACACCACAATCAGGTAATACTACACAAACTCAACAGTCCCAATCGCATCAAAATATTACGATGTCTCCACAAATGTTGCACCAACAAATTTTACGTCAACAACAAATACTCCAACAACAACAATTACAATTACAACAGCACATACAAAATGGACAAAGCTTAACTCCTCAGCAACAAGCGTTACAACGCCAAATACAGCATCAACAGCAGCAATTAATACAACAGCAGCAGCAATTGCAATTACAAATGCAACAAATACATCAGCAACAAGATCAATCACCGCTGTTACAACAAAACTCATCACCAATTGTGTTGCCACAAACCCCATCACCTTCATTATCGCAACAGCAAACACCAAATTCAATGATGCCACCACAATCACCGCGGCAATCACCTGCTCCACAAATGACACCCCCACCTCCTCCGCAGTCCCCACAACAGCAACAATTAAGCAATGGTTTAACTGTACAACACCAATTAAGACAGCAAATACATCAAGGTCGTCACCAACAACAGCGCCAACAGCAGGGTATGACATCACCGCAGCATCAAATTGTAACTCAGCAACCCTTTCAACAACCAATTCAACAACAACAGCGAGTACAATTACAACAGCAGCAACAACAACAACAGCAACAAAGTCCACAACACAATCAAACAATTACAGTGAGTAAAAATATATTTGAAAAATTATATTTTTTTATAGGTAAATTTTTTCTTGCCGATAATGGCGTGTCTTTTTATGACGAAAGAAACTATTTAAAAGTTAGACCGATTCGAATAGCAAAGAAAGGCAAAGACAAAAATTTTTTATTTAATTTATTGAAATTTGGCTGACCATACAACGCTGTTTCGGGTATTGCCAAGTACTCTTCATCAGTGGTCTTTGGAAATAATCAAATTTTATTTAATTAGTTTATAGTCCGTATATAATTTGTTGGACTGCAAGTGCCAGGCTTAGAACTCGTGCCTGTCAAATTAGAAGCGATGACTAATCGTGTTTATCCACAAGAAGCCAAGGCTGCACAAACTTTCAATGCTCAAGTTCCAGGTTTTATTTTTTATATTTTTAAAAAATATTTTTTTTATATTTTTTTATATTTTTCACACAACTCCTGAGTAGAGAACAATAATTTTGTCAAGACGTTTGTTAAACGGTGCATACATCAAAGGCCATACAAATAATTTACAAACTATTTATCTATATTATAGATACTCGTATCTGCCTTGATGGTGATGAAATTTTTAGTTGTATTTTTTGTGGCTATCTGATTTTTATATATTTCAGGAACATTATATTCCTGAAATATATTGTTTAAAGTTATATAATAAGTCTATTATTTTATTGTAAATTTCATTTAAATTATTTTTTTAAAGGTGCATCAATCTAAACAGCAATTAATTTCGTCACAAAAACCAATTGATCCCACAGATCCTGTACAAGTCGCACAGATCTTAAGTAGATCTGCCCCAAGTCCAAATCATGAGTCGCTTATTATGCGTCAGCAACAAATTAAACAGCAACAATTGCAACAGCAGCATCAGCAACAGTTACAGCAACAACAGCAGTTGCAGCAACAACAGCAATTGCAGCAACAACAAACAACACAACAGCAATCTCGTTGTCAGTCACCCATACAGCAACAGCTTTTATTAAATCAACAGCAACAAACTTTACAAACGCAAACTACTATTCAATCGCCTTTACCACAACAGCAACAACAACAACAAATTATACTTAATCAAGGCAATCAACAAGTACTCGCCCAACGCCAAATAATCAATACATCAACTACGCAGGGTCAGCAAATTATACAATCCCATATGATCAACATACAACAGCAACACACTTCAAATCTACAAAAACAGCAATTGCTTCAACAACAGCAACTTGTTCAACAACAACAACAACAACAAAAATCCGGGTTGGTTGTTGGAACACAGCAAACTTCAACACAGACACAGATAACGCCGCAACAGCAATTGCATTATGCTCAACAACAACAAGGCCAACAGAACGTAACAGTGACTACAAATAGTGGAGGGCAAGTTCGTATAATTCAACAAACACTACAGCCTGTTCAACAAACGCGGCAGTCCTCACAAATACTTACACAACAAGTTTCAATAAATAATAATTCGCCACAACAGCAGTTGCAGCCACAACAGCAAGGAAATATTACACCAACGCAACAAAATAAACCAAAATTTATTATAAGTCAACAGCAATTTAACCAGTTGAGCGCTCAACAACAACAGCAAATTTTACAAAGTCAACAAAATCAAAATGTTTTCATTGTAAATCAATCTAATATCGGTCAGCAACAACAAATTATGCAACAGTCACAAATATTGCAACAGCAATTGCAACAACCAGTTCATCAGCAGGCCCAACAACAAATTCCACAGAGTCCCACTCAAATAGTGAAACAGCAACCATTACCACAACAAATTTATCAACAACGTCAGGATTTGGAAGGTAATGTTTTACAATTGCAACAAGGACAGCAACAAACTCAGCCATCAAATCAACAACAATTGATAACTCAAACTCAGGTATATAAATTTTTATATAATTTGATATTTAAGAATAAGAATATTTAAGAATTTAAATATACAACATATTTACGTTATTTTTCTATTTATTAGGTTATTTTAAATCCACAACAACAGCAGCAGCAGCAGCAGCAACAACGTTCTCAACTTCAACAAACAAATGCACCTCAGCAACAGATTGTTATTAATCAACAACTCGTAAACAACGTACAACGTTTACAATACATACAGCAGCAACAATTACAATTACAGCAAAAACAACAACAACAAGGCGCTATTATTGTTAACCAACAACAGCAAAATACTATTATTATTAATCAACATCAGCAGCAACAACAGCAACAGCAACAACAGCAAATTGTTCTTCAACAGCAACAGCAAAATAATACAGCACAAATTCCAAATCAAATTATTGTGCAACAACAAACACAGCAACAACAAAAGTCATTGCAAATTCAACAAATAGAACCATCAAAACAACAACAGCAAATCATTATTCAACAACCAATACAACAAACAGTGCTTATACAGCAACAACAACAACAACAACAACAATTACCGCAACAAGCAACACCTCCAATACAATCACCGCAACAACAGCAGCCACTTTGGTCGCCTCAAAGCCCAGCAACACAACAACAACAACCGCAGTCTGGACAAATTAACGTTGTAGGTAATCAATCTAATAGTAACATTGCAGTAGGGGGTTTAGCTTCACCTCTGCAACAACATCAACTTCAAAATACATCCAATCAGCAAATACATCAGCAACAACAGCAACATTTTATTAGAGCTGTTCGTCCAGGACAATGGCAAACAGGTATACCACCAAGTGGTTCACCTCAACGTCAATTAATTCATGTAGATGATAAGACACATGCACATATTATGACTTTGGATCCTGTCAAAAAAGTTGAATATATAACTAAATTACAAAACAAACAACGTGTAATGTTAAGACAACAAGTACCATATCAAGCTCGCCAGGCGACACCGAATGTAGTTAGCACAGCTTTAAATACAACACCAAGACCGATCGGACCTACATCACATATAATTGTACAAAGCCAAATGCCGGCCGGATTAACTCAACAGCAACAAATGCAGTGGTTACAACAGCAAGGAGCTCGTCAAGTTGTAGTTCGTACAGGTATTTATCATTATCATTCATAAATTATTTTATTTTCATATTGTTATAATTTGGTATGTACTTTAATTTATTCCATCCGCATATCTCTTATATATTATTGTTATACATACAACAATATTGTAACTTCTTAAGCATTTATTTTTTTCTATACAAATATTTGTATTCGTATTAAAATCAAAATCAAAATCATCTCAAATAATATTTTCTATTATTTGCATGTAATATTTAAACAGATTAAAATTTTATAATTTATTTTTAATACAATTTTAAAATATATTTTTTTAGGTGCAGCTCCTGGGTTGAGTCCAATATCTCAGCAACAAGTCGGAACTGCAGCACAATTGCCACCTCAACCACAGCAGCAACAAACATTTAATGCAACTGATCCTAACCAGCAAATGTTAATGCAACGACAACAATTGCGTGTACAGCAAGTGCAATTGCAGCAGCAACAACAGCTGCAACAACAACTTCAACAGCAACAAAAAACTCAGACATTACAAGTTGTGTCGAGTAATGTTGTAGAACAACAGGCAATATCGCAACAACAACAGCAACAACAGACAGTGACTGTAGGGTCCAATAGTTTAATCGGAGCGATAACACCCCAAACTGTTGTTATGTCTTCCAATCTTGTTGCCGATGGGCAACAACTACAACAACAGCAACAATCACAAATGAATTTAAAAACAAAAACTGCGCTGGCTAACATGCTTAGTAATCGATTAGGTAATAATGGTGGAAGTGTATCGATCCAAGTAGGTGGATCAGGTAGTATTCAACAACAAACACAAATTATTGGAACTCCTATTGATCAGATACATCTTCAAACACAGCAGCCGCAACAATTAATACAACAAACTCAAGCATCAGTATCTGTGCCAGCACAACATTCAACACAGATGTCAGTCACACAACAACAACCGCCACAAATGCAAACTAGTGTTTTAGCTACAGGAGTTGTCCCTTCTCAAAATGTTGTGGAGCCATCAGCTGCTGGAACATTACGCCTGATGACACAGCAACGAAATGCAGTATTGCAACAGGCAGTCTCTTCTCCAGTAGTAAATAATGTAGGTGTTGCTCGAACTCAGCAAGAAATGTTACTTCTACAGCAACAACAACAGCAACAATCACAAGTTCGGCGACCTGTGTTACAGACTCAAATTTCTACTACTGTACCTGTAGCTGTAGGACAGCAAGTTGTAGTTGCGGGAAATCAGCAACAAATAACCTCAGCTGTTGTTGGCCATCATCAAGTCGGAGTTGGCCCAGTTGTTGTGCCACCTGGGTTTATACAAGGTCGACCTAATTTGCCAATTCCACCACGTCCTCAATTTTATGGACACAATCCCAATTTAAAATTACCACCTGATTTATTTTTACTTGGCTGTACTTTTTATATAGTTGAGTATGACGAAACTGATGCTGATGAATTGCCTATTTGGAAAGAAACAGTACAACACTTTGGGGCTGATATTGAAAAAAATTATAGTCCACGTGTTACACATGTCTTGTGTCGAACACAACGTCATGGTGTAGTTATGCAAGCGCTGCGTGATTCTAAACGTTGCATCACTGCTTACTGGTTAAGCGATATTTGTTTAAAAAAACAATTTATACCACCTTGGCAACCACTGCATCTACCATTTCCTAGCCAATTTGGATATCAAAAGCCACTAGAACGTTATATTGTGACTTCGAATGGTTTTGAAGGCGAAGAAGCTATACGGATTCAGCAGATGGCTGAGGAGTGTGGCGCAGTGTTCTCCACATATCTCTCGAAACTAACAATGGTTTTAATAAGCAAAAAACCAGAAGGTGAAAAATATAATGCAGCAAAGGAATGGAATATACCAATAGTAAATTCGTTATGGTTAAGTGATATTTGCATTGGAAATTTGAGTGGGCTGTCACAATATGAAAATCAAAAATATCAGCAATATAATTTGGCCGCACCGTTTAGAATCGATTACGGTTTAGTACCGCATTTAATGGGTAAGATATAGTATTCGATCATTTTTATATTTGGTTATAGCTTTAATATACTTAATTTTGAGGAATATATATGAAATGTACTCATTTTTAATTTGTTTTGTATAGCAAATATCTTATTTTTAAGTACAAACATATATATCATTCGATTCATTGCTATATTTCAATGTTTTTTTTTACAATATCCTGTATTATAAACACACACAAGGTGCATTTTTTCTTTATAAATAATATATATTCTCATTTTATAGATATTTTATAAAATATATCTTATTTACAGCTGCTTGGAAATCGCCGATAAACTTAACTCAAGAGGCGCATGAAAGTTTGAAACGTTATCTTGCTGATCCACAAGTCGAGCAAAAATCAAAACGACAAAAAATTTCACCATATAAAGAAGAGCTACCGGACTCCATCGTATGTTTAGAGTATCCACAATCTGAAAAACCACCCAAAGTTTTATTTTCACAAGTTTCAGACCTTGATGGATTAAAAAAAGCTGTGATGTAAGTAAACAAAACAAACGTAAATTGAAATCATAGTTTCCTATCGTAAGGCGAATATACTCAGGTGTAATCGAATTTGATACAATCGAATTCGTAGTAGAAATTAGGTCTGTTCCACGAGCTACTCGTAGTAACTTTGAGTAACACTGTGTATATACAAGTGCGTTCCACCACCAAATTTTCGAATAAATAAAAGCATCTGAGAGAGCGTAACATTCCTGCCGAAACTTTACTTTTACATTAATTCACGGTCTTCATAAATGTTATTTAAGAAAATTAAAGGAATGTCGTTCTGTTCGCTCCATGTAGAAAATTGGCCAAATCCAGCTTTTTAAAAGCAGTGCGCTAACGTTTGACTACCGTTTGCCAGCGACTGGTATTTGCACAAAGAAGCAACATATGAAAACAAAATTGAAACATTTGGTTGGAAAAAAGGGTCTTCCTCAACACTATATTCCGAGTTAAGGAAGCAGAATTGTATGTAATTTGCTCTCCAAACCCTGTTGCATTTCTCTTAGTTCGAGTTATAGAGAATTCAAGTTATGCAAGTTCGGGTTGTGGAAGTTTATCTCTATTACAAAATTACAATTTAGTCAGTTTTATCCAAACTATTAGTAGAACTGTTTTAATAATTAACATTCCTTCATAATAGACTTGTTATTGTGATTTATGTAGACTACATACACAAATTGTTTAAACTTTATCAAAATTTATTTAATAGTTTAATATTTAATAACTTGATTAGCGCTCATTTAATACCTTTGTTTTTTTTATTTAAATCAAATTTAACTTTTCTTTTATAGAACTCTTGGTGGTATAGTTGTGGATAATCCCATAGATGCCACGTATTTAGTGATGACACGGGAAAGCCGAACCTGCAAATTGATACAGGCAGTATGTCACGTTGATTATGTTGTAAAATCAGCATGGGTAGTGGATAGTGCGAAATCTGGAAAATTTTTACCCTTAGACTCGTATAAAATACAATACATTCCAGTAGATGAGAACTTGAAGTTTGATTTGAATACAGTACTGTGCTCTCCAACTCGACAAACATTATTCTTGGGTAAATATTTTTACGTTACTCCTGATGTTTTTCCATCACGAATGGACATAGTAAGCATGATTGAATCATCTGGTGGCAAGGTTGAAGAAAAACGACGGACAGGACTAGCTATTACGGAAGCTTTTTCACAAGACCCTGGATCTTATGTAATAGTAACATGTCCCAGTGACATGTATCTATGTGCTGATCTGGCTAAATATGGAAACCCAAAATGTCATATTGTTTCAACTGAGTTTGTAATGAGTTCAATACTTAAACAGAAATTAGAAATTGAGCCTAATCTCATATCATATTTATATAATAATAATTTTATTAACAACAACAAAAAAACCAAATAGCTACAAATGGATTGTTAACAAGTAATATTTGCATACATTATTCATATATTAGCTATACTAATGAACCAGTATATGTATGTATTTGCATGAAAAAATTTTATAGGATGTTCTGAAACATAATTATTTTTCCTATCAAGAAAAACTTGTAGAGAAAAATTTATAAATTATACATTTTTTTACAATCAATTTATAATTATAAGCAGAGTGTATATATATTTTTACAATAATAACATATATATGTTATATTAATAACATATATATTACTTTGGATATTTATCTATATGTATATATATATACATATATATATATATATATATATATATATATATATATATATATATATATTAATATATATATATATAATATATATATATATATATATATAGATGATAATATATGTATAAGCTAAATATTTTGTTTACTTTGTTCTCAAACACATACGTATATATTTATTTATATGAACATGTGTATATATATGTAAGTAGAAATTAACCTAAGAACTCTAGTAACTAGTGGTCTTCAAATCATTATTTAGCTTTTTAGCTTTATCTTAAAGCCATATAAATATAATAAAAAGTCTAAATGTAAATATATTAAATATATATTTTTTATAAGAGCAGTAGAAAATATTATCTGTATTAATCCGTGTTGTTTGTGTTATTGTTGTATCTGGATGAAGGAAATATTTGACACGTCCAGGCTCAAGATGCTGTATACCTTTCGTTGTTTTGTAGTGTACATGATTTTACTAACATTCTATAAGTTTCATACTAAATCCTAAACGTGTTCTATGATAACACATATCGGTGTGATGTGTAGTAGATTGAGTTTTAGATTGTCCTTTAGAACCGTTCGCTGTCTACTCCTGCGGCAAGGTTAAAAGGGTATCAAATAAAACAATAAAGTTATTATTGTGAATTATGAGGAATTTTTGTGAGTTATTAGAATTCTAGTATCACCGATCAAAACTACTACAAATTTCTGCTGTGGATAGTCTAGTTCAAAGAATAAGGTTTATTTTTCTAAAATGCTTAATAGGTTTGGATTGGAATTGATATAAAATATCTTAATGCTTTTATTATTAGCTATTATTATTTGAATGGCAAATACATCTCAATGTTAATATTGGTAAAATTATCTAGACGAGGTAAGACTCATGTGACCTCAGGTAAGGCGAGATGTGACCTCGTTTGATTGAATGGTAAAAATTTTGGTCAACATCGAACAGGCGTTGTTTCGTTGTGCAAAATAGGAGAAATCGAAGATTCAAAACATCGATTGGGTAAGTGTCCTATCTTAAGAATGCACAGAATGCTATATTTTGAGAAGGCAATTCTTACAGAGGAAAATTTTGTAAATATTATTAATGATGCAGCAGACAGAAGTGAGTTAGTATAATGGCTTTTCGTAGGAATTCACTAGCATGCAGAAACACGGTATCAAACCTCCGACAAATAACCAAACAGGTCGTAGTTGTACATGGTTTATTTATATATTTTTTAAGATATATTAATTTCATTTGAATGAAATAAATAAAACACAAGTTAACATAACCGAAATTATGCCTACTAAGGTACGGCTAGATTGATACCTATTATACCCGACTCGGGAAGCAAAAATGATTGTTTTACTCAGATACTGACCGGGATGATGCATAAGAAAGCAGGGATGTATTTATGGCGACAGAGACTGACCACGCACAACACACCTTTTTTCTGTAATAGGTGACTTCCACTAAGCCAAGAGATACAAGGTCGGATTGGACCAATTAATCCAGAAAATATGGTTGAAAAGATGAAAACGACCACATACGTGGTAAATGATGGAATCAAATGTAATTAAAATCCTTCATGCATAAAAATTAAACCTCGAAGAGGCAGAAACTATTGGTTATTAGTGATTTTTGTCTGCAACTATGTGCAGTCTATATACCGTAAAGTGTCATAAGAGTTTATAAATTGATTTCAGCATTTAATTTTACAAAGAAGCTATACTAGACCAAACATGTCAGGCCTAATAGATTACTGCGAACGTAATAACTTTTATTAATAAAAGTTAATTAAACAAACTAAAGCTTGAGTACCTATTAATAATAATAGCAAATTAGAGTTGTGGTTAACAGAATAATAGGCATGTACTTTAAACGTCATCAAGATCCAGCCTTACACTAAGGTTTATTTCTTTTTTTTTTAGCACAGTATCATATATCTTATAATATAACAATAAAACGTTGAGAAATTTTTTATAACATACTTTCGGTTCGTTAAATTTATTAAGTTTAGTCATGACTTAAGTCAAAAAGTTGACTTAACTGCATTGAACTTTGTTAAAAATATATGTTACACAAAAAGAACATATTATTTTATACTAATTGTTATTAAGTTCTTTGTATTTATATGAATGTTTTGTTCATCATAATGTTGGTGTTTTTACAATATAATTGTTAATTACTTTAGTGGTTAATTTAAACTCAAAAGAAGTATAAAATAATTTAAGTTGTGTTCGTTGAATTTTTATTTTTGAAAATTTTAACACAATCGATCATTTGCCATTTAGCTTAATATAATAATAATTTTACTCATAAAAAAATTAAATATGCAAATATTCAAAATTTCAAAAATCAGACATTTTTACCACCTTTTAATAAATAAAAACCTATACCAATTATACATATACCAATTATTGAATTATTGTTAACAAATTCAATTTTGTCAATAAAAATATATGCTAGGACAATTTTTAACAATTTTAAGAGGATAATAATCAATCATATTTATATAAGTATTTAAGCGATAAGTTGATTTGAATTTTTTATTGAAGCTCCCGCTGCTATTTCTCGGTATTCTTTGCCAATTCATTCAAATATTGCGCTAGCATTCTGAGAAAGCTTGCATGGATGATAAATTTATCTCTAAGCAATACAATATAGGAACTTACTTAAAATTTTATAAGTACATCGACAAAACATCGATTTATATATAATATTAAAAATACGTGATAAACTGAAAATTTTAATTTGAAAGGTAAAATCAGAAAAATAGAAAACAATAGTGCTGCCAACTCGATTTAAATGTTTATCTTTGATAGTTTGTTTTTTGACAACTCAAATAAAAAAGCAATTATGAAAATCTGACAAAATCTTTCAGTTGCAAATATTTTGGACACATATTCAAAATTCTCTATGTATTTCAATAGTTTTAACTAAAAACAATCCATTATATTGTGCAAAGGGGCTGTGGTTTAAATATAAGTGAAGGTTGAGAAAATGGGCTTTGGATTATTACGAAAACTTAAAAGCAATACACGACAGCTGATATTTACCGCTGATATATTTTTACATACAATAAAAAGAGATTTAACAAAACAGCCACCTAAAAAGTAAGTCTGAAAGTGCAAATAACATATTTTTAGACAAACAGCGTTTTTCAATTAATTTGATTTTAAGTATTAAATTAATTGCATAACAAAAATTGTGATACCACTTTATGTGAGCTAAATGCAGTTACATTGTTTACCATTCATAAAACTAGATTAGCTGAAGTAGGACGACTAGAACCAATTAAAATAGAGGGAAAATATGAAACTGGACAGCTCTTTTTGCATCGTATATTTGGATACCGTGGCGTTGTGTTATTTCCATGGTCAGCACGTGTGTATGATCGCGACTTGCACAACCCTAGTAAACAATCTACGGAAAAACAGAAGCTAACGGAATCAGCTTTTATTATAGACAAAGGGAAAAAAATTCCAAGCAATAATGCAGATGTAGAAAAGGATAAAAGTGGTATTATAGACGTTGGAACATCCGACAAACAAACAATACGACAAGATTCAGCAGTTAGTAATACTGAGACGAGTTCTAAAGAGGTTAAGGGTAAATTACATACGTTTTACCAAGTCCTTATTGATTCAAGAGATTGTCCTTTTATTGTGAGTATAAATTTAAAATTCTTTTTATTATAATCACTCAAACTGTATTAATCCAACATAGAGGGCACAAACTGAAGCTGTAACATTTTTAGGCAACCAGGATTCAAATCGGAGTTTGTATGCTATACCTGGCCTTGATTATGTTGCACATGATGATATTATGCCATATTCATCAGCTGAAAAAAATCCCCTTCATCATGAACTGTTTGAAAAATTCTTAGCACCAGATGCTGAAAAAGATCCACCCTTTAAGGCACATGATACATTAAAAGCATGGCAAGAGAAAAATCATCCTTGGTTAGAATTAAGCGATGTGCATAGAGAAACAACTGAAAATGTACGGATTACTGTCATACCCTTTTATATGGGTTGCCGAGAAACACCAGCGTCATCTGTATATTGGGTAAACCTTTACATTTGTCTATAAGTATTTAAATAAATAGTTCAACTTTATACAGTGGCGGTATTGTATTCGATTAGAAAATCTTGGAGAAATGAGTGTGCAGCTACGGGAAAGACATTGGCGTATATTTTCACTTTCTGGGACGCTTGAAACAGTCCGTGGTCGAGGTGTAGTTGGTCAAGAACCAATATTAAGTGCTCGCTTACCTGCGTTTCAATATAGTAGTCATGTGAGCTTGCAAGCGCCAAGTGGACATATGTGGGGCACATTTCGATTGGAAAGGGAAGATGGTCATACATTTGATTGCAAAATACCTCCATTCTCACTTGAAAGTAAACCCGAAGATGGTACTCCTGAAAAGATCGGTACAAGCTCGAAGCATGATGGTACGGAATGAGGCCAAATAGTAAAATCTTTTGATTGATGAACTCTTGTAGCTTTAAAAAAAATACATCTTGTTTTTAGAAATAAAATATACCAAATTTAAGTAGTGAACAAATTTTGGTTGTTACAGAAGCACAATTTTAATTTTAATATAATGCTCAACATTTAGATGAATCATTAAATTGATTCGCTTTTATGTTAATTTAATTTCTGTTTTGGTTCTATTAATAATTCAAAATCAAACAAACGTGCATGCTCATTGATTGAAAATAAATTTCGTAATGAATCAATAGCTGCAATTTCAATGGCTGTTGATGCATCTTCCCCGAAGCCTAAAAAGATTTTTGTTTGAATACTTAACAATTTATTAATATCTACCTATATACCTTTTCCTATCATTTTCTTATTAGCATATATACCAACATTGTAGGTTGCCAATACAGTGTTTTTGCCACAATCCCCAATGAGTCTGGGCTCTGGATTAGGAATATTTTGCAATTTACACGTATCTTTAAGTAGGTTCCATGCGTCTTGAATATGCCAAATTTCTAATAAATCTCGCTGATTTAAATGTGTGCAAATAAAATCTCGTACGAATAAAAAGGAACGTTCAGACCCACTGGATTCCTGTAATGCACCAATAACAGCAAGAAGAGAGCGTGAAAGCGCCTCGGAGGTTGGAGGATATTCCGTATCAAGTAATAAATCTTTCATCCCAAGATGTAATGCAATATACGCCAATGTTTCGATGCTAGTTAAATATTTTAAGATTGCATTTCTTCCTTCTTCCGGAACCTTCGGCAAGGAATACTGTAAATATGTGCTAATGTAAGCTTTTGCGATATTTTCGCCATGTTCAGATAACTTTAAATTGTCATTAATTTGTATATCTGTTTCTTCGATGCCTAAATCACGTTGCCGGTTCGCTTCTTTATGGATGTACGACTTTTGTGTGAACGCAGTCTGCAGTAGGGAAATATCAATATTTTCATTCAATCGCTTAGTAAAAGCATATAATTCTGCACGATAATTCCATTCAACAAAACCAGATCTAGGATTTGGTTGATTTTGGAGATCTATTTTCTTCGCTCGTTTGCGAAGTTCACGTAACGTTGGAGCAACCCATCTCTTTATCGAACGCGGTTCTTAAAAACAACATTATATTATACATAACATATGAAAATAATATTAAATTACCTGTAACTCCTACACTTTTTATTGGAGTTATTAACAACGATTTACTCAACGACCTACGTAACAAATTCATTTTAACAATTTTATCGACCACCGGAATCCAAACTACATATTCCAAAATAGAGTTGCCACCCTAAATTTATTACAATAATATAATCACAAACACTATTAATTAATTTAAACACCATGTTTGTTAATAATCATAAAATATTCAATTAAGGCCGTTTGCGAGTTCGAGTAAATTGAGTTCACACAAAAAAAGAATTAAATATGTAGTTATTATATTAAATTGTGGCGGTTGCATATTCACCATTTAATATTGAAAATGATATGAGTTGGCCATGCAAACATGAACAAGTAAATACTGAAAATGAGATGAGTTGGTTATGCATGAAAATTTGTAAAAAAGCTAAGAATATTTTTATTTAGTAAAAAAGGATTGTCATTCTATTTGCGATTCGAAAACTAAGAATCAAAAACGAACTCGTATAATTTTATCACACGAAATTGAATTATTATTTCTTGTTCAAGTAAATAAATACACAATTAAATTAAGTAGGGTAAAGCCTACAAAATCATTTATATACATTTTATATATATCAATCCATTTATTTTACTTTACTTTTCATTGAAAAGTACATTGGTGCAACGCTTTGCATTTTCAATGAAAAGTAAAGTATGAAAAGAAAAGTGAAATATTTGACAAAAAACTGGTTTCTTTTCACTTTCTGTTGCACCAACACTTTTTACTTTGCGCTTTGCAAAAGTAAACTGCAAAACTTTACAAAAAAACTGCAAATGATTAATTCATTTTGCAAATTTTGCAAAGTGATTTCTTTCAATGCGTAAAATGAAAGAAATCATTAATAAATAAATAAAAATAGTTTTAAAAAAATAGAAATAGAAAATTAGTTTAAGCAAATATTATGTGAATTATTGTTTAAGCATGAACACTTATTTATTATAATGATCAGTTTATTATTATTATAAGTCTGTTATCGTTCAAATTCTCCGAATTATGAACTAAGAAAAAACATGGGTAAAAAATATCCTATAATAGCTAACATTGTAACATTTTTAAATATCTAATTATCCGTATCTAATTATGATAAAATAAAAATATATTTCTATAGACAATAGAAGAGCGACTTCCGTCGTTTTTTGAACCTTGTTTGAAATGTAATTAAAAATAATACAATCCACTAAAATTTATAAAATTAGTTAAGTTAGTTATAAGGTAATTTTGTATAAATTGAGAGAAATGTTCTAAATAAAATCAGTAATTTAGGCCCTTTATGCGTAGGTTTCTTTTGTATTAGGATAATACACAGCGACAAGTAAACTATACTTTAATAACTTATATCTTAAAATTAATTAATAATAACAGATTTTCAACTAAATTTTTATATAAAAGCAACTTATTATATTTGTTAACTTTATTTTTCACTATAATTGTTTTTAAAACAACTCATACTCATACTCTTTACATTTAAATTCTTTTTTCATAACTTTTCAAACTGCAAAAAAAATTAAAAGCATAAAAATGCTTTTAATGGATATACACAATATATGTATATGAATATACACAACTTCTTTATCTACGATTCAATGTCAATAAAAGAAATCATATACAAAAATTTTGTGTTTTGTATTAATATATAACATATAGTTGTACTAAAATTATACAAATATTACAAATTGTAATCATATAAATTATTAAAATAAAATATTATTTTAAAAACTTTTATTTTAAACAAAAATTAAACTCATAAGTACATACTATGCATAAATCATGTACTCATAGCATCAAAATATCAAACAAACAAAAAACAAGCATACATACAGAATCGAAATGCTTTCAAAAACCAATACAAAATGAAAGTGATCTAATTTTTTGGTGCAACGCTTTGCTTTGCATTTTATGCAAAGGCTTTGCAGTGAAATTTTTATTTGCAAAGTGCAAAGTAAATTATGTTAAGTCTTTGGTGCATAACTCAATTCTCAAATTAATGCTTTATGTTCTCAATGAGAGAAAAATGCTCAAAAACTCATAAAAATTTGCAAAGTGAAAAGTGAAAAGTGTTGGTGTAACAGGGCCCAGATCAGCTTTTGCGGCTGACTCAAAAGTGTTGCATGTTTTTACATGCAAACCATATTCAATTACTGAATATGGTTGTCATCTATGCGGAACATTATTTCATACGATAACGATATGAACGTATGAAATACATTCTTATTAAAAAGCGTTTTTGAAACTATTGAATTAAAAATTCAATGTATTTAAAAAAGTAATCGATTGATAAAAATAATTGATCAAAAAAATCGGCGGTCTTGGCACTTCAATTTTTTTAACTTTTTCCAGAAAGAATTAAAAGAAGTGTTTAGAGTTTGTTACATATTTTATGACTTTGCCGAGTAACCGAGCAATGTCTACATACTCCTAATGTTTTATTAAATTTTAAATCATGTTTATGATTTATTATAGCTTCAGTTTTGATAACAATTCGTATCATAGTAAGTACTTGTGCGTGAAGAAAGTCGTTTATTTATTGTTCTGAAGAAATTAAGCAAAAATAACTTCTGACAATATGCATGCAAATATTCTATTATCGAAATTAAAAAAATATACTTTGTTATATTTTGGTTTATATGAAAATGTGAAAACTATATATACTTCGACACCCAAAGTATATTGTAAATATTAGAAGCAACGATAAATTGCTTTTTGGTAAATTATATGAAATAAAATGCAATACATATAACGAGGTGCATTAAATGAGGGTATATATGTGAGGAAAAAAAAAAAACAATCATCTTAACGAACTTTCAATCATTTATGTTGTATATGGTATAACATATATGAATTGTTTTATAGGGCATTTTTTAGAAATCTGTAAATTTAATGGACAGATCTACAAATGCAGTAGTTAAGATAAAACTTTATAGAATTAAAATTGTAAAATACTAGGAGATAGTAGAAGAAAAGAAGAGTTACTGTTTTAAATTTATAGAATAATTTTGGATGTAAATAATTGAATATAATTAATTTTATTTACCTTCATTTAGGTGTTAAATTAAAAACAAATTAGTTTTACAACCTTTATTTAAAAGTTAATATCTTGAAATTAAACTTGTTAACGTACTATATATTCAAAACTTAGTATACATATATATAGTATATATATTACTTGAATGTGGTGTCGCGATAATGCTAGTAACGTGGTTGACGTCCAAAATTTGATCCTTGAAAGAATCCACTACTGGCATTAGGAGGCATTGGCGGTGGAACTCGATTATTGACATGAGGCATAGGACCTGTAGGTCTGTGAATTGGTGGTGGTACTCTGGCATAATGCGCATTGGCTAGCGAAGGTGCCCAATTATTGTTCGGTGCCATTACATATGGTGGTGTTGGTAAAGGAAGTGGTAAAGATGCGAAATTTGATACGTTACTTGTTGAAGCAGTATTACCTGTTGCATACTCTGACTGAGGAGGTGGTGGAGGAGAGACAGCATTAGTCAGCAATGTATGAATTTGTGGAGGCGGTGGTGGAGGTGGTGGGGGATATAAGTGGTAGGTCGCAATAGGCGCTGGAGCAGATAGTGATTCTGTAGACATTGAGTTTGAATTCGCTAGCGATGTAATTGTTTGAATGTTATTTATTTCAGCGCTAGTATTACTTGTAACTGCATTTACCACATGTTGGTCATTCGTTTTATTTGTCAGCATTTTTGTTTTAGTAGCATTAATGGTCGTCTGCCCGTTTTGTAAACTTTTATGATCTGGACTATCTGCACGACTAGGTGGTTTCTGCGGCGGACTACTAGAATCAAAATTAACAATCTTCTGATTTGATTGATATAAATCCAACACTTGATGACATATATCTTCAAGTATCTCCATTGTTACATCAGATACAAACATGTCCCACCATCGTTGATGTTCTGCAGTTCTGCCAACCCAGTCCGCAATGGTAATTTTGCTTAACTTACTTGCTAAATGTATGAGAGCTACAGCAATTATTTCGGGTTCCCATTGCAGGCATACAACTGTACTTAAAGAATCATTAACAAAATTCCATGCCATCTGTACCATCTTCTGTAGTCGTTGTGGGTCACCTTTCAAACATTTGGCATATTTTAATAAAAAACTGTATGGATGTTCGACTTGTAAATCGAATTTAATTGTCTGCAACAAAATGCGTTCTAACGTCATCACCTCTTCCTTAGGATCATCTCCAAATGAATAAAAAAGACTGTCAGAAAGCAATGATCTGGCTGTTTTTATTATATCCCTACATTTCTTCGGTGTCTCCTCAACTTTACCAGCAAGGAATAAGCAGCAACAAGCAGTAAGATAACGTGGAAAACTTTTAAAAGATCGAAATCTATAAAAACGATGAAAATAAACGACTCCTGTAGCCATTGTATTATGCCCCAACCCCATATTTGTACCACATGTCATAATGAAACGGACTCCTTCCTTTCTGTAACGCTGCTCCGTTTCAGGCGGAATGCCATCTCTTAGTGACGGCGTTTCACGCAGTTCCTTCTTCGTATAATACCAGCAAGGCATTGGTTTACTTATTTGCTCAAAGATTATATATTTACGAGTAATACGTTTATTTTTGGAAATTTTTTTAACTTAAAAAGAAAAAATATCGTGCGTTGCTTTTTTTATAAATGTATATGAAATATTTTAAACGAAATAAAAAGAAAACATTAATATTTAGATATGTTCCCGACACCAAAAATTTTTATTTATTGTTAATATTGTAGAGTTTTACTTGTCAAATTATAATGTAGAGTCTACATCGGTAACCGGACTTGTTTAGTATTGCCACATAATTATTAAAAACATTTTTTCTAAGATGGCTTTTAAGGATCGGCAAAAACACATTGCTTTGCTTCAACGAAACGAAATAAGTGTTTTTAAACATAAGCATTTTAAACAACATAAGCATATAAAGTTCTTAAGGAATTTTGACATTATCAAATTTGCTTTCAATAAAAATATTTGAAAAATTTTAACATTTTCAGGGATTTTGAAAGACGCAGCCACATTTGCAAGAATGACAAGCAGACAGCAGGAAATCAAATTTTTTTTATTATTTGTCAGTCTTGCTAGTTTTTTTCGTATACAATCGGATTTCTGTCGGTTTCCATGAAAATGTCATTCTGTTTTAAATGATGGAATCGAAAACATGGTTTTATTAGAAAGCAATTTCAAATTGTTTTAAAGAGTGTTCAAAGTTATGTTTTTTTGTTGTGTTCTGGACCTAAAAAATAATTGATTTGAATAAAAGAGATCAAAATGAATATTATCCTTAAATGAGCTGGGCCCTGTTGCACCAACACTTTTCACTTTGCAAATTTTTATGAGTTTTTGAGCATTTTTCTCTCATTGAGAACATAAAGCATTAATTTGAGAATTGAGTTATGCAAAGTTTTGAAAACACTCAAAAAATGCAAAGCGTTGCACCAAAGTACTTTTCAATGAAAAGTAAAGTATGAAAAGAAAAGTGAAATATTTGACAAAAAACTGCTTTCTTTGCAGTTTCTGTTGCACCAACACTTTTTACTTTGCGCTTTGCAAAAGTAAACTGCAAAACTTTTCAAAAAAACTGCAAATGATTAATTCACTTTGCAAATTTTGCAAAGTGATTTCTTTCAATGCGTAAAATGAAAGAAATCATTAATAAATAAATAAAAATAGTTTTAAAAAAATAGAAATAGAAAATTAGTTTAAGCAAATATTATTGCTGTTTTTGAAATAAATTTAGTTGCAATAATTAAAGGGATATATTACCGGACAATACTTTTAAATTGTGAATTAAAGAGTTCAGTTTCTAAAAAAAATTTATAATACATTTAAAATAAATATTTTATGTGAATTATTGTTTAAGCATGAACACTTATTTATTATAATGATCAGTTTATTATTATTATAAGTCTGTTATCGTTCAAATTCTCCGAATTATGAACTAAGAAAAAACATGGGTAAAGAATATCCTATAATAGCTAACATTGTAACATTTTTAAATATCTAATTATCCGTATCTAATTATGATAATAAAAATGTATTTCTAAAGACAATAGAAGAAAAAATCACAAGTGCCTGGACTTGCGTCGTTTTTTGAACCTTGTTTGAAATGTAATTAAAAATAATATAGTTCACTAAAATTGGTGATAACAGACAACATATTATTTTAACGTTGATAGTAAAATTAGTTAAGTTAGTTTTAAGGTAATTTTGTATAAATTGAGAGAAATGTTTTAAATAAAATCAGTAATTTAGGCCCTTTATGCGTAGGTTTCTTTTGTATTAGGATAATACACAGCGACAAGTAAACTATACTTTAATAACTTATATCTTAAAATTAAATAATAATGACAGATTTTCAACTAAATTTTTATATAAAAGCAACTTATTATATTTGTTAACTTTATTTTTCAATATAATTGTTGTTAAAACACCTCATACTCATACTCTTTACATATAAATTCTTTTTCTATAACTTTTCAAACAGCAAAATAAATTAAAAGCATAAAAATTGTCTCTATGGATATACACAACTTCTTTATCTACGATTCAATGTCAATAAAAGAAATCATATACAAAAATTTTGTGTTTTGTATTAATATATAACATATAATTGTACTAAAATTATACAAATATTACAAATTGTAATAATATAAATTATTAAAATAAAATATTATTTTAAAAACTTTTTTTTTGAACAAAAATTAAACTCATAAGTACATACTATGCATAAATCATGTACTCATAGCATCAAAATATCAAACAAACAAAAAACAAGCATACATACAGAATCGAAATGCTTTCAAAAACCAATACAAAATGAAAGTGATCTAATTTTTTGGTGCAACGCTTTGCTTTGCATTTTATGCAAAGACTTTGCAGTCAAATTTTTATTTGCAAAGTGCAAAGTAAATTATGTTAAGTCTTTGGTGCAACGCTTTTCACTTTTACTTTGCAAAAAAAAGTCACTCATAAATTTTGCAAAGTGAAAAGTGAAAAGTGTTGGTGCAACAGGGCCCTGATTATCAATAAATCATATTATATAATATAATTATATATTATTTAATTAATATATAATTATATATTAATTATATATTTAATATTTATATAAAATGTATAAAAATGATTTAATGTATCAATTATACAAATAATTTTTTTTTGTGATGTATTATTTATGAAAGTTTATACAATTTTTTTTAAAAGCTGCATAAATGAGCTCAGTATAATGTATAGATATCTGAATATTAAATATTTGTAGACTTTTTTCTTAAATTCAACTATACGGTAACAATCAGTATTTGTACAGTGTGGCAATTTCTTAAAAGTGTGTATCAAACATTGTTTGGCTGTATTGTCCAAAGTTTTTTGAAAAGATTATAAATTCTTTTTTCTGCAAATTAAAAATATTTTACATCTATACGTTTATACTTCTTTATGATGTCACATCAAACTTATGGGGAGAAGCCTATACCATTTCAATTGGAGGAGGGCGGAGAGTATTATTATGTCGGATCGGAAGTGGGGAATTATATGCGGATGTTTCGTGGTATTTTGTATAAAAAATATCCTGGAATGACTCGTATTGTTCTTTCCAACGAAGAACGCAAACGTTTAGCTGAATCTGGTTTGAGCTCTCACATATTGGCAAGTTCCGTATCTTTGTTGCGCGCTGTTGAAGTTGATGAAATAATAGCCGGCAATGATGATAAGTATGTAAAAAAATAAACAATATAATTAAATTAATCATTTTTTTCTTAGGTATCGCGCTATATCTGTGAATACATCTGAAAATCCACTACCAAGAGAAAGTAAATCAAAAAAGCAACCACAGTATGTACCAACAATGCCAAATTCGAGTCACTTGGATGCTGTGCCGCAGGCTACACCTATTAACCGCAATCGGGTGCATACAAAAAAAATTAGAACTTTTCCAATGTGTTTCGATGATACAGATCCCACAGCTAATTTAGAAAATGCAGCACAGAAGGAGTGTTTAGTTCCAATTCGTTTAGATATGGAATTAGAAGGACAGAAACTAAGAGATACTTTCACTTGGAATAAAAATGGTTTGTTTTATGTTTGTGTTTTAAATCGTTATTAAAATTTTTATTATAAATATAGAAAGCATGATTACTCCAGAACAATTTGCTGAAGTCTTATGCGACGATTTGGATTTGAATCCTGTACCATTCGTTCCGGCAATAGCTCAGGCAATACGTCAGCAAATTGAAGCCTTTCCATGTGAACCACCTATATTAGAAGAAAGTTGCGATCAACGTGTTATTGTTAAATTAAACATACACGTGGGTAATACTTCACTAGTTGATCAAGTAGAGTGGGATATGTCAGAGAAAAGTAATTATCCTGAAGAATTTGCTATTAAGTTATGTGCTGAACTGGGGTTAGGAGGTGAATTTGTCACAGCAATTGCTTATAGTATTAGAGGACAATTGTCTTGGCATTGTCGTACATATGCATTTAGTGAAGCTCCTTTGTCAACTATTGATATACCGTTTAGAAATCCCAGTGACGCAGATCAATGGGCACCATTTCTAGAGACATTAACAGATGCAGAAATGGAGAAGAAAATTCGCGATCAAGATCGAAATACAAGAAGAATGAGAAGATTGGCTAATACTACAACTGGTTGGTAAATTAATATAAAAAACTATATAGCTTGAAATATATGTAAAATTTTTATTCGTGTACTCTTTCATAAAAACAAATAAAAAAAATCTATTTATAAATAGGCCGCATCATTTAATTTCAACTTGCAAATAAAAATAGTCATTGTAAAATTTTAATAGTCTAGCTTAACATTGATAATTGTTCAATTCTTAATATTCAGCATAACAAATTAGCAAGATTTTTGCAGAGACTTTTTAGAAAATTATCATTTAATATTTTTATTGCTCAAAGTAGAAACAAATTGAAAAAATTTAACATGAAAAAAAAAACTAAGTATTTCTCTTCTTATATTGCATGAACCAAATAAATGCTGTTTTCGTTCTACTTTGAATGAAACTAAGAGTTACTTAATAATAAGCTATAAGTCTTAATGACTTCATAAGCTTAAAATTTTACAATTTAATGAATCCTAAATTTACAATTTGTTTTTAATACTAAGCTTAAGACATAATTTGAAGTTTGTCCCATGTCTCGTTTTTCGCACCAAATACTTCCTATGTTCGAGTCAAAATTGACAAACTAACTGTCAGTAGTATCGGCTTTATCTTGATCTTGATCCCCATCGTAAAATTCATTTTTGGGCTCTATCATTTTATCCTCCTCTGTTTGTGAAATGCGAACTTCAGGATCCGGTTCTTCTTTTATACGTGTTTCTTCCATATCAATGGCGTCTGGAGGAGTTTGTATCATTTGTACACTTGGCGAATGTTGACACATTTTTAAATTTTCATATACATGCTTAACTATCAATTCCAAATACTGTTTAGAATTGGCATTTTCTTGTCGGTTATTTGGTTCTGGGTGCAATGTAAAATCAGGCGCAAAGTATTCTAGATATTCATTCATAGGTATTTCATTTGATATATTTTCATCAACTAAAAGCGAAGTTTCGTGAGTCCAACATCTTGCAACATTGCGTAATGTATAACCACCACCACCAACAACTAGCGTTGGTACGTTAAGACCTTTTACAAATTTTACACACTCCCCATGGCCTTTTGTACTTAGATTAAAGCATCCTAATCGATCACCTGCCAAAGAATCCGCTCCACACTGAAGTACAATTGCTGTAGGGCGATAGAAATCCATAACGGCGGAAATAATCGGTTTAAACACTTGAAAATAACTTATGTCATCAATGCCTTCTTTTAATGGAACATTGACACTATAAAATCGTCCAGCATCCGCACCAATTTCATACATATCTCCAGTGCCAGGAAAAAAATAATTTCCATATTTGTGAAACGAAACTGTCATTACACGATCTGTTAAATAAAAAGCTTCTTGCACTCCATCACCATGATGAACATCTATGTCAATGTAAAGAACCCGAGGATGGTATTTCAATAGCTCTAAAATTCCAATAACAATATCATTTACATAACAAAAACCTGTAAAGACACATATTTGTCAGTATATGATTTATGCAGTGTTTAATAGTTAATAACCAGAAGCTTCAAATTTTTTGGCGTGATGTAAGCCACCAGACCAATTTATGCATATGTCACTATGATTGTGGTTTAGTTTTTGTGCACCTTCCAACGACGCTCCAGTGTACATCGAACAAAATTCAAAAAGGCCATCGAAAACAGGACAATCTTCTCCTACGCTAAAATGCGATAAATATTTTGTATATCCAACAGCTAAAAATGAATCCTATTTAAATATGAACTTTAACTAATAACATAAAACAAATAATTACAGTTGCACTGAATATTTTGCGGTGTAACTTGCTGCAAAAATTCAATATATTCTTCGCTGTGGAAGCGTAGCATATCCTGTGCGCTTGCCCTAAAATAAATTAAAATATTAAATTGTATATAAACATTACTTTATTTATTACTTATAAGGTCTATAAATTTTCATCTTTTTGTGTAGTCCATAATTCATAACCAAACTATGAGTTACTGATAGTCGATGTGGTTTCATTGGGTGGCCAGGACCATAATGAAAATTACCGACATCGGAATTATAAAAATAAGAAACACGCCTATTAGTAGCGCTTCCCATTATATTATAAATGTATTTAACTTATTTAATATTAAAAGTAATTAGGTTCCGTAAATATAGCGTTTTTCATAAACAAAACTAGTAGTAAAACAGCAACTATAAACAAAAGTTTACGCGTTAGTGTAAAATCCCAATCAATAATCATAACGAGTTTAAACTATACGATACAGAATTTACAAATTTACTTGTAAAATAATCAATATTAATTTAGTTTATTAACATTTTGATTTCAAATTGCTATTATTACTTATATATATCTAAATTTGATTTATTGTAGAAATCAAAGAGTATTTTATAAGACTGGAAACTCTATGGAAAAATAAAATACACTTTATTTAAAAAAAAACTAATAACTTATTTCATTTTAATAATAAAACTGTAATATTTTTCGAAAATAAAAATTGTTATTTGTCTTTTAGTTTACACGTACAAATAACTTGTACACTATGCCTTTTATTATAAAACTCAAAAACTATGAGCAAATATGACTGCGAATCAAAAATCAAAATTTCAAATAAAAACAAAAAACAAGTTTACAAAAAAATTTACATAAAACTCCATACAAAATATATGGTTTTTACCCGAAAGCTAAGGGAAAGGCACCTATTACAAAATAACATTTAGAACGAGGGAATAACGGAAGCGAAGAATGTTACTGTTTAGTATAATTAGTGACTAAAAGTAAACTTTTTGGAAACGATTATTATAACCAGTGTTATACGAGAGCCAAGGATATCTTAGTTCCGTTTGATTCTATGAAGATTCACATCGAAATGCTTGAACCTGACTAAGAGGATTCTTTGAGATAGGATGAAGTCGCCATTCTGAAGAATAGCTCAAACAAATTATGGATAAGTTGAACCATTCTGTTTAAAACAGTAAGCCGGTCTTGAGTGGTTCCAAGCGATAGGCAACTTTTTCAGCAAACAGCTGAGAAGCGGCGACAGAAATTGACCTACTAGAGAAACTGGCGGCCTTAGATTTGACAGTAGAAGAAAAGAGTCTTTTAGGAGGATCAGTAACCATAGAAATGGCTGCGAACGATTTTCCAGGCTATACAAAATTTTATTTAAAGATTGCTGGTAATTTGTAAGTTGCTACCTTGAAGCTGAAACTCTTTAAATATAGAGCTGGGTATGAGGTACTCCATACCCAGTGCTATGATACTACCACTGGCAGTTGTATCACTGTGGTGCCACAACTTGAAATTTACACTAGTACAAATTATTAAAAAGTGTGGCTACGGTAATTGCGATTGGGTGCAATTCCTATATAGATGAACGACCCTGTTTTTCTGGGTGTGTATTTTAGAAGCAAAACGACGAATTTCACTATTTGAGTGAAAGAAAATGGTTGTGAATGCTGTCTTTAAATTGTCTTCATCATAAGAGGAAAAAATGTTTTCAGTAGAACAGGAATATTCATATGCATATGCTTAGAGGAGCCGTTTTATACAGCTCCTACATTTTTTTATATTTATATCATGGGCGGTTATGTTAGGAGGAAGTCTTTATTGCACACATATCGGTAAACATTTTTTAAGAGTACGTTATTCATCCAAGTTCAGGTCTAAATTTAGTGTGAATACATCCGTAAAAAAGATGAAGTTGATACAATCGTGTGATTTGATATTTGTGTAATTACTGAGTGTTATTTATATATTGTTATTTATAACAAATACATTATTATTATTATGTTGAAGCTAGTTGAGTCAGTTCATTATGTTATTTGTGTTATAAGAGTGTGTTTGGACTAGACATATCAAATTATATATGCTAACAATAAATTCATGAAAAATGTGTTCCTACATAAATTTTCAAGCTAAATTCAAGTATTTATATGAAATGGTTCAGAAAAATTTTTAAAATATGTAATAATAAAATTATTGTTTGAATATAGACATTGGAGTAGAGAAATTATAAATTTTTATCGTAGATCAATTTTATATTATGCTAATTGCATTGATTTTTAATTAACAACAATACAAATAATAAACTTCAGTATTAAGTATTTATTAAAAATATTCGTCGTACTGTACACTAATGTTCATTTATTTGAAAGTTGACAGCGCTTGACGGTGTTTCCAGCTCGGAATATAAAAATGAGCTAACAGCACAGCTGTTATACAGCTGTTTCAATACAACAAAATATAGTGAAATACGAATAAAAATAAAACGACGAAAGTAAAATCAAAAAATGAATTTGGAGTAGTTTTAGTAGCTGTTATTAAGAAACACAGATTATTACGAAACTTAAGAGCCTAAAAAAATAAATACATCAACTTTGATTTTCATATATAAAATAATAAATTATTAATTATGTTGATAGACCTCTTTTAATGAAATAATTTTAACTACTCTCGAAAATTTTGTTGAATAAACTAAGAAAACTGCATGAAAAATAAACATGCTTACTCTTTTCTATGCAAGTGCGACATTTTTGCAATCATGGCGTATTAAAAGCGTTTGTTGTAAAATAGCTGATCAATTGGCACAGCCAGCGAGTGTTGCGTTCTACGTTTTATCCCCTAACAATGATGGATTTGGTAATTTGCTAACAATACAATTTTATAAAAAATAACTGGTTATAAGCGAAATGAAACTTTTCAGATGCTAACTTGGCTACGTCTGATCTATGTACCAATCGAAAAACTGCAAAAGTTGCTGAAATTTTGTGGCTTATGGGTAACTTAAGAGGATGTAGCATACGCCCAATACAATCATTGAACATAACGCCTTGGATTTCTTTTTCTTCAAACTCAAATTGTATACCGTTTGCATATAAACGTATTCCGGCAACTTCTCTTTATTTAGCTAACAAAAAAAATTTATTTCACTTGCTAATAGAAGCTGACGTGCAATTACATCCGAAACGTGATAATAACCAAGAAGATATTCAGGTTAATATACATATCACATATACAATATATATCACTTCAACAATTTTTGCATGTTAAAAATATAGGATTCGTTATTTTACCCAATTTTTTAATGTTTTCTTCGTGAAAACATAATGCACACATACGATTGTGTTATTGATTAAATGTAAATGTCTGTTGAAGCTAATAAGTAAACTTTTGCAGATTGAAGATTATGGCAAACTTATTGCTTGGAAGATTGATTCTCACCTAGCTGTGTTAATTGAAATAGATGTTGAAAATTTCACTAAATTGTTGATTTCAACCTTTCTACAAAATAATTTATTTATTAATGATCAACTATTAATGCTTAGGATTGAAAGTAAGTTGACAAATCATCATTGTAGTTTTTACAAACATATATTATTGTGCATAATTGATCGATATATATATATGTACAGCTGTAACGTATGACGGAAAGCCGCAGCCATTTGAACTTTTATCTGGGCATTTGCGTAAAGCAACACGGGCCACTACACAACAACTTAACGCAAAAGAGTGGCAGAAACATTTGGATGATTTAAGAGCATTAAGTATTTTAGCAAATCAAGCGACGGAATTTGAATATAAAAAGAATCTTACTGAAGGCAAAACGGGTGTTATAAAGCCCGATTTAATACCAACCGAACAAAAATCCATTGAATTAAGTAATGTAACAGAAACAAGAGCATCAGCTAAAGAAACAAAAACAACAACATATTCTTCTAAAAAAGAATTGAAAGATATTCAATTGTTAGATGTAAAAAAAGAAGAAACTAAAGGCTCTTCCAATAAATTAGCTAGTACATTTGAAAAAACAAAAGATAAACCCACTGATATACAAAAGCCAAAGGATACAGTTTTAAATACAAAATTAAATGCACAGAAAGTAAGAATCGAAAATTTAAATATATTTTTTATATAACTTAATTAAAAATCTACCTCTTAACATCAATTTCATTGAAAACGTATCGATATCGTCATCACATACACCATCGGAATAGTGTTTCCGAAGTAGTTTTTTTTTTCTTTTTTATTACCTCTTGATGTCACAAAATAATTTTTATCTTCCTTTGAATTTGACTTTATTTTCAATTATTTTGAATTTCTTTCTTAGATTACCGGTCAGTTTTTATTTGCTTCCATTGTAGTCCACATTTCCACAGCATAATATTGGTAGCATTTTATACAAGTGCGGTATAATATATAATATGTATATAACTCTGTTTAACCACGTATGTATACTTGATTTTAGTTGTTTCTTAAGAGAAGCAACTAAAATAAAAAAGTTTTGTGATATTTACCCTTTTTTATTTTTACTTTGATGCCTTAAAACACTATCATCAGAATGCCGTATTGCGTTTCTGGAAAATCGAAAAATTTTTAAATCAATATAGTAGTTTGGAGTAAAAAGATATGGGTTTTGAATAGTAAAATATACATTCGGGTTATGTGTGACAGTGGCGAATTCCATTAGTTTCTTCAAAGAGGTTTTTCGAACAGTAGTGAAATACAACAATAAAAATTCATTTTATATTATTTTAGTTAATTGAATATTTGGCTGACCATACAACTGTTTCGAGTATTGCCAAATACCTATCATCAGTGGTCTTGGAAATAATTGTATTTAATTATTCGTAAATAATTTTTTGAGACTGCAAGTACTTGGAATCGAACTTGATTTTTTTAGGTATAAATAAAAATAAGACGAAATAAATTTCAAACTTAACATAATTAAACATATGTAGTATTTTAAAGTTATATTTTTTATTACTGAGGCGTAGAAGTACTAGCATCCTTCAGCAGACATTACTACTCTAGTAGTAATGCTCTTAAGTTTGGCAGCACATCGAAGAAAGGGTCTTTCCTTATCATAATTAATTAAGTATTCCGCACTCTGATGTTGATATTGTAGTATCACATAGTTTACTATTATCATTTTAATTTTATAGATTTTATCATAACCAGTTTACTTTGATATTTTTATGTTGCAAGTTATAGGCATTCTTTTATTCTATGATTAGTTAAGCGTTTTATTTAAATTTATAAAACATTTCACCAATTTTCATTAATTTTAGGATATTGAAACGACTACACTTTCTGATACTGCTCAACAATCTTCTCCTGCAATTAAATCCAAAAAGAAATTGGAAATTTCAGTAAGTGAACTTGAAAAAATTGCCAGCGCTACAGTTTTATCATCTAACGATAAAGCGAAAATTCCTGTTATATCTGATAATCAATCTATGGTTGAATTAAAGTCTGATAATGAAAGTTTTGTTTCATCACTGAAGGAAAAAAATGTATCCACAGTAACATTAATGTCAAATGAACCTAATAATGATGATATTAAACATTCGAATACAAAAATAATTAAAAACAATTCCAAACAGGGTAAGCCTTTAAATATTTTGGTTTATGCAGAAAGTCCTAGTGCCAGAGAGAACGCTTTAACAACCTTGAAAGACATATTGGAAATTGACTTGTAAGTTTTTCTTTTCTTTCTTTTATTATTATAATCTTTTAATTGAGAAATTTTGTTTGTAGATATACAGTCTATGCTATGACTACAGAGCAAGTGGAAAAAAAATTTTGGGTTGATAATACAGCATTACTTGTTGTATGCGGCACAGTGGCTTTAAATATCGGCGAGATTTTTGTAGACTATTTCTTGCATGGCGGTAGAGTTTTGTCTCTTTGTTCTGATATTTTACATTTCATATTACCAACTTATCGTACTGCTGAAGTACGTTTTTTTTTACCAGTAGGGATTATTATCAATATGGTTATTATGATATGCTTATATTTCACAGGTGCGAGAACATGAGCTAGTTCAGTTTTCCTATAATAAATGGCCCAAAGTTAATATGATGCATCACATCTTCTGCTACCAACCGTCACCGGTTAAAAAGAACTTTTCAACCGACAGTGATGATTCAACTCTGCAAAGTGGAAAAAAGCCGTAAGTTCCAATTTCCTGTAATTTATTTCCCGTCGTTTCCTTTTTTTTTTTTGGTCTATTTATTTATTTTAGACTTATTAGACTTATTTATTTATTTTCTTTTAGTATAAGCATTACACTATATTGCATCAGTATTTAAATAATTTTTACAAATTTTTTTAAAATTAAAATATTCATTTAAAATAAATTTTTTAATGAGCTATTATAATTGTGTTATACATATATGATAATTAACTGTCGGGTACATTTTGACTAAATTTGTAAGAAAATGGAAAGTTAAAAAAGTATACCATGTTTACGTAATTTATGTGTTGGGCACAATAAACCCGTGTTACTGTTGTTGTTATCCGAAAAGGTCCCTCTTGGATAAAACTACACACTTCGATAGTTGCAGTACATAATTATCAAATCCATCAATATAACATCGAACCTCACCTGAACAAAAGCAGGTAGCTTTTCAAATAAAGCTCAGAATATCTTTCATTGATCGTATACGGGTTATATTCCACAGCAGTATTTATTATCATAAGGCAATCCAACTAGCTCACACGGGAGATTTTTTTTATTTTCACTAAATTGTTAGCAGATTTCTTAGTTTAAATATATTAATAACTAGTTTCTTTACTTCAAGAGCTCTTGTCAACTATCATTTTCTAAAAATAAGATTAAAGTCATGAGCAAATTCTTTTTATCGTGCGTATAGACTTTTGGCGTTTTGAGCTAGAGATATTGTTATGTTTATTAGTATATATAGTTTGCTTAATTAGCTTACTTTTTCCAGAGACAGCAAAATAAATGTCAAATGTCTTAATGCACAATTGGAACAATTTTTATAATAATTAAGTCACTTAGACCCCAAAACAATAATATTCACAATGAAAAGATATCTTCAGTTCCATTATTTGAACGAATAATTTTACTATTAACATGAAAAGAAGTAACTACATATATAATTATCATATTTAAATGAACAGAATTATGTTTTTTATAATCCGCTTTTTGCGTTTCTATGCAATGATTGTGTATATAGAATGCGACTTATTTAATCTTTAACATTTTTGTTGTAGTTTAAGTCTATAAACTATAATGTTTTTTAATGCGACTTTCTATTTTATATCTGATACATTTATTTTTCAATGAATATCTGCTTTGATTGTGATATCCTTATATATATATATGTGGTGGAACTTGCTTTTTTGTTGTCCTTTTATTTTTTACGTTTTACTTGCCCGTGTGTGTTTTTGTGTATGCATATTTCTGAATTTATGTGGTCACAATCCATAACATACGACGCTTAGAGCTCTAGTGTGTCCAAGGTCAATTGAACTGAAAGATCTGCATGGTGAAGTACATAATCTTGATGTCAAAGTCTTAGGAACAGAAGAGACTTGGAATACTCCTAGTTTGTTATTAGCAAGTAGTGATATTAGCGGCGGGAAAGCTGTATTCTCCCAGGTGAATCCAATTAAAACTTGATATTTTATTTTCACGCATCAAATTAAAATTTTTTTATTTAATTATAGGTTCATCTTGAAACTAATCCAAATCAGTTCGAGACTGATGAAACAAAGTTTTTTATTTTAAAACAAAATGAAAGCTTTCGTTTAGAAATACTTGGGGACTTACTTATGACTTATTTAAATATAAATGTTAAACAAAATATTTCTGCACAACTTGGAGCGAAAAATCATTGTATTTTTAAAAACGCCTATTTTCTTGGTCACCATGAGGTAATTAATATATATTTTCTAAATGTCTTTTTTTAGTATTGGTATTTTCTGAGAAACTGTTTGATAGCTCCTAATTAATTACTCTAATTTTGCGAATTTATAAAAGATTCTGCTAGATAATATTTTACTTACTGCTTACTTATTATTATTGTTAGGGGATGTGGCACTGCAACCGTCGGGTCTATTGTGTTCACTTCAGGGTTTAGAGTAGGCCTCTAACCCATGTTGCGACAATAAAAAGTAGTATAGAACCTACTTTACAGAGTTTTATAGTCTCTTCCTACCGTGTCTTTTGGTTTTAATTTTAATTCTTACAAGAATTGAAATTAAAACCAGAAGCAACACATAGAATCTTATTAATATAAAAGTTGAAAAAAGATAACAGTTGTCAGTTCATTGTGATTTGTAACAATCGGCTAGATATAGAAATTATTGGCGAAGAATTTAGGATAATAGAAAGATTGCAAAAAATAGAAAACTGAATATAGAATACACACATAGTTAAAGTAACTATCCTGATTTCAAAGAGTATGGAAATATATTTTCCTAATATACTCTCTAAGTTATCTGAATAAAAAGTATGTACAGAGCAGGAGGTCGGCTAATTGCGATTATTATATCTTCAATTTGACCTATATTAAAGACATTAAAAGAACAGGTTTAGTATCTTTCATATTAATATGTCAGATTAATATTTTACAAAACGCAGGATTGCATTCATTGACATAGCTGTAATAATATATGTATATATATGTATATATGTGATATATGTATGAATAAGAGAAAAAAACTATAAAAAACTAACGATGGATAATAATTATCCTATAGTAATAAATGCTACCGGACTGGTAGAGAAAAGTCTAGCGGTAATATTTAGAAAAATTTTAAATAAAATGAAAATAATTGATGCAAGACCAAAAGCCTGTAATACTCAACCCAATATATATAGTTCTGTTAATCCAACATTAATATACTATTCGGATAAGTTCCTCTGAAAGAAAAATCTATGTATTCGTGAAATTCAGAAATAAAGGAGATAATAATAATAACATTTTCTATTTATTTAAACTTCTTTAATTATGTTTCTTTTTTATTGAAATTTTTTTCAGGCTAAGTTTCAGCTTCTTGAGAAATTGAAACCTAAATTCACTTCAGAAAATACACTTAATACATCTAAATTAACAATGAAGTTTTTTAACAAAGGAGAAAATCCTGAAAATATTAATATAAATGAGCTTCCAATACTTATTCATTCCTGCCCAGATGATTTCTCTACAGTGGATTATTTCGATGTAATTATAATAATAACATAATTTTTATTTCTTTAATCAATGTATTTTTGTATCGTACAAGTGCTTAAAAACTAAATACATTGGTCGACTTGTTATTTATGCCCCGATAATTAATAGTTCAATGAATATAATAAATGAACTTGATTTGACAAATGGAATTGCGATTTTGCCACGTCAACAAACGGAAGGAGTTGGACGGAGCAATAATCAGGTATTATATTTGAGTTAACATCAATATTTTGTAATTAATGGAAATATTTTATATTAAGTGGTTGAGTCCAATTGGCTGTGCTATGTTCTCATTACAATTGCATATATCCTTAAATTCAAATCTGGGATCGCGGCTGCCTTTAATACAACACATCATTGGCGTAGCTATCGTAAATGCTTTAAAAACACAAAACCTTTATAAGGTAAGTTTGTTGTAATTTGTTGTTGTTATGGGTATGTGAAATGGGTATATATAAATAGGATAATGAGATTGATATATTATTATGTTATTTTTTCAATGGCATCGACGTTAAATTGAGACAATATTTGTGGCATGTTCATGACTTCAGTAAGCAAGGCATTACTCTAAACAGTTATCATGTGTATTCGGTTATAGAAGAGCACTTTAACAAATGATTTCTTAGTTTTTAACCTTTTATGGACGTTAGTATAATTACTAGACAAAATAAATATAATTAATAGGCAAATAAAGTATAATTACAACACGGAATTTAATTGGCCATATGAATTTTAATAACTTCTTTTCCTACATCTATATAACTTCTTCCTACTAAAATCACATTTATAAGTTAAGTTTGTTTGTGATATTAACAGTGCAGTCATCTATATGTGTAATAAATACTTGACTATTTGGATGTGGAATAAAGGAAATTAAACGTAATGAGTAATAAATTGTTACTTGTAGTTAATTGTGAAAAAATTGCAAAGATCCTTTATAAATCGTTAAAGACTCACAATTTTCAATTTTTTATAGCTTTATTTTTGTATTAATATTTTTTAGAGCGAACTTTTGTTTTATACTTTCATTCTGAGTGGGTATTTGTATAATATTTAACTCAATGTAATGAGTGAAATCGATCTAAACTGCCAAATTATTTGTGTCCACTTAACAATTATCCGACAGTTAACGCAATAGGACAATGGAATCAATTATTATTTAATTTTGTCTTTATAGAGAAGTTTCGAACAGTAGTGAATTGCAACATAATTTTTATTTATTTTTTAATAATTGAATTTTTGGCAGACCATGCAACTGTTTCCGAGTATTTTGATTTTATAAAATAATACAGTTTGATTTCAATTATTTATCATTTTAAGTATCACAGTTCAATTCTTAAACTATAGAACTTAATTGTATGTTTGTGGCCTGCAAAGAAGGTGTATGAGATGATGATGATTGTGAAGTTAATAATACAATGTGGCTAGTTGAGTTATTCGAAAATGATAAGAACTCATTAATCACGAATACATGGAAAAACTCACTGTGTGTGAATATTGTCTACACAAGCGGTCGGAAATCAACGTTTATCTTACAAATCTTAAGAAGGCGTACAATATACGTGCATATACAATCTAAATGTTGGTTATGACCGATGTGATATACCTGTATATGCCTTTATGCTAGATATTGATAACAATATCATGCTGACATTAATAGAATTCGCAATTTTTGGCTACGCGACTTCAAGATATAAGGTGTAAAAAGTTTTGGTGAAAATTAGTAATTACTCGTTTTCGGTAGTCTCGGTATGATTTGAAATGATATCTTTTCTTTATCCATTTTATAAAAACCGAACGGTATTTTTTTTTTTTGATATTGAAAAATCTTTAATATAGAAAAATAATTTTCAAGTACCAAAATGATAGCTTTATTTCAATAATTAGAAACGCTCTTTGAAGTCTTTCTTAGAAACGTTTAAAAAAAGAAGTGGTTATTTATAGTTTAATGTTTATTAGATTTTTTTGTTTAATTTTTAATATTTGTTTATCTTATAAATAATTAACAACTTTTATTATATAGTTAGTATTAGTAAATTTTTTTTCGTAATTTGTCTTATATCTATTGCATATATTATTTGGTTTAAAAATATTTTAATATTTATTTTGAAGTTGTCTTTTCTCGATATTAATTCAAATAATTTGCAATATAAATAATTCATAAATATAATAGTGCTCATAATTTCATATTAAAAGAGATTAAATTTAGAGCTTTGTTATTATATAAGAAATATGTGTTAATAAAATAGTGATTACTGAAGGGAATGGTAATATTAATTTTTTACATATTAAGAACTTACACTATCATATATACATTATATAAAATTATGTTAATTATGTATATTAATTTAGCAGCTTAATAAAAGCATACACAGATAAAATTACATTCAAATTATAATATATGAAAACTTTTTACATTGCTTACATTTTGTTTTGGTTTTATTTTTTTAGCACACATTTTTATTTTATACCTGTAAATTACTTAGCACCAGAGTTACTATCAAAAGCAAACCACATCTGCTTCATTTTACTATTTTTATTCTTAAAATACTGATTCAGCAGAACGAGATAATTGTACTGGATGCGAAGGGCTACGAGCAAGACGTTTTTTTGGTAAACGCTCTAAAAGTGTTAATAATTTTGGGAAGTCGGGTCTATCGTCTGCTTGAAAAGACCAACATAACATAAGAATATCTTTTACATCTCTGGAAGTTTGTAAATTCGCCAAGGTTTGTTTCATACCGCGTCCTACTTGCCAAATAATCGATTCATGTGGTTGCATCTTAAATGGAAATTCTCCGCACAAGAGTTCGTACCAAACTGTGCCGAATGAATAAACATCGGATGCTTTCGAATATGGCAAAATCTCTTCATTTGGACGACGTGGCAATAATGCACGCATTAGTTCTGGTGCTAAATAACATAGCCAACCATTAGGTACTCCTAATCCTATCTCACAGTATAGCAACTTTGTCGAACTAAACAAGCCGAAATCTGTAATAATCACTTTTCCGTTCTCGAGAAATATGTTTTTGGTACGAAGATCTTTGTGATAAATGCCTCGTGCATGTAAATATCCCATACCTTGTGAGATCTGTTGAGCAACAAGAGTTGTTTTATTAATTGTGAATTTGTCGCGACGTGTATGTATGTAAGTAAACAATGTATTCCCTTTGCATAATGAAGTAACAATAGCCAAGTATGGGGGATTCATACAAGCACCCATAAACAATACTAAATTTTCATGCCGCGTTTTCTTGAAATTAGCAACTTCAAGTTTAAATGCTTCAAGCATGTGATCATCGTTTAAATAGTCCTCTTTAAGTAATTTTACTGCAACATCACCATGCCATAAAGCACGATGAACTGTACCAAACCGTCCTTTACCAATCTGTTCGAGCAGCAGTAAATCTCCATATGGTATATCCCATTCTTTCAGGGACAATGAGTTTTGTCGTGGCCAATTTCCCGAATCGCCATCTTCCGTTGAATCGAGTCTAACAGGTGTTCGGTCGGAATCAGTACTAGCTGATGTACTTCCAGAAAGAGAAACTGTCTTGTCGCTATCGTTCGATTTATGTGTATCGGACAGTTCGGAGAATGGTCCACGTTTATCTACACCAGCTGAGCTTAGTTTTCGCTGATAAAATGTACCGGTACTATTCACTATATTGCTTATTGTAACAGAATGTGTTGTGACACTTACTGAATTGCTTATGTTTGTGTTGCTATTGCAATTAACGTTTTGTGTTTGATTAACTGAGTTGATCTGTGTTGTAGGTAGACTATCAATTATAGTACTGATTCTTGAACTCGTTAGAGATGTGATATCGTGAAAGTCTTTTGGGGAAGTTACAAAATCTGCGACATGAGATTCACTTGCACTAATTTGCGATGAGTAAAGTGTTTGAGTTGTGCTACCAGCAGCTTGATTGAAGTTTGATGTGATAGTAACATCAGGAAAATTAAACTGGCTCGCATTTTTGTGAAACGATGAAGGAGTTGAGAGCATATTGGAACTTGTGCTCGAACTGCCACCTCCGGAAGAACTCATTACATTTGCACCTGTCATGTAATTACCACTAATATTGTGCTGTGTGACATATTGTTGCTGTAAATTAAAAAGTGCTGGGCTTGAAGGACTTGAGCTATTGCAGCTGGAACCAGGGGAACTGCTGTCGGGATGTGTATTAACTGTAGTTCCAGATTTATTTTTACGTATCGCAGTAGCTCTATTTTTTCCAAGAGTGTTTAAATTAGGAGATGTGTTAACCGTTGGTTGGTTATGACTAATAGCAGAGAATCCAACTTGATCTTTTAAAGTTTTTTTGAACTCGTCCACAAATTCACGTGGTAAACCACAAGAAGGTGGTACATTGGGCTCACAATCTTTATGGCAACGGTATTTGCACTCTTTACACTTGAGGCCAAAAAACATTTGCTTTTGACATAAATCACATGTTGACATCATTTTAAAAACTTTTGTGAAACGATGTGATATAGTGTGACCCATGCCTAATGGCACAATAGGTGTACATGGAGAACGCGGCACTTGTAGATTGTTTGGATTATTATTATTCTCTATGAATATATCTGAGCTAGCAGAAGAATAACTATCTGGGCTGGGATCTGTATGCAACCGGGACCGTGGTACGGTAGAATTATTTGAACTTTGTGATGAAATTAGAGATGGCGGAGAATTTGCGGTTGGAAACGGCATTTCATGAAATTGTAATTCATTCGATTTTGATTTAGACAATGCTATGCCATATTCTTGCTGATTAGTTGCATGTGTTGGCGTTAAAGGTTGTGTATTGCTCAACAATGTTTGATGCTTTTTCATTGGGGGTGGAGTACCAGTCAGTTTAACTCTTTGTGGAGTACCATTTAGACTGCCACCACCAACTGTACTAAAATTATTTGTGTTTGTTGGTGGAGTGAATGGTGAATTGGGCGGTGATGGTGTGAGTGTTAATGTAAGTGTGGAACTTTGCATACTTGTTGCATCATCTGGAGTAGAATTAATAGCAGATGTTGACTTAGAACTGTTTTCGTTATGTGTTGATTGTCGACTATTTTGAGCTTGTTGTTGCTGCTGTTTAGCTTGTTTGACTATCATACGATGTGTTCGGGGTGAAGCTGTGATGCCAATATTTCCCATGCTACCCCGATGGTGATGGTGATGATGATGATGGCGATCCCAAGAATCCCAAAATAAGTTTTCTGTAATTGGTTCTTTACAACCAATACTGTTGTAACTGCTGCTACCACTTGAAAGATCCTTACACTTTTTCAAATTTTGCATTGCTCTCGTTAAACGGCGAACTTCTTCTTCACGATAATTTGGATTGTTACAAAGTATTTGTTTCAATTCATCATCCGTTTGCTCCATAAGTTGCTCAAGAGTTGATAAGCGAGTTAAACAAACATTCAACGATTCTTGACTTAATCCAACAACTCGCAGCCATTGTTTTAATTCACTGCCTGTGGTATGAGGTAAACCGGTTGCTGGAATTCGTTCATTAAGTCGTGCTTTTGTTACTAATAATTCGGAAAACATTCGTACAAGTTTAGCTTCTAGACTTCTAATTTCTTGTTGCGTAAGAGTAACACTAGTAGCACACTGCGTTCGTAAGCCTTCTAATCTGTCTGCAGATATATCAATCATATCCTGTATGACATCTAAATGGTTGAATGGCAATGAATCATCCAATATTTCAGAAGGGGAAGACACGATCTCTGAAGAAGTACTCATAGCTAGTCTGTTACCTTAAAAAAATAATTTAATCCATAATATCCTAAGATATAATTATTATGAAAGACTGAAATTGCATATAGATTATTTATATATGTATAAAAATTAAGATTAAATAAAATAATTTTATTTGAGTTTTATACGTTGAGGAAAACTTTTGCAAAAATAAAACCGACATTTGTCAATTTTCTCTTTTTGTTTGTAAGGTATTTGACGTATATCGATTTTTCATTTGTACAAAATTATTACAAAGTATTTTTAGTATTTGAATTCAAAAGTATAGACAATTGGAAATTTTTAATGCATTTTTTAATGTCTCTCATCATTTTTAATTAATAAAAAATACTAACCCTTAAAAACAAGAATTAAAAAACTTTGTAGGCTAGTTTAACAGTTGACAAATTACAAACGTTTGTATTATCGCTGTTATATTGCGTTAGGAAATCTCAAGTTATGTTATAATTCTAATTATATGCAATATTGATTGTACTCCCAACAAATAATTGATGTTTTTTATTTTAACATACTTTTAAAATCGTTATTGTTGTACTTGAACATTTTCGCGAATTTATGCTGCAAGTGATTTTTTTCATTGGATATAAGAAAACCGAGACATCGAGGTATAAAATTTTTATTTGTGTGGATGGAATTGAGTTCCAAAAATCAAAAATACATTCCACAATGACAATTGTTTAAGGGCTGGAGTATAATAAATTACAAAAGAATTTTATTTATACAACATACAGTGATAACAGACATTTTATAAAATTATTATTGATTTTATATATTTTGTAATTTTTGAAAATCTATTTTTACCTTGTCGCAATATGTGTAGTTTAATATTTAGTAACAATTATGTGCATATATTAATTATTATAACATTTTTTTATAGGACCTTGAAATAAGTATCAAATGGCCAAACGATGTTTATGCAAACGGAGTCAGTAAAATTGGAGGTCTTATTATAAAAACGACAATATTTGGTTCAAATGCTGTTGTTAATGTTGGATGTGGTATAAATCTTAATAATTCAAAACCTACTATTTGTATAAATGATTTGATTAATGAGTTCAATAGAGAAAATCACAAGAATTTACCACATTTAAGATATGAAACTTTCATTGCGCTAATTTTTAATGAAATCGAAAAAATCATCGAAGACGTACAGTCAGGACATTTTAAAGACTTTTATGAATTATACTACAGGTTATGGTTACATAAGTATGTATTATATTATTGTATTTGCATTTTAATTATTTTTATTCGTATTCCTAATAAAAGCCAACAGATAGTTACAATTCTGGACAAAAATGGTACAAAGGAAAGAGCTAAAGTTGTTGGGATTGATGAATGTGGATACTTGAAAGTCGAAAATTCCAATAGTTGTATAATCACTGTTCAACCTGATGGCAATAGTTTTGACATGCTTAAGGGCTTGATCGTACCTAAATACAATTAAATTAAGATTATACGATTTTTTGATGACATATGCAATTATAATTATTTTATGAGAATATTTAAATATATATTGTTGCATTTAATTTGTAATTACTCAACAACAATAAGCTTTAAGAAGATTTAAAAAATTAATTGCGTTTTAAATGATAATTAAAAAAACCATGTTTTATTTAATTTAATACCGTGGACTGCCATTTATCAAATTATAACTTTTCAAATAGTTAATATTATACACATATTGATCTTATGTATTCAGCATTAATATCTTAAAAAATGCCTTTAGTACTCCTTTTCTGCTAATAATAAAAATTATATATTAATGACCTTATAATATTTTAACCTATCTATTTATCTAGTTATTTAAAACATTAAATAAATATATAATTTTGGTTATGAGTATCTTATAAATTTGTTTATTATATATTATTGTAGTATATTCAAGTTGACACAAATGTGATATAAATTTACATCCAATTTAAGTTTCATAAACAACAAGCCGATTTAATATAAGTCCTTTTGGGTGGCTTGCAAGTACGGCAAAAAGTACATGCTGGCCTATTTTGGCCACCCCAGCCATTGGTATCACTGTGCAATCTGTTAAGTGCTATGTTTTGGCAAATAGCAAATCTTGCATATGTGCATATGAGTTAGATTTTAACTTTGAATAATTTAAAAACATAAGCAAACTTTTCCTTGACATAAACATATTGCTTATAATGTAGTTTGTTTTGATTACTTTTAATTCTATTCTGGAAACATATTAATTCAATTATGTTCAAAACATTCCAGATATGTATGCTTTATAAGCTCATAAAATATGTTCAATTTTAACAACAAATTCATTGCTTTATTCAGCCATGTGATATTAACTTATATTAAAATAAATATTTAATTACATTTCAGACAATCCATTTTAAACTTATTAATATAGAGAAGACGGCAATAAAACGCTTTTGTAAGAATAAATATTTTTAAACATTTAAATACAACCCTGATAAATTTTCTTCTGCCCGTTTACTTGCACACAATTTCTTTGACTGCTTGTCTAATTGTCGTCGTCTCTGCAGAAAATTTATTATAGGAATTGCAAATTAAATGTTTAAATAGTTGTAATTAAATTAAGTCGCAAAGAGATTTTTAAAATTAATTGATATATAATTTTTCGTGAGCTGTCGACCTATTAATACTATTTTTCGTCATTTACATAAGCAAAGTCTGCAAATGAATGTTGTAATATATGAATTCACAGATATTAAAAGAAATTAAAAAAAGTTTAGATCATGTCCCGAAATACTGGTCGTATAGATAGATTTGCTCAAATGAGCAAACAAGAGGAGCTAATTGCAAAAAAACGACAAGAGATATTAGATCGGCAAAGAACGAGTCAACTGGCCAAGGCGGTGGCGGAAGCCCAAAATCTTGCAGCGAAACAAAAAAATCCAAATGATACCGAAGTTGGTACTGAGCAGTCAACGCTGTTTTCCCTTTCATCAACAAATTCAGTGGTTTCTATATCGTCAGATTTAGTGGAGATGGATGAGAAAAAGTAAATTCTTTATTTTTTATATGTTAACATAGTTTTAGATAGTAATCACATTGTTGTGTTTATATTTTAATTTTTTTTACACTTCTATACTTGAATTATACACTAATTTTATTGGTTATAGATTAAAGACTGAGCCTGAATCAACTAAGCCAATTAGTAGTATAATAGGAAAAACAGGTAAAATTTCATTTGGTGTTAAAAGAAATCATGCACCTGTTCCTATAGCTGAACAACCTCAGCCCAAAGTACAGAATTTTTTTTGTAATGATGGTTCCTTTTTGGATCATTTTAAAAAAATTATTGAAAAGCATGAACAACCACAACCATCAATTATTGTGTAAGTTTATTGAAAATAACTAAAATAAAAAATGAAGCTTAATTGATGTTTATTTATTAGACAAGCCATTAGCGATACTGATATTACTGTAGAAGATACATGTGTAACACCAAGTGAAGAGAGTTGTGAGGATATTTATCAGAGTGTCAATCTTTTGAATCAAGAACAAGAAGAATCATTAATGCAGCAACAACAGCATCAACAACAGCAACAACACATTCAGCAACAAAATCAAATTCAAGCACATCATCATTTACAAGCGCAGGCACAATTGCACTTGCAACAGGCTCAGTGTCTTACAACTGCAAGTTCGCAACCTATACCAGTACCCTTGCCGGTACCAGTTCCAGTATCTGTTACAGCAACACCTGCTCAATTTGCATTTAATCCTAATATACTACAACAACAACGACCTAAATTATCGAATTTCATACCGCAACCACACGCATTACAAGCAGCTTTTTTTACTACAGCTCCACCTCAGTTGGTGCCACCGCCACCTCCACCAACAACACACCAGACTACAGCTTTTCCTGTGTCAATGACAGTAGCATCTGTTACACCTCCGCCACCACCACCTCCACCTCCGCAGATACCGCATTTACTAGCTAATTTAGCTCCAATTTATATGATACCAGCTCCAGAATCTTTACAACTGAATGCAATACCACCCCCGAAAGAATTTGATTTAAATGCAATTCCGAAGCCGCAATTAAAATTGGAAGCAATTCACATACCAACTGAACATCAACAGACCATAACATTTTGTACTTCTTCTCCACCGCCACCACCTCCACCGCCTCATAAACACATTGAAGAGCAAGTGGAAGACGAACAAAGTACACTACATGAACAAGCGCAACATCAACAAGGTGTGTATTTAAGTTAGTTAATTGACAAAATTGATTGATTAGAAAACATAAAAATTAGTAGTTGTTATGCTATGCATTGCAAAAATAAAACAAGAGTAAAAAAGCAATAAAGTAAAGTAATAGAAAAAATATAATATTTGCTTTGCTCTTTGTTGATGAAATTTTGCAAAGAAAAAAAATTAAAGTTTAATTAATTATTTTATATACGCTAAGCTCGATTTTAAAGGATTTTATGTAGTTTTTTCAGACAACAGTGAAAACAATAGCATACAAATGCCAACATCTATAGATAATCTAATCGATTTGGTAACTGATAATGGAGATGAATATGAAGATAAATTACGAATGCATCAAAATGAGTTGCATCCATCAATGTGGTAATTTTTTTATTTGCATAATGTTAAAAGTTACATAAGTGACTTTAAAGAATTACTAGGCTTAGAACATAATATAGGCCATCATTAAAAAATGATGAATTTCATTAACATTCATTTCAAATATAGAAATAGAAGTGCTTCCGAACAAAAATGGAAGCATTGTTTATAGTTAAATAGCACATTAAAATAAAATTTTTTATTTAAATGTTGAATTGTGTATATTAATACGTTTATTAAATGAGACCTGCAAACTAAATATTATAACAAAAATGTATTTACTATTAAATGTAGATCAGTTACTTGTGTAAAAGCTTCTTCTAAATATCATTTATCATCATTTCATAAAAGATACAAAACTAAGCAATTTTATTAAAATTTGAAGATATAATACATTTCTCTCTTTATTTAATATGACATCGTTAGTTATATGCTATTAACAACGGTAGTAGACACCAATAAATTAAATTTATTTCTGTGTTACAATATTAAAAGATTGAAACTGCTTTTAAGTTAACTATATTTTCTTATAAGTTGTGTTAAGACTGAACTCATTTTGAAATGTTATCCTATATGAAGTTTATTTATATAGTTATATGCGTAATATTAATGCAAAATTGCTGAGCAGGTTTACCGGTAAATTAATGAAAAATATTTACTAAAAATAAAATCGTTTTAATAAAATTTTACAATAGTAGCATACGATAGTAGCAGATTTTGAATGAACAGAAACCAACCGGAAACAAACTTTATCATATTAATCTCAAGTTCATCCCTCTCATTAGTTAAATTCTAAATTAGGTGTAGTGATTCATTTAATAATTCAGTAAGCGATAAAATAGTTTTTTTTATATGTATTGTGTAATATTTTTGTAAAAACTTACCACCAACATCAACGCAGCATTATGTATGACATTCAACATGTAGCTGACTAATCGCAATGCAACCTCATCATGGATTTCTTCAAAATAAATTTCAAATAATCATACTATATTCCTAAGGATATGATATGAAAATATAGTTTTGTATTTGATGTTCTTATTTCTTATCAATTCAATTTAAATTTCAATTCAGGTTTCTATTTGATAAAAATTGCGAGGAATACATCAGATACAAACACGAATTAATTAAACGTCGGCTAAGCAAAGATATTTCTCAAGAGCAAGAAGTGCAAAATAATTCTAATAATGCAGGGTGTAGTAAAAGTGTGACACAGGAGCTTAAATTATTAGATGATGATGAAAAATCTTCTGAAGAATCAATGAATCAATACTTAGTGCAACGTAATAAAGCGGTTGAGAGCAGTTTTTCTGGATTTCGTGCACAATATGGTGAAGATAAATATGATCCTGAATCTGTTATTAGTGGGGGTGAAATTGATTCGGATGATGAGTACAAACGAGGGATGTTGGATCGCAATCGTGACAATATTAAACGACGTATAGAATGTCGTAATGAATTAAGTGAGGAAGAACGTTTGGAACGTGAAGCAGATGAACATGAAGACAGAAGGCAAGATAAAAAAAAATTGCGTAAAAGTCGTTGGGGAGAAAAAGTTAAAATAACAGAAGATTCTTCATCTTCTTCAGGTAAATATAGTCGTTTATTTAAAATTTGAATGACATTAATATATCATTTTATAGGGCTGCCCTCTACCTTTAGCAACCAAAATAAACCAGTTTTGTCTACTATAACTCGAAATGATCCTGCACTCTTACAATATGCACGTCTTAATTACGGATCGACTGAATTAAATGAAGAAGACTGGCAGAAGTGTGAAGAACATTATAAAGTAAACTTGCTTTATCAAGATATGATACGCAAAAGGGAGGAAATAGATCGCTTGGCACGCAGTGGTAAATTTAAATATGAATATGATTCTGATGAGGATGTAGACGGCGGTACCTGGGAACATAAATTAAGATGTGCAGAAATGGAAGCAACACAAGCTTGGGCACAGGCATTGACCAAACAAAGTGAAGGAAAGCATCATATTGGTGATTTTTTACCACCAGAAGAGCTAAAAAAATTTATGGAACAATACGAAGCAAAGAAAAACAATCGACAACCAGACTTAAGTGATTATAAAGAATATAAATTAAGGGAAGACAATATTGGTTTTCAAATGTTGCAAAAGTTGGGATGGAAGGAAGGTCAAGGTCTTGGTACTGATGGTGCAGGTATTGTGGATCCCGTAAACAAGTAAGTATAAATATTATTAAGGTTTTTAAATGACAGAAAAATTACAGTGTTCGCATAAATGAGTTAAAAATATGCCTTGATTTATATTAATAAATGAAATAATATGATTCCTTTGAGGAATGTAGAAAAAGTGTATTCCCCTTGAAAATTAAAAACGTTAAAAATTCACAATATTTCTATTAAACCCAATTGCATAAGAGTAAGTTATTACTTAATTATTATTAAATAAAAACCGTTTTCCATCTACTTTATTAGGTAGTTTAAAATTTGTAAAATACTATTTCTATCTAAATAGTTTTTTAATAAAAATCAATTTAATGTATTAATTTTGAAACTTAAATAAAATATTATAATGCGCTGTGTGCTGAGTAGATTGGCATGCTTCCTAGTTGCACTAGCAATGTGTTCGACTAATTTTAAGGCACCTACCTTTGGATGTTTGGCAACTTCTTTTAAAACCAAGCTGACATCCCTACGTGTGAGTTTCCTTGGGCGGCCACTGCGAGGCGTATTTTCAGTATAACCAGTATTTTTATCATTTCTTATTATCGTCTGACCTGTTGATCGAGTCAAATTTACTAATTTTGATATTTTTACCATAAGATTTTTTTTCATTTCTATGCTTAGTAACCAGATTTCGCATATTACTTGAAATTTCTTTTCGTGGACCCATCGTGTCAATTAAATACCACTCACAAAACACAACTAAGTGCATTATATAAATGTATGACTTATGCCACAAGCATGAAATATGAAAAACGGTACTTTCCCGTTTAACATTTAAATTACTGTCGACTAAATGTAACAATCAATGAAGTGTATGTAGACTTTTGTCAATGATTTTTTTAGTTTTTTTTTTCGAATAACTTTGTTAATTTATATTAATGAATGAATTTTCTTTTGTTTATTATTATTAAAAAACAGTTCTAAACAAAACTGTATCATTACTTTTATCTATTATGTCTTTGGATTTACGAGCTAGCAGAAATGGGGGGTGTATGTAGAGTTTTGTCGCTCACTGTATGTAGGTTTTACAATTTTTCTACCTTATTTAAAAACCAGAATGCAGCGCAGACATATACATATAATTGTCCCAATTATGTTAAAGGTACTCCAAAACAGTCAATTGTTAGAAAATTGATTGTATGTTTTTATTCTGGAAATGTTGGAGTAATCAAATTAAATTTTAAATCTTTTATTTATTATATATATTGTATTTTTTTTTAAAAATAAAAATATATATGAAAATATTTTTTTCATTGTTATTCTTTTATTGTAGAGGTCCACAGCGTGAAGGTAATCAAGGTTTAGGCGTAACTAGTAGCTCTACGCCTGAAAACTGTGACAATGTTTATGATGCCTACAGAAAGCGTATGATGTTGGCCTACCGATTTAGACCAAACCCATTGGTTAGTGGATAGTTGTTTCAAAATAAAAATGTATTATAATTTTTCTACTTTAAATTTTCAGAATAATCCAAGACGAGCATATTACTAATTTATAAGAAAGACATAAATTTAAAATATTGGTTTATTTACAAGTCTATAGATATATAGTTTTTGCAGGCATGTAAAAGTTGGTAAATATATACATACAAATATATTATTGAGCATTATTAAAAAGTTATTTTATAAAATCCTTTTATAGTGGCGTTTGATATTATTAATTGATGCCAATATGTATAATATACCAAAGTTAACTTAATATCCATATAACTTACTAATAAAGACTTTTCGGATTTTCAAAATTGTTAAAAATCAATAATTTACTCCACAGAATCAAATAAAAAGAGTTCTATTCGTAGCTTTTAAAAGAAATATCACCCGTTAGATATTTCATACTTCTTTTCATATGTTACCCTTAGTAGATTTTAGTGTAAAATATAACTATTCTTTGATATTCATAACATACATTATGTTAGAATTGCTAAAATAAAGATAGAAGTTTTTTTAAGTTTTTATAATTAAAATATAAATATAATTATGTTGAAAGCAGATAATAATACAGTAGATCCTCTATAATTTATCAAGTTATTGAATTATGAAGATTAAATAATAAAACTCGAGTTTTTTATTTTTATTATATCTAAACTTTTCGAATAGAAAAAATAAGAATACTGATACTTTTTATGTATTTTTATTTAATTATATATTTAATGATGCAATGTTTCAATTTCGAGTTCTACATCAATTCATTATGAAAAATGTAATATTTGTATAGGTTAGCTTTCCAAAACATTGAATTATGGAGGTAACTGATGCTTAAAATTTATAAAAATTATTGCATTGTTGAGACTAACACCTTTTTTTCTATTCACTTAGAACTGTGACAAATTAGAGAGGTTCATAATTATGAAAGATTTACTGTAATAACAAAGACAGGATATAAATATTTAAAAAATTGTCATACGAGGTTCGTAAATTACAAGAAGAAACCAAAAATATTAATAAAATAATTGTTTCTGTTACGAATGCATCATAGGAATTTAAAATTAAAATTTTAAAGATATTTCTTTATTTTCTGTTTAATTTATTTATATAAAAATTGTATTTATGTAGGCTGTTTACATAATCAAATATTTGAATCGCGTATATATTAAACTGTTTTTTCTTAAATTTAAATTTTAATGCAAACCAAAGCAATAATTTGAAAATTCGTTTGTAATAAAAATAAAAAAGATATAAAACTTATTTTTGTATTGTTAGTAAAAGTACTAAATATTGTATGAAAACTTAACATTTGATATGTTGTAAAGAACTAAAGCTCATAACCGTTAAAAACAATTGCTATTAAAACCGTTTCACTATCTAAAAGGGAATGGGTAATACATAGAGTCTTTAGTCTGTGTTATGGGTAATATTGTGTTTACATGATAATTGCAAAATGTATGAGATTGTAGTCTGGTAAAACACTAGCTAGCAAAAAATTAATATTTATAGAGGAATAAGCGGTCATGAAAGTAATTGCGCTAAGCAATATTTTGATTAGTAAGCACGTAAAATAACAAGAGTATGTAGAATGTAAGAATTTCTTGATTATTTATGTTTAGGATATAATAAGTTTGAAAATAACTTTTTCTAGATTTTAGACAGAATACTTTGTTTAATTTACTTCATTAATTTAGAGTGAAGCATGGGCTCTGTAGTACTTTTTAAGTCCCATTCTATTTACCCTACACGAGTGATATCGCACAAATGAACGAGTGAAATAAACAAAATTGCCTCTCTTTCACCTTAAAATGCGTACCTTCAAATGCTTTTGTGCAAAATACTGTTTCCAATTGCATCGACTTAAATAATTAATATAATAAAGAGTGAATATAAATAAAAAACGAAAGAAACGCTATAACTAGATCGTTTTCATGGGTCATGTACATACTTCTATAGCAGTACTGCTTATACATTTTGGTTGGTTGAATCCATAGCTTTATTTTTTAGGTCAGAGAAGGACAACAAATATTTGTTAGATATTATTTAAATATTTATAGGTATATCTGTAACACATCGGCTGAAAGTTGCTTGGCTAAATTATAAAAACACATTTTTTTGGGCAAATTCGACTTTATAAATCAACATAGTATAGTATCCTTTAAGAGCAATATAGTTATTTTAGCGTTTCTGTCATATTTCGATACCATTCTTGTAGAATTTTAACTCAGTAGTATAAATCTGTAGTAACCTCTGATGTTGTATATATGGACAGCGTTGTTGGTTGTTAGATGGTTTTTACGAATATAATTCATGGTTTTGTGTCATTCGAATAGGTAAGATATGAACAATTATGACAGTCATAAGGGATGAGAATGATGATAAAAATATTTAGCATGTAAATGATATAATGAAATAATTCAAAATATATATATTCAAAATTTTTAAGCCCAAAATATATTATAAATTGTATAAAAATGTGAATATATTTTATTGGTTTTTTTGTTACTTTTACACTTTTATCTCAAGTATTTGTTATTAAAATAATTGTAAGGTTAATGTGCTTATTACTAATTCTATGAATAAAATGTTAAAACTGGAGTTTGATTTCCACGGGCAAGAACAATTGGACACTTGATATCAGTCGTTAACATTTCTAGCCACGACATATACAATGGCGTTGATATTGCTTCCTTAAAAAAAAAGATTAATAACATTATTTAATGAATAAGATTGAGTTCTTCATTTTCACATTTAAAATCAATAAAATGTACATTCAAAACTCAATCTCTTTACAACAATATTAATTCAATAAAAGTACTTTATGGATATAAATGTTTATAATTCTTTTACATAATTCTAATGACTTGCTATGCCTACTGACAAGAAGTTTACTTCCTGAAACACATAATAAATATGTTCGTCAATCCAAAATATGAATAAACGTAGTTATAATGGACCATACCTTGGCGGTAGATTTTGATATGTATGCTCGATGTAAAAATAAAATTTCGCGGCACGTCTTTTCGTTTAAAAATATAAAGAACTATTTGTTATATTTGTCTCTGAATCGCTTTTAATAATCAGTCTCTGTTTATCAGTCTCTATTTTGTATTATATGTGTCAAGTTTTGTACGGGTATTTATTTAAGTCTTTTATTTACATTACCTATGTCAATATACCATAATAAAATATTCTTACCCTTCGTGGCATTGGCAGTGACATAACAACCAATGATGCCTTGAATGAGTATTCAACTATCAGCTCATGTATTCTGAGTTGTCTCCATGTTTTTTCTTCTAAAGATCGCAACTCATGCTCGGTAATAGAAAACTCGTTTGTTGCTTGTTGACAAAAATTTTGTATTAGACTTTTGTGCTTGTTGATTGTTTCCAGTTTTGGTCGATCACTAAGACCTTTAAGCATAATAAGCTCAGAGTACTGGATACGGAACTTTATCAATAAATTGGCCATGCTTAAATTTGTAAAGAGATCAGCAAAAGTTATAAAATTAAAATTATATGTACCTTTTTTCTTCGGCTTTTTCGTCCTTGCCATGGCTAAGAGCAAAAATTCGAAGATCGCATTGCTTCCAATTGGAACGCATAGATATAATGTGTGGAAGTAACATTGTTAAGCCTGAAGCATATTTTTCAATTTATTGTTTTACAAAATCAAAAAAATTTAACATTACCTCCATCATCGTATAACCAAAACACATCAATAGTGCTTTTTGGCTGTTTGCGTGTAAATACGGTTAACATGTTACTTCTCAAAGTATTTACAGAATCGTTTGAATTATCGTTTCTATTTTCGTTAAATTCATTAAGATCTACTAAGTTTGGTTCTGATTCTGCTATTCCTATATTTGGTGTATCGAGACTTGCTAAATTAAGATTAGAATCAACGTGCAACAATTCCGAAGCTGTTACTGAAGCCACACTAACAGGATTGTTAAATCCGAAGGTTCTAACTATTTGAAAATCTTGCATAGGTGTTGTAGGTGTAGTACATTCTAGTTTAACACCTGAAAAATCAAGTCCATTGTTTAAGCGTAATATTACTACTCCCAACCGTTGTGAAAATGAGTTGCTAATAGAAAGAGACATCATTATATATAGTATATAATTTCAAAAGAACTGAAAATTAAGACTTACTATAATATATTGAAATAGGTTTCCACTTCTTCCTTTCGACAATTAAACCAATTATTTTTGTAGCCAATTAATACAATATTTGGACTCATTTTACCCAAACCTGTACATTTTGCCATTATTTTAACACCATCATCCATATTGAACCCATCAATGAGAGTGTAGAAAGCTTTAATTTTGCGTTCATCTAAGTATTTTTGACCTTCTTTAATAATTTTTTGGCTATTTTTATAACCTATACTTTTCTTTTAGTAGGAAAAAATTAATGATAGTAAAATTTTATGAATAACTAAGTCAACTTACTGGTAATATGTTTCCGACAAACATTAAAGAATTCTGTTTGGTAAGTAAGTAACCAAAATCTATCAGTGGTGGACGTATTTTTGGATCACCTGATAGTACTAAAACTTGTGGATTATAATTTTTAACGTGATCAGATACATTTTGCAAACGATACACTGATGTTAACGTAGCTTTATACTGTTGCGCTTGAGTTGTGGAGCCCCAATTTGCTTCAGGTTTACGGTACATTACCACCAAATAGAGTGCAAATATTATGACAAGTGTAATAAGGGAAGCCATCCAATCGATAAGAAACATTATTACAATACATAACAGAAAACCAAATAAACTTAACCAAAGGTTGTAATACTAAAACGAAGAGTAAATAAATTTTTAGACTTCATTTAACATAAACTAATACTAAGCGAACTTACTTTAAATGTGGGACGCCATCCAAGTGGCTTTACAAACGCTGCGTGGAATGTACAGAAGTTAATAAGTGCATAAGAAGCCAAATAAAATGTGGAAATTAGAGGTGCAATTACGTTAAGTTGACCAATGAGCAAGAATCCGGCTGATATAATGAAGGTTAGTACGTACCCACGATATGGTTCACCATGCTTTCCATAAGGTTTCGAAAAGAATATTAGGCCGGGGTATATTTGATCAATACCCAAAGCTTGGACAAGTCGTGGTACAGAAAGTAAATTAGTCAATGCGGTGCTGAGAGTAGCAGCAAAGCAGCCAGCATATATTAATGGTTCCCAAAGCGACATTAGCTGCATCACTGAGTAGGAGTTGGCCAATCCGAACTCGCAAGTCTGTATTATATAATTGCTATTAATATATATGTATATAAATATACATTTCTTTTGAATAAAATTGCATACATTATTTAATTTACATGGTAGTGATGAGCTGATAATACTACCATTAACAAGATCAGCTACATTCCCCGAAGCATCACGTACAGCAGCACTGCCCGCAAAAAATGTAAAAATAACGTACGAAGACATAGAAATCAAAAGTGCCCAAAACGTGCCTTTTGGTATAGCTGCGCCGGGATCCTTTAAATCCCCACAAATATTTGCGCCAGCCTGTATTCCTGTTACGCTTGGGAAATAAATAGCAAAAACACTAAAGGAATTCTGTTGCACTCCTTCTGAAAATCGGTAGTCGGATCCGAAATTTTCTTTAAATACATCCCCTTAAAGATTAATAGATCGTAAAAATCAAAAAACTACGTAATATGCATTTAAGTTCAAAACTCACATGAAAAACCAACAAAGCCTTTGGAAATATATTCTTCATTACCTAGTGGACCAATAGCAGCACCAATTAAAAAGTTAAATATGGCGATAATTATCGTGGCTAAAAGAAAGTTTTGTGCTTTTGTTTCCCATTCCATACCCACACAGCAAATGAATGTTAATAGCAAAATTGCGCACACCCCAACTATTCTTATGTCATTAATGCCATTATCAATAATTTTTAGATCATTTTGCTCTATAATACATAAATTTTAAATACTACTAAAAGAATTTTTTATAATGTTTTGATGTACTTAATAAATCATTTAAAGATTCACAAAATCCAATGGTATTCATTGATGCAGCGACAGCATTCGCGAAAGCGAAAACAACGCCTACAGATGCGCCAAATTCGGGACCTAGCGAACGTGATATTATAAAGTAAACGCCGCCGCTTTTAACTTCTCCATTTGTACAAATCGCTGAAAGTGATAAAGTCGTAACGACGCATACAACTGCAGATATCGCAATAATAGCAAGAGTTTGTAATATTCCAGATTCACCAATCACCCAACTAAGACGCAAAAACAGCATGACACCCCATATATTCAGCAAGCAAGGTATCATGACACCCATTATCCAGCCTAATTTAACAGAATGTCCAGTAGTAGTTCCAGTTTCAGAAAGTGGGTCGGGAATTGGTAAACGCTTGGAAAAAAATATGATACATATATGATGGTAAAAGATTTAAATAAAGAGTCTTTATGAGGAAATAATTTGAAAATGATTTAGTTTTATGATAATTTATGGCAATGTATTATAAAACAAAATAAATTAAGTACTAAATTTTTTTAAATAAGTAAATTTGAATTTAAAATTGAAAACATGGAGGTGTGTCTTTTATTAGAAACTCTTATTAAAAATAACTCTCTTATAAGGTTTACAAAATTAATAACATCCAAAAAGGAGATTTATCAATATAAGAAAATCGACTGAATAATATTAAAATGAATAAAAATTATAAGTGCTCAAATCCAAGCTGAATCAGTAAAAACGAAATACTAAAGTATCCTTGAAATTAATATTCTCATCAGTTTCTTAAAACAGATTGCTTAAGTTTATTGTAAAGAGCTTTTCGAAAAGTGGGTAACTACAACAACAAAAATTCTTTTTTATATTATTTTAATTAAGTAAATTTTTGACTGAATATACAACTGTTTCGAGTATTGCCAAATACTCATCATCAGCGGTCTGGAAATAATTTTTGTATTTAATTATTCGTAAATAATTTTTTGAGACTGCTAGTACCAGGAATCGAAATCGTGCCTTGCCAAATTTGAAGCTCAGAGTCAGCGCTTCTTAACCAACTGACTCAAAGCCGTACTTGACTCGCACATTTTTCTGGGGTTTTATTAATTTCCTGCGAAAGTTTTATTAACAAATTCACTTGTAGTGATTATATTATATTTATAAGTTTATTATTAAAATATGTGAAACTAGCCATCCAATTAAAAAAGCTTAATATTTTAACTTAAAAAGAGACCTAGTCAATCTGGACAGTTTCTTAAAGACTGGGTCAGCCATTCAATTTCATGCATCGCAAACTTAATGTGACTTTAAAAGAAACGTATGTAAATTAAAGATTTTACTATTCACCAACACTCCGTGTACTACTTAGCTAAAAAGCTGGATTACCTACAATTATGGAAAAGCATCTCCTAAATAGAATAGAGGTAAGGAACGTTACTATCTCAACAAGGTGGGAATGTCAGATGTATTTGGAAGCAGATGAAAAGTTAACTAGGTCGACAGCTCTTATCTTCATTAGAAATCAGAAAATTAACTTTAAGTGATTTTTTTAAATTTTTCATAATTTTTTGCATATTTTTGTTTAATATACTTAATGAAATTCCTCAGTTGTGAATTTCGTATAATTAGAGTCACACAAAGACTATTAAATTTTCGGTTTAATATAATCTGTGTACACTTAACATTTTTATTACGTGTGATTATACTATGGATTGGGCTCGATTATTATGGTCATTCCAAGAGATTCATTCATGACTGTTTGTAATTTGTGATACTGCAGAAATATCACAGGGTTTGATATTATTTTGAAACATTAATAAAGCTTAAGATGCTTTTCAAGGGGAGGCATTGTAAACAAAGCAGATGTGAAACACATTTCTTACCCATTCACACCAGCGGTAAAAGTCGTTGAAAGGAATTAAATTTGTAATATAGTTTTGTAATTAACAGCAATTTCATCATAAGACTGATACTCACGGCAGGCCTCTCAATGCGATCGCTTAGGACATTGAAATCCTAAAAAATGTATAGACTTTAATTAAAATACTATATTCAATTCAAGCACAGATAATTTCTAGCTTACTACTAAATTAAAATACTTTTGGTCTGTATAAATGAGAATCTAATTTTAACTTTCATATTCACAATATAGAATATATAATAAAAAAATAAGTAAAAACTATAAAATATTATAAAGAAGTTATTTTTTATTCTCCATCAAATACCGACTTTCAGGTTCAGTTATAGCAAAACGTAATGAAGACCTAATCTTATTTTAATTTTTTTTTTTGAACTAGTAACTATCGATTGAGTAATTTAAAATATTTAATAATAATATTTAATTAATGATGTGCATTTATAATTTACAACTACAAATTTTAATAGAGATTATCATAATGATATATTCTGGAAAGTTTATATACTGGCAGTAAAAATGATTAATAGCTATTGTCAAAAAGAGGAGGCATTCAGAAAAAGTTTCAACATTTTTAGTATGATATCAGCTAAAAAGGTGACAATATTGCTAACATACATATGAAAGACATTTAAGCAAATTGCTGTTTGATTTTATCGAGTAGCGATATGTTAGTTAACTGTCATTAAGTCAATATTGTGTTGACATCTTGACTACGTAATACATTGTACGACCCATACTCGTATTCTATTAGTTGAATAAAAATATTTGGTAACGTACGCTGTCTTATAAACAAAAATTGCTGAGATAAACAATTATGTCTAATTAAGTACGGAATGAAAAAAAAATATAATTCATTAAAAAAAGGACTTATATCAGTGATAACAAAGGAGATAAAAAAGAGCAAAACAAACACATAACTAATTCTCATCTTTTAACCTTAAAAATAATTTAATATATTTTAAAACAGAAATAAAAATTTTTTGACACTATTGATCCAGACTGTGTATATATATTTTTTTTAAATTCATAAAAGTGAGGAAACGTACATATAGTCACTTTAAAATTTATTTTCACTATGTGAGATAAAAAAATTTAGCATAGATTCTTATATATTCTAAAAAATGTAATAAAAACTCGTTTTACTGATACATAAAAAACTTAGCGGATATAAAAGATTGTGTAAACGATCTTAAAGTCTTAGTGTACTATCGCCGAAATTGAATGAAAGACGATACGCAGTAATGTAGATCAGGCTATCGATGCGAAAGAGCTCAACAACGCTATTCAGTAAACAATCCAAAATCTCATAGTATAAATGAGGGTATATGGTACATGAGTTGGGTATGCGTGAGTGAGTGACGCAATATCAGAAGGACTATACAGTTCAGAAGGATCCAGAAAAGGTAGCGGTCAATAGTTTGAAAGCGTCAGATGAATAGACATACTGTTATCCCTAGAAAATCTCTTTCAGGTATTCACATTCCTCTCTGACATGATTGGAAAATAGGTCATGAAACCCATAATGTTTGGCACTGCTCAAGAATCTATACTCGGCCCGATTCTGTGGAATGTCAGCTATAACGATATTTTCAAGATGAAAATCCAGATATACATTTGTGGTTGAATACTTCGATAATATAGCGGTGGTGATTACATTGCGAACAACACAGAAACCCCAAGTAAGCTAACATGGGTAATGTTGAGTTCAAAAATATGGGTGAACTCGCATGGATTAGTTCTAGTCAAAGAAAACAGAACTCCGTCTATAAGGACTTCTCACATGCCGCAAGAAATTAAAATATGATTAAATAATTAGGAATTAAATACACAAAAGGTTGTAGAGTTTTGAAGTCAGATAAGATTCTTACTAGGTCCAACTACAAAACGCCACAACCAAAGCAGACAAAACAACACAGATTCTGAAGTAGTTAATAGCGAACCATAATGAAGTAAGAGGAAACTCATGATAAGTGTGACACATTTGATACTACTACTCTACTACTCTACAGATGGGCCGACTCACTAAATGCATACAGTCAAAAAAAAAGCACCTATTGCATACCATACGGCTTTGAGCGTGGCGGTAATGCAAAAAATTTCCGGAAGCTGTTCTCAATAAGAGACGAATCAAGCAAGTTAGGAAACAATCATCGCCTTTAAAGAAAGATGAATCTATTAAAGTAGTGGTAGAGGGACCGGCAAACTAATAACCACGATTTGGTTATGTTGAACAGCTACCAAGGGAAGTAAATTATTGCCGTACACAAATGCTAACGTATTACGGATACTTCAACAAGTTTTTGAAAAGAAACTGAAAGTTCAAGACTTCGGACTACATTTATAGCGACGCTGAAATAGATGATGCGGAACATTTTTTTCAAGGTGTAAGATCTCGACCTTAAAGTGGAATATAATTAATATATAATATATTCCACATAATATATGGAATATAATAATAATTAAAATAAATTTTTTTATATACTATGAAATTTAAAATCTTACAAAATTATTGGAAAGCATTTGCAAAAATGTTTTATACATAAAAAATAATAATAAATAACAAATAAATATAAAACGTTTAAAATGTTTCATCTAAAACGAAAAGTGCATAAACGTTCCTTTCAGTGTTTAAAATTTAAATAAGGTTTTTATCATACTATTTGTTTATATATATATGTACAATGTGTTAGTAAATGTTAGTTAGTATAAATGTTAGTTATACATAAATGCTAGAGATGATTCCTTGATTAAGTTAATAATTAAATGCGAATCGTTATTTCGTAAATCTAAGAGCTGACAGGTTCATTTTGTAAAATTATCTTAAAAATAAGGTGTTAATGAAAAGTTTTTATAAACTTTTGTACGTTTACATTTTAATATAAAGATTATTTTTTTAAAAAAAACTTTACATTATGTACCTTTTTCTAATTGTCTTAAAATAAGTTATTACATATTACATAAGTTAGTAAATGGGCTTCTCTACAAATTTGTCGTTTAAATAATTACAATGGTACCATAGAATAGAATAAAATACGACAGAGTTCTGGACTCCCAGTGGAATGGAGTATTGTGACCATAGCAAATTCTGTAGTACTAATACTTAACTTCAGTACTATAAAAACTACAAAAAATTGAATCCGTTAGTTTGTGTTAGAGTATATTTTAAAGACGATGTTAATACATCATATAGTTGAAGGTAAATAAAATGTTTATGATTAACACATTAGCCCAAGAATTGTTTCCTTATGTCATTTTACTCAAATCAAAAATTCCTAAAAATCCATTTAATCCCTCTTAAATTCTGATATTCGTGTCATATATATCACATATATAGTTTTAATTTAAAGAAAATGATTGAATTATAATTCTGTGCTAGACCTAACGCCAATATTTATGTATATATATAGTTACTGTATAATTTTTTAATTTCGACAAGTTTTTTCTTAGAGTTCATTTACTATAACATAATCTTTTTAATTCAACAATTTTATTCGTTATCAGCAATTAAGCAGTGTTCTTATCGCTTTTGAATATAGAGTGGTTTTTGAAGTTTTACTACTCAACAGGGCTCCGATACGATTCTGTAGATTTTAAGTACAGACTGAGTATAGCAACCTTGATAGTATAGGAAGCATTAATATACTTGTCCTATAATTATAATTAATTAATATAATTATTTATATATAAAAATGTTTTTAATTGCAATTTATAACTGTTTATAGTTCTCTATAAAGAAATTAGTTTCTTTGTCATAATTAACTTCAGAACAAATATATTACTTGTTTAGTTGAATTATATAAAATACAACTATCATAAAGTAAACCACTGGTATGAAAGTCTTTTTTTATCGAATAAAATTATAGCACTTAAGAAGTTATACTAAAAAGGTATATTTGTTTTCACAGCAATTTAAAAAACAATTAATGAAAAAAAAAATTAAGTGGAAAAAACGTGTCTACTTTATGTTAGCATGCTTAAGTGTTTTCTAAAATTTCAATTGAAAAATAAATAGTTTAACTAAAGGAAACTTTGTTGGTAATATTATATTATAATGATATTATTGTTATTTAAGATTCGGAATTCTTACTTGTTCTCGCCCGGGTTCTCCATGCATTTCACCAATGGACGGTCTTTTAATATTTCTTTTCGATGCTCTGTAGTTATCTAATCTTGGAAGTGATTCACTGCAAATATAAACAATAAATATTAGTAACATCTTTTTAAATATTTTGGATATATGTAAAACGTTAAAAAAGTTTTTTTATATAAATTATTACCAGTATTAAATTAGTAGTAAAGTATGAATTAGTAACACATAAAAAAACTTCTTCTGTTTTTAGATTTGTATAAATATTAAATTATTTGTTTTTAACCAAAATCAACAAATCAATCTATGAGTTGTATTAAATATCGTAATTCATAGATTATCTTTTAGATCGAAATGTTTAGAATTTTTATAAACAAAAAACTTTTAAGAATAATTTGAATTCTATGGTAATTTGAACTTAAATTAAAATTATAAATATTATAAACTGTTGTAAGACTATCAAAGAGAACAAAGAAAAGTGAAAGTGAAAGGGTCTAAACTGCTCTAGTTAGATATGTGGTTTATTATATACGTACGTCTTTAATATTTTTCTATACGTGATTATATAACCAAAAGTACGATCATTCCTATATCTTACTTGGCTCTTACTCGATTTTCGGTAATAAATGTTGTTGTGAAGAGGTGTGTCGAAAGTGTACATCATTGTTCTACAACAATTAATAACGAAATGAAGGTGTTTTTTACAATATGCCACTAGCGGGATTCTTTTTTAAAGGATTTAGGATTCATATTTCATAAACACATATTAATAATAATATTAACATAATAATATTAACTAATATTAACATTGGTTCACAACTTAACTACTATTCGTGAATTTCTTCTTTTTCACAAATTTTCATTATACATAACGTTCTTATATGCACAAGTTGAATTAATAAAAATATTATCAACTTAAACTTAGATTTAAATGTGTTATGATGTTTATAATTTTACTACTTTTATAGTCATTTTTTGTGCAAATGTTTTTTCTTCCTTAAGCTCGATAAGCAAATCAATTTCGATAAGTTGTCATTAGAATTACTCAAGTAATCTTATCGGGTAAGCCCTTTAAAGTTTACCAATCAGTGTAGGAACGTTTCTAAGAAATTTTGAATTGCGTTAAAATTCTTAAAAAAAAAATGATATATTGTAAATTTTACTTGACTTTTTGATATCTTTGATTTTTTTAAGAAACAATCTAAATATCATCGTTGGCATCAATAATTAACTTAACAGATAAATTTAGCTTTGACCAAATAATTAATAAAGACTCCAGAATTCCTTCTCCATTCGAATTCGATCTTTGAATGCTTGATTCCAATGTTGTTAAAGGAGAAGCAATACGAAGCCAAACGTTATTTACATTCATTGATTGATTGAGGATCTAATAAAGTAAACGATCTATTTTCCATTTTGGTTAGATTTTAATTTTCAATAAAGTTGAAAATATATCGTTATTATGTTAAAATATTATAACCAAAAACAATTTGTATTGAATGTTTTTAAGTTACCATACAGTAATAATCACTTAACAAACAAATTAAAAAAAATAAGAAATAGCTAACTTTGAGTAATTTATTTTTATTGTATTAAGTGGCATCTTTTAGATATAATAACTCGTCAACTAGAACATAAAGAAGAATGTTAAGGAAAGAAGTCAATCAGTCAGTTATTTCAAAATATTAAATAGAAAATATAGATGGCTTGGACACACGCTACGTAAGCAAACAAATGATTTTACGCGCAGTGCACTTTCCTGGAATCTTCAATGCTACAGAAATAGATGACGACCAAAAAATACATGGCGTAGAACAATCACCAATGAAACATCAAAAACTATATATAAATTAAGATTTTTGGCACGAAATCGTCAACTTTAGAAAAACTTTGTTACGGATTTACGTGAATAGGTTAAGTTCTATATATTAATTTTATTGAACATGCTTATAATAATAATAAATAGAAAGTATATATTTCTATTTCTAAATATTGTTATATTTCTAAATATTTTAATAAAAACTAGGGATATTGCAAAATTAGATATAGCTACAGCTACGCAAAACTCTGTTAGATTCGTAGCGATAAATGCAGACAAACATTTATGCATTGTTTTTACAAGGAAAAGATATGCTTTAATTATTAAATTTTTCTTCAGTCACTACTCACATTATATTTATTAAATAATCTGAATCAATTAGTTGTGTTTCTTTTTATCTTGATAAATCATAATTAAGTAATCCTAACTAATTTGTTATATTATTTTGAAATAATTTTTTTTTATTAAGGTCATAGCCATTAAATAAAACCATATTTACAGCTAATTTTTATTTTATTTTTTTTAACTCATAATATAATACATGTCTTCCAAAAGCTTTTCAGCACATCTTTATTTACCATAATATAAGTCACTCGTACGTATGAGTTACATTTACTCAACAACGTTTAACTTTTGTTATACGTGCGTATAATGATTTTTAAATTTCTTTACAGATTACGAAGAAATGAAATTTGCTTCCCTTTAACACAATAAAGAATTCTTTTGTCTTACTGAAAAGGAAATAGCATTTAATCAATAAAGGATATATGGTACATAGTCAGCGATTGCAATAGAAAAGTATATGATAACCTCATGAAACGTATTCGCCTGGTAAGGTTAAGCAAACAAATATATGTGCGTATGTGTTTATATAAATATTTTCATTATTTTATGTACTTAAGAAATGTAAACAATGTTTTTGTATGTGTGTGCGATTGAAAATATTTCCACAGCTATTTAAAAACTTTTGATATACGACAATAGAAACTAATTTGAAGAATAATGTGAGACAAGCAAAGTATAAAGATTCAATTTGTTTCAAATAATAAAATGATTACACACCTAACGGTAAATATGAATGGACGCCATTGCGAAATTAAAAACAGCGTTATGTTTCTATTCTTTATATAGTTTATGCCATTGAACATAAATCAATTTTAGATAGTATTAAATAAAAATGACTATCCTTTTTAATATAAAACCATTTTGTTTACTTTAAAATTTTCAAACAGTTCAAATACTCAAAGTACATAAGAATGTGCACCCGTGTTTATTTGAGAAAAATGCAAACATTTGTAATCAGACACACTCACATATTTACTTGCACTAAGTACTTGTTGCTCGTAAGGAATTAGGATATTAATTATATTTTAAATTAATTAAATGAAAATTTTTTAATAAACTTTAATTGTTGAGTTTGACACATACTTTGTTAATTGATATAAACTAAATTTTCGTTCATCCCGTTTTTTTCCTAAAATACTGCCAAAACCGCGTATCGAAAGTCTGGAGTTTCTACGATTTGTAGTGGGGGCAACATTGCTGGTGACTACGTCATCTTCGTTTACGTTGTAGTTGTTGTTGTTGCCGTTTTGTTCTACATTTTCGCAGATAGTGCTCATTTTATTGTTACTGATATCAACGTCATTGTTAGCTTTTGAAGCTTGCGACCGCGAAAACATTTTATTAATAAAATTTCGTTTACGTTTTAATTATGAAAGTCTTAATTGTAAAATCATAAATAGAGTTAATTTTCACTTTTTTAACTTGCTATTGTTTTCATAGTTTAATGCGTATTCAATGAAGTTCACACATCGAATAATTGTAAAAATTAACGTGTCTTCCTTTTATTGCATATTCTGTCGTTTCAGTGCTTGGGTTATGTTACTTTTATTATTTCGTTTGAAGTCGTGTTAGCGATAGGAAATTGATAGCCTCCACATACATGGAAGTAAACCACTCTTACTCATGTACACATTTTTTTGAATGCCGCAAAGTATGCAATATTTATTTGAATGGTACGTGAATCATTTGAGTGGAAATTAAATGTTAGAAAAAAAATATATATATACTTCGATAAAGTGTACATGGTGAATTAAAGTAAATAATTGATATATAATAATTAGATTAACGTTAATAAAAATCTTATGTTTTTAAGAAAAATTTAAAATGTTTAAATATATTTCTTTGTTCAAGAATACAATTTTTAGGCACTAACGAAAATTTTCTGAAAAATTGTATGCATTTTAGCTGTACCACAACTGTTTATATTATAAAAATTATTATTTTTCAATAACCCTTCAAATTCTTTGAGTTTGTCCAGAATTAGAATTATTTTTTTGGCAAAACAATTATTATTGAACGATTTGATATTTCCTAATAACTCCCATCGATTCCATTTCATGCGCTGTCCTATTTGAGGTTTTACTGTTTTAGTATTTTATGCTAAAGTTGCAAAAACTACTTTGTTATATTCTAGTATAAAATATTTAGTGTTATTTTTAGTTATATTGAGGATTTAAAAATTAGCTATAGAGAATATTTCTCTATAGCAATATTTTATATTGCAATATTAATTAATTTTATAGAACTTAGAAACATAGTTACTATAAATATATTTGATAAAAATAAATTTTTTAATAACGATTGAAAAAAATATGAATCGCATTAAATTTGCATTATTCGGTATACCAGGTGTAGGGATACGTTTTCCCGGGCTCTGAACTAAGAGATAAATTAGCGTCTTTGTTTTATCGTTCAGTAATCATGTTGAATTTTGTACCTGAAAAAGATTTGATTTATTTTAAAAACGCAATCTAGAGACTTTCACCTGATTAAGCCGTTCTTCAACAGCAAGCTGAGTCATTTTGGCAGGAAGGCCGTGCTTTGTGCTTGGTTGGAACTTTTGAACTCCGGCAAAACCGTTAATGTACAAAACCGTTACCGCTATCGCAAGCAATTAAATGAATTAAATCAGGCATTAATTAGAAGGTGATTGGAATGGTGCAGAAGTAAAGTGTTTATGTTACTTAACAATGCACCGTCTTACGCAACAAAAACACTGAAAGACACCTTGATATCGCTTGAATGGGGAGTTTGCCGCAAAGACAAGCAGTTTTTTTTGGAATGAAATTATCTGAAAGATGGGTGTAATGTGTAAAAGTCGATGGTCAGTATTTTGAATAAAATAATTAGTTTCCCTTGTAATTATTAATTGCGTGTTTTTTATAAAAAAAAAAAAAAACGAAAACACTTATGCATACACTTGGTATGATGATGGAATAATTTTACTTTTTTAACATTGATAAAAAAATTTTAAAATACATAAACATATTCAACTGCATGCCATTTATCTAAATTAGGTTTAGAAATTAAACTATTGAAATTTAAAATATTGTTTCGATAACCAAAAAAAGAATTAAATAATTAAAATTACATATTCTTTAAGCATCTCAAGAAAAATTTTTTAATTATACGGTAATGTACTCTAAGTTTTTATACCATCAAATGAGTTAAAAAGCTTTTTTAAATTTTTTTTACAAATTTGTTAAAAACACACAAGCTATATCAAGTAAAAAAAGTTATAATCTATTTAGTTTTTAAAATCAGAATTTAAAAGTTTAGAAATAAAATTATAAAAACAAATATTTACGAATAATATCAATTTTTTTTGATGGTCTCATTAAGTAATGTTGCATTATTAATTTCTTAAATAACGATATTTTAATAATATTATAAAGTGTGGAAATTTGTTAGACTTCCCAGATCTAGTGTAGAATTAGAGTTTAGACTCTACAATTGTAGTGTTGACTGTACAGTTGTAGTGTAGACTATACTGTTGTACTGTACACTTTACATTTGTATTGTAGATTTTTTATTTGTATTGTAGTTTTAGTGTACACTGTACAGTTGTAGTGTATACTATATACACTGTACAGTTATAGTATACACTGTACGGTTGTAGTGTAGACTGTACAGTTATAGTATACACTGTACAGTTGTGGTGTACATGTACGCAAACGGTACGCTATAATTTGTGGGTCTGTGTATTGCATACAACCTTAACAAAAAATTTGTTAGTTGAGTACATGCTTCGTGTTTGTGTTTTGTGTGTTTAAATGTATGAAACGATACAAAACGTAATGTTCTGTGTAGTTTGTTTTTATTCATCCTCTAATTCTATAAAATACAATCAATAGTAAAAATATTTTCTAAAACGAATTATAAAAACAAAAGAAGTTTTATTTTATTTTGCTTTAAGAAACATTTTATTTAAAATATTTGATATAAAATGAGCAATTATAATACTATGAATAAAATGTTAGAACGGGCGTTTGATTACCGCGCGCAAGAACTATTGGGCAGTCAATCTCACTTGTGAGCATCTCTAACCAAGACATGTATAATGGTGTTGAAATAGCTTCCTACATTTGTTTGGGTTATAAGAAAATTAATAATTTTGAATTCGTTGAATAAAGGCTAATGTGGATATTTACCTTTCGTGGCATAGGTAATGACATAACAATGAGTGCAGCTTTTGATGAATATTTCACAACCAATTCATGTATACGCAATTGTCTCCAGGTTTTCTCTTCCATTAACAGAATTTCTTCTTCCGTTAAACCGAAATCATTTATTGGATTTTTACAGAAATTTTGTATTAAACGTTTATGTTTCATCAGAGTATTCATATGAGGCTGATCAGTGAGCCCTTTAAGCATTATTAATTCAGAGTATCTGATGCGAAGTTTTTTCAATAAATTTGCCATGCTAAAAACAGATAAAAATTATTTAAAGTTACCAATTATATTTTAAATCTATAATTTACTTTTTCTCTTCAGCTTCATCATCTTTACCATGGCTAAGTGCAAACACACGGAGTTTACAGTTTTGCCAATTAGATCGCATAGAAATTATGTGTGGTAGCAGCATTGTAAGCCCTTTAACAATTAGTATACAATGTTTAACGATAAAGGTTAAAATTCAAATAATATATAATTACCGCCATCATCATATAACCAAAATACATCTATAGTACTCTTTTGTTGCTTACGAGTGAATGTTGTCACAGCATCTAAAATATTTTTCGGTACTTCTGAGCCACCTTTCGTCATGTAAGTGATAGTATCGTTTTGGTTTAATGTGTAATTTTTACTGCTTCTCATATTTGGCATTTCATTGGTCTCATATCCGATAATTGATGAACTAGTACTATCCATGCCCGCCAGATTGAGATTAGAGTCTATGTGTAATAAATCTGAAGCAGCTGTTGTATCGAGCATAGTAGGATTACTGAATCCTTGAGCATTTACTGTTTGTAAATGATTTAGAGCATTATAACTTGATACAGTTATCTCTTGATTCAAATCAGAAAAATCAAGGCCATTAGGCAAACGCAATATTGCTACACCCATGCGATGAGAGAAGGCAGAGCTATTAAAATAATAAAAAAAAATATATTTTAAAATAAAATATAAAAATTCTTATTTTAATTGCAAACATACTATAAAATATTGAAATAAGTTTCAATGTCTTCTTTTTTACAGTGATACCAGTTTGATTTGTAGCCCATTAATAAGATATTAGGAGACATTTTTCCAACACCTATTGACTTTATCATGGCATTAACGCCATCTTCCATTGTAAATCCATCGATTACATTATAAAATGCTTTTATTTTTCTCGCGTCTAAATAATTTTGACCGTCCTTGATAAGGTTCTGCAAATTTTTATATCCCATATGTAACTAAGATAAAAGATAGAAATAATTATGTGGTATAATGATATCCTACATGTATCAGTATAATTTACTGGCAAAATATTTCCCACAAACATCAGCGAATTGTTCTTTGTAAGTAAATAGCCGAAATCTATTAAAGGTGGTCTGGATTTAGGATCACCCGATAGCACCAACACTTGTGGACTATAATTTTTCACATGGTCGCTTACATTCTGCAGTCTATGTACAGCAGTTAGTGCAGCTTTGTATTGCTGTGCTTGTGTTGAGGAGCCCCAATTGGCATCAGGTTTGCGATACATCACCACCAAATACAATGCAAATATTATGACCATTGTAATAAGAGAAGACATCCAATCGATTAGGAACATTATAGCAATACAAAGTACAAAACCAAATAAACTAAGCCATAGGTTATAGTACTAAAGAAGATACGATCTAATATAAAATTAAAAAATAAAGCTGTGATTTAATAGCGATTCCACTCACCTTGAATGTTGGGCGCCAACCAAGCGGCTTAACAAATGCAGCATGGAATGTACAGAAGTTAATAAGTGCATAAGAGGCTAAATAGAAAGTGGATATTAGAGGTGCAATTACATTAAGTTCACCAATAAGCAAAAATCCAGCAGATATAAGGAAGGTAAGTACATAGCCTCTGTATGGTTCGCCATGTTTGCCATAAGGTTTCGAAAAGAATATTAGTCCGGGATATATTTGGTCAATACCCAAAGCTTGAACAAGGCGTGGCACAGAAAGTAAATTAGTCAATGCAGTACTGAGAGTAGCCGCAAAGCAACCAGCATAGATCAATGGTTCCCAAAGTGACATTAGTTGCATCACTGAATAGGAATTTGCCAAACCGAACTCGCAAGTCTGTATTACATAATTTCTATTAATATTTTAGATATTTTGTTTTAAAAAAAATGGCATACATTATTTAATTTACATGGTAGAGATGAGCTAACAATTGTACCGTTAATGAGGTCAGCTACATTACCAGAAGCATCACGTACAGCAGCACCGCCAGCAAAAAAAGCAAATACGGCATACGAAGTCATAGAGATTAAAAGTGCCCAAAACGTTCCTTTAGGTATAGCACCACCAGGATCTTTTAAATCACCACAAATATTTGCACCAGCTTGAATACCAGTTACACTAGGAAAGTAAATAGCAAATACGCTGAAAAAATTTTGATTTAATCCTTCTGAAAAACGATAATCAGAGCCAAAGTTTTCCTTAAATGTGTTCCCTAAGCAATAGAAGTATAATTACAATACAAAATTTTACAAAAAAAAGTGTTTCTCATTACATGAAAAGCCCACAAATCCTTTGGCAATATCTTCTTCCTTTCCTTGCGGTCCAATAGCAGCACCAATTATAAAGTTAAATATGGCCAAAACAATAGTAACTATGAGAAAGTTTTGCGCTTTTGATTCCCATTCCATACCAACGCAACAAATAAGAATCAGTACGAGTATGGCGCAAACACCCACAATGCGAACATCGTTAATACTGCCATCAACAATTTTTAAACCATTGTGCTCTAAAAATCAAAAAATTAAAATAATCAAATTTATATAAACTAAAAGTATAAGTCTTTACTTAACGCGAACACACATTATTATATACTTCTTATTAGATTTGTATTTGCTTAACTTAACATTAATTACTTACTTAACAAATCGTTGAGAGAATCACAGAAACCAATAGTATTCATGGAAGCTGCAACAGCATTAGCAAATGCAAAAACAATGCCAACAGAAGCACCGAATTCAGGACCCAACGAGCGTGATATAATGAAGTACACACCGCCACCTTTCACTTCGCCATTTGTACTAATGGCAGAAAGCGATAATGTTGTGATAACACAAACCACTGCTGAGATCGTAATGATAATAAGAGTTTCCAGTATGCCCGATTCAGCCACAACCCAACTGAGCCGCAGGAAGAGCATGACACCCCAAATATTTAGCAAACATGGTATCATAACACCAGCGATCCAGCCAAGTTTAATCATGTGTCCGCTTGGTTCATTTGGGGGTTCTGGTATTTGTATAGTCTATAAAAAATTTTTTTTAAAATATTTAGTACATTTAGTTTAGTTTAGTTTAACACAGAAACTATTATTTATTTTTTGGATTTTAACTTGCAAACAATAATTAATCACTCAACATATATGTTACTATACATGTTGTATAGTTGTATAACTATCATTGTTTCGGATATTTTTTCTAACACTTATAATTGTCAATTTATAAATGTAATTGTTATTTCTTAAAAGCATATAGTGTCGAATCATTAATAAATTATGTAAGATCTCACTGGAATAATAATAATATTATCTTTGGCGCCTTGATCGCCTACAATGCACTCTGAACTTTACCTAAAATTACAAAATTGCCGGAGGGTGAAAAACATTATTATATGCTAGTGATATTTGAGCTCTGTACAAGATTCGTGGAAAATAATTTAGGAATTTTTGATCTTAATTTTAAAGTACTGAAGTTAATGACAATGGCGAACTATGTTATATAGATAGAGTGTGTCTTTTGTGATCTTCAATAATAATAACATATAAAATATTGTTATCGCTTATATGATTATACTAAATTTTACTTAAATTAATTCATTTATTTTAATTTTATGGGTAAAAAGTTTTCAAAATCTGGAGTATTTCCAATATTAACAGAATAGAAGAAATTGAAATTGACACAATTCTTACTTGATAGATATAAGATATAGATATAATTCAAGAATCAATACCGCTGCTTTGCTCTCCAATTTATATCAATTGGCGCTGCTTCTAACGAAGTTAATAGATTATCTTTGCCTGTAAGAGTTTATATGTTTAAAATTGTCAACTAAACGTTATAGATACGACAATACAAAATTATATTCAATTTGAAAATAAAGAATATAAAAGATAATTTATTTTGAATTGAAAATTTGAAATAATATTAATAAAGGTTTCGTTCAAATCGTACCTCTGAATTCTCACGTTATTGCGATGAAGGACATAGTTTATCATGCGTACGAATTTGCTACAATAATTCTTAACCAGATGTTAAAAGAAGGTGTTATATCAAAAAACCTGTTCAGTAGAGAGTAACTATTACATAGTGATAGTGAAATATTATTGGCGATACCTTGAATGTTAAAAAAATTAACGACATTTGTTTCTGGATATTCAGAATCGAAATATTATGAAAATGCCACCAGTGATCAACTTAGTTCATTTATAACAAACGAAAATACTTTTAGCTAGCTTATAAGATTAAAAAAAGTGAACAGAAATAAAATAGAAAATTATGAATATTAGCTAAATAAAAAGTGAAAAATTAATTGGCTTTAAAATTTATGTTGAAATTCACGGAATAAACATTTTTCACACTAATATTAAATCATATTTGGGAATTACAAAATAGTCAATCAATAACAGTTATTCAAGTTTATAAAAGTCAAATTGATCTGCTACAAGTTATATCAAAGCCCTTTTACAAAATTTCGTTTGATTGCTTCAATAATATATTTATTGAAATATATATAGATAGATGGAAAACCATGTATAAGAAAATCAAAAAGTGCATCGGTTCACTTTAAATTAGTTTAATATCGTATGGAACTCAATAATGTTAGTTCACAATAATTATTCATCGTTAACTTTATAATTGCTAATAATATTAATTAGAACGTTCAGCATCGATAATCATAATTATAAAAGACAATATTGATAAATGCAAACCGCAAGTAACAAACATTTTTTTATAAATATTTAATGAGTTTACTTATTTAGTAAAACTATTTTTCTAAGTTTTTCCAATATATATATACATATAATATGTGTAACATTTTAATGTAAATTTTATTTAAGTTTAAATAAAATAATATAGTCTTGAAGAAGGGGAAAGCTTACTAAATTATTTTCAAATAATATTAAAATTTTAAAATCATTTTTAATAAACGTTTTAAATTGTATATATAAAGTTTTTTAAATTCAATGGGTGTTTTTGTTTCAATTATATGAATTATATGAAATTCAATTTAACATATTATATGTCCAATTAAACGCTTATAATAATTATAACATAATAATATATTTTTGAGACTCATTTTTATATTTAAGGTGAAATAAAAGGTTAAAAAAATTAAATGGTTTTCTTAAGTTATTAAATTATTTATTCAGAAATGGCTACAAAATACTGTTTTAAGCATTAAAAGTTAAACTATTGAGAATTCTCAATTATATATTTATAAATATCTTATTTTAAGTTAGGGGATTTTGAATTGCGGTCTAGACATCCATCGTGCTGCTTTCATCGATTTGAAGTATTTCTTTAAATCGAAAATCCCTCGAGAAATCATAGTATTGAATCTACTTTACTGAGTCTTAGTTCTTTATCCGATATAAAATGCACATTTAAGTATTTTTTAGTTAATGCATTAATACTGGGCAAATTGCTAGCATGTGTTTTGAATCTAATTTTCATTCTACTTACATGTGTAATCTGGTTATTATATTTAAGTGTTTTTTAATTTGCATAAGTTATTTATAAATAAATAATTATATAAAAACTTATATAAATATAAGAAAGTTATATTAGAGTATATAACTATACTTATAGTTATATACTAAGTATAGTTAGTTATATACTATTATAAATATAGTATATATACTCTATAAATGATATAGAGCATATATCAAGTTATATTAATTGAGTTCCAAACTTTGTAGGGAATTGTATGCTATACAACTTTAAATGACGCAAAGAAAACAACATATTTACAAAAAACATATTTTTTTAATCTATGAGCTCGAATATTTTGGCTCTTTGCATATTTCTGACTTAGGAGTAAAATGAGAAAGCGAAGAGCTATAGAAGTTTCCATTTGTTTTGTTTTATTTCAAGATTTGCGCTTTTTTTTTTAACTAATTTGATTGTAGTATTTTTTTTTTAATTCGGAACTGATGAAAACATATATGTGTACTGTTTAACTCTATTAATCCAATTGTAAATAATATGTGTATAAGCTCATTAAAAATATTCTTAACACTATTTTAGAGCCTACTACTCGCTGTCGTTTTAATTACATAGACACTATAAAACCCTACGGAATTAGGAGATGTTTTCAAATGGGATTCATTCAAAGATTACATTTTTATCATTATCTAAGACAATGGTTTCACATTTTACACAACGTTTCTAATAAATTTCTTTTTTAAATTAAAGACATATGTCCAGCCATTAACAACAAATCACACATTCTACTTGATATGGTATTGTATTATAATGCTATAATTTTGCAATTTTTTATCTATATTCTATATTTTATCTATATTAAGAAAATAACAAAGTAATGCAGAAAAAGGACATTGAAAATGTAGCCATATATACAATTATAGAAAAAACCGTTCCTTCATCAAGTTGTTGCGAGGGTAATGGTAGAATCAGTTAAGGGTTAAGCAATAAAATTTAAGTCCAAGTTTCGAATGTTATCTTGGATGACGTTTATATTTTTGTTAATTATTTTATAATTAAATTTAATTAAAAAATGTCTATGTCCAAATGAACCATATTCTAACAATGATAACAACAGGCTACTTATTCGTAAAAACAATAAGTTGTCGCATATGAATTTGTATTGATACATTGAGTATATAATTATATTCAACAATAAAATATTAATTATTATATTTATACTCAATGATTGATATTAATTACCGAGTTGATTTTAATCAGGCTTTACTTAACACATGTATATCAAATGTATATATTACAATATCAATTAAATAAAACAGCAGCAGTTGTAAAATATGCGTTAATAATATATAAAATAAAAAAATAAATATTTTTTGCCACAATTATTCTATACTATAACGTACATGTTATGCTTTTAATTCAAATCAATTGAGTTCCAAGATTTTGAATAATACTTGCTGGAAAAAAGAAAGTATTGCCAAATTTATTTTAAATAAGTCAAGATCACTAGTTTTTTTGACAGGAATTGAAAATGTGTTTTGGAAAAATTATGTATTAAAAGAAATATTAGCCAAGGAAGATGGTCGTTTGGGAATTTCGATAAATGAATTAATTATGAAATAGTCAAACACAATGTGTAGGCAACATCCAGAAAAGTGTTTGAAAATGTTCTGTGTTAGTCCAATTTATCCTTGGCTACCCCTAAGGTTTGTTGCTTTCAAGTAATTTCATTTTTTATTTATGTTTTTAGTGATTAAAATTTGTTTATTTAAGCTTACAAATAAAGCTAATTACTCACGAACCTTATACAGTTTTTTTATTGACTTAATTCTACTATAGGGTAACATGCGTGTATAACTGTTGTAAGTTTTATTTAAAATAAAATTATTTTATTAATATTTAGTTTCGTGCTCATAAGAATAATTAAAACAGGTGACAACAATTATATATATTTGCTTATTTGTATTTTTCATGTTTGTTTAATTTTTTAATTATCTGCTGTATTCAATTTTGTTACTTAACTAATCTTATACTTAAGATTTATTACTGTTGATTAAATGATTTTAAAAATGTGACATCAATTTTGAATCATTAAAAACATATCTCCCACTCCTAGAAAAACTAAATAAAACTGCTTCATTTAATTGTTTCAAGCTAATTGATAAAATTGTTAAAATTAAACTTATTTGATATTTATTCGATGTTTATAAAATTTAGGTAGACTTCAGATTAGATATTGCTCAATTCGTTTGAATGCTGTAAATCAAAAGGCTATAATTTCTATTATATTCCACGTCAAGAAAGCTTTCGACGTCATCTTAATTCGCATATATGGGTATTAAAATTTTTTTAATCAATTGAATATTATATTTATTTACATTTTCAAATGAGTTACTTGTAGAATTATATTGAAGTTACTCTTTTTGTAAATATTGTAATACGGTATTCCCTGTAGATGTACTACATATGCAATTTTATTTGCTCTCTTATTAAGGTAATTTTCAAGTACATTCTTTGATTTTGATTATTTCATATGTAATTAATTGCTGAAAGTTTGATTTCCAAATTTTTCCACTCATAAAAAAGAAAGAATTTTTCCAATTGTTTAGATACCAAAAATTTCAAACCTAAATTCAGAATAAATAATATTATTACGTTTTTAAATGTTGAAAACTATTGAATAGCACTTTATACAATTTAAAGTTAGTTGAGCTACAATTCAGCGTAAACAATAATAAACTTATAATACTCGTATTACTATTTCTGATAAACAACTTAGAAAATCTACAATGACAGCAATGCTATAATATTTGTACTAATAAGCTAATTGATTTTTTATTTGATTTTTACTTTCAATGGAATACGGTATTATTAATTATTAGTTGACCCACTTACCTGTTCTTGCTCATGCTCTCCATACATTTCGCCAATGGATATACGTTTTTGATTCCTCTTGGACATTCTGTAATTATCTAATCTAGGAAGCGTTTCACTATAAAAGAAAAAAAGTAAGAACTTTAACAAAATAAATTATATACAAAGCAGTATGCGGGTAAGTAAATGTTACTGCTAATTTTTTTACATTGCAAATAGTGTATTGCAAATGTATTATGTTTTAGATAATATTAGAGATATTTTTCTGTTTAGCTTTTAGGCTTAAATTTTCATTAATTTTATTAAGTGTGATTCTTTCTTACTGAAAACCATGGTGATACCTAAATATATATATGTGGTTCTACTCAAATCACAAATGTACTGGCGGCATAATTTTAAAGATCACGCTAACTATATGCTCCATATATTTTTCAAATAAATTTTACAGTGGTCGAGACATAAATATAAGACTTTATTACGTTATTTATTAAATATTGAACATGGCTACTGAAAGGAATAATATATTGAACTTCATATTTATATGTTATATCTACTATTATCCGAACTTTTACCAATATGTTTTTAATTTTAAAATTGAAAACTTAAAACACACATTTTTGAGTATTTTTATATTCGAACTTAAAATATAATATTAATCTAATATTCATATCTAAAGTAATGCAGTTAAATATTTAAAGAGAATCAACAACAAATTAGTGAAAATTGAAAATCTAATAGTTCTAATAAAGTAATAATAATACTAACTTAAACTGCTTCATATTTAAGATAAGTAATGAAAGGAAAAGTACAATCCAGCAGAGACGGTTGATAGACAAGTTAAATAAATGTGTCTTATCTTTCTACAAAAGCTGTTATAAATATATCAAGAACTGTGGTATTTCTTTATCTATTTTTAATACTTTTATATTGTTCTATATAATACTAATTACTTTTAAATACCCGTAATATAATCAATATTGTTATTATATAGACTATTTTGATTATGTTGATCTCCAATCATATAGTATTTAATAATTTTTAAATTATATTGTTTCTCTTTGCTAACGTTATTTTAATAAATAAAATTATAAAAACAAATATATATAATTAATTTGTAACCTTATGTAAACAAAGTTCAAAGCTTTCGTTACTTCAGTTTGTACGTTGACTTCATTAAAACAAAATATTGCGAAAAATGAAACATTATTTTAAAAACAATCAAGTTAAAAAATGCATATACATAAAATTATTTTATATCTAATTATCTCAATATTTAAATTAATTTAACTCATTAATTTATTTTTAAAATGAATTAAAATGAGTCATTTGTTGTTCAAAGTGATTTATTATGAAGATTGAATGTAGGCTAAAGCTTGATGTAAGCTGTGTTGATGATAATAAATGATGATGATAATGAAGAAGACGCAAATTATGTATAACATAAAAAATTATAAAATTGCATACATGTTATAAAATAAGAAATTCATGAAATACACAAATTTAAAATATTACTACAATCGAAAATGTTTATAACGTATTCCTCTAAAACGAAGTTCTCTTAATTATCTATCAATTTGAAGAACACATGTACTATAGAACTTTTACCAGAAGCACTGCAAGCAATGTAGATGTACTACATTTATGTACATAGAAGCTTTACACAAATTTGTGTTTCTGAGTTAAGGATATATTAATTTCCTGAGAATAACTTTTAATTTTGCTTATCTTTTCTACAACTTTGAATTTTGATGAGTTTTAATCTGGTAATGAGTGAGCGACGAATTAATAGAAAAATATAATAAAAATGACAATTTTAATGCCTAGAGACCGGTTTGTTTATTTGTAATTTTTAATGAGAAATACTTTGAAGGAAAACACAATAAGGATAGGGTAACTTTGGCTGAACAAGACTAGGTATCACTGGCCGATTTCGGCTATTTTGCAAGGACTATTTTAAGTAGTTGAAAGCATTTGCGTCATTTAAAAACTATAGTATTGGTGATAACATATTTACCAACGACAACCTTACCGAAGAAGATTATCTCAGAAGTGTTCAAAAAAATTTAAAAATACTTGTTTGTCAGGTAATATAAAAAAAAAAAAAAAATCTTGACTAAAAATTTGTGATGTACATTAATTTTATATTTACAGATTATATTTGAACAAATTTTATCAATTGATCATTTTCATACCAATTTGGAGATAAACATAAGTGGGCTTGAAAAAATTATACAATATTTGAAACTTAAATTTTGTTCGATTTGAACATTTTGTAGTAATGACGTTTACTTTAAATGAACTTTTAAAATACAAAAAAAAAACTAAATATTGAGTAAACTATTGCTTACAACGAGATAGATAGAAATGCAGTACATTTATGGTTGATAGGTTTTCTTATGATCTAAGAAGTGGGTCCAAAAAAAGTTTCAAAGTACACAAGCAAACTATAGTAATTATGCGTAAAGATTTTGAACCAAGAAGCCTCTTTGTCATTTTGATAAAACGAAAATTATCTTTAATGCCGCCCACATAGGTGCTATCAAATAAAACTGAAAACTAATACTGAATATATGACTTGAAGTGAGTGCTGAACATTTTTCTCGCCCCCTATCACCGATAAATTTTTCTAAGTTTTTATTATAAATTTGATTTTAAAGTCATGACAGAAGTAACTATTTAACTTTAACAGAAACTGTTTAAGCCGACAGCTGACATGAATCGTAGATTAACATTACCATGGCTTTCTCCGTTTTACGTTCCTAAATTAAATTCTATACACAAAGAAAGAAATAAACTCATGCATATATAATATCTCCACAAAAGAATAGTATTGAAATATAACAATTAAAAATAAAAATAAAAATATATTTAATTAATTCAATTATTCTACAGCTGGTTTATGATTTCGTTGTATTATAAACACAGGAAGTGAATTTGTTAATAAAATTTTCACAGCAAATTAATAAAACTCCAGAAAAATGTGCGAACATAAAAGTCAAGTACGGCTTTGAGTCACTTGGTTAAGGAGCGCTGACTTTGAGCATCAAATTTGACAGGGCACGATATCGATTCTTGGTACTTAGAGTCTGAAAAAAATTATTTTCGAATAGTTAAATACAAGAATTAATTCCAAGAGTACTGATGATGGGTATTTGTCAATACTCGAAACAGCTGTTTGTTTAGCCAAAAATTCAATTAATTAAAATAATATGAAAATAATTTTTATTGTTGCAGCTCACTACTATTCGAAACTTCTTTCTTTTTTATAATAAACTAATTATGGTTAGCCTGATTTATTTGTATTCTTGACTACATAAATATAAATATGATATTATTCATTTTTAGGGTATGACACTAATCAAAAGCCTAATAATATATTATTTTAAATAAATAATATAATGAAAAAATTCAAACCGATGGTTTAAAAAATTAAGTTTGGGCGATTATATTTAACTTCTTAGTCAATTATGAAAATTTGAAACTACGCGAAAACTAATAAATTTCAATTTCAATTATTCACTTTTTACTAACTAAACGTTTTCAAATGTACAGATATAATAAATTCGTTCTTTGTACTAAAAACAGTAGTAATTTTATTTTGCACGAACGCGATGTTATGTAGATAAGTATTTTTATATATTTATCAACTTTATCTGTCTTTATTACAAAAAAAAACCATTGTAAAGCTAGGTTTGACAGTCAAAGGGATATCATTAATCGATTTATCCTTTCACACTCTTAAAGACCGTCTTTCGTCCACTACGTTACAAATATTTTTGTAAACTTAATATACTCTTTTTAGATTATATGTATCAAGGGTATGCAAATTAAGGTAATAAATATTAATATACGTGTAATGCATGATTTTGTAAAACAATTGGTAATGACTAAATAAAAATGTTTGTTAATTACACAGCTAAAATTTTTTATAATTAACTTTGAGGGACTGATAATGACTAAGTTAATAGAAATAATATATAATGTAATAAAAATTAATGTGAAATAGGTTTTGTACTCGTATTAAAAATTTTTATATTTGATTTTAGTAATTTTACTTGGAATATATTATTTTAAGACAATAATCAAATTTAATAAATAAAATTATAAAAAAAATATACAATATGTAAACAAAGTTTTTTTCTGTTGATTATCAAATTATAAACTTAACCAGAAGTAGGAATGTTATTAACTTTTCAAATTTAAATCTTCAATTCTGTGTTATATAATGTGAAAGTTTTCATTGTTTTACTTCACTTTGTGTATAAATTAATTTCATTTATTAACTTAACTCATTTTTAGATTTGTAATTTTTAAGTTGAAAAATAACGTGTATTAATATTTAAATTAAATTCAAAGTCATTAAAAATATTTCTATAGAAATAAATTATGAATGAATTTATTTCATAAAATATGTAAATATTATAAGTAAATATATTTCAAATAAACTTTTAATATTAAAAAATATGAAATAGTAATAAATTTTAACATACTTTGTTAGTTGGTTTAAACTGAATTTTCGAGCTTCATTTTTTTTCAGGAAGCTACCGAAACCGCGGATCGAAAGTCTTGAGCTTCTACGATTTTCTTCCGAGTTTTCAATTGTAGGTGGAGGTCCATTGATGTTAACATTATTGTTATTATTATTTTGGTATTTAACATTTTCGACTATTTTTGGCATTTCTTGTTCATTATTGGTTTTTGATATTTGAAAACGCTCAGCCATTTTGAATGTTCAAAATTATTCTATGCAAAAAAATTTAAAGTTTTTTTATTAATGCACTTAAAATAAATGAAACATATAGTTATTATAATTTAAAAATTTATTTTACATATTCAGATTGATTTTCTTTAAGTTTGGGAGTCTTAAAATATTTTTTTTATTTTTGTATAAATTTGAAAAAAAATAGTTATTTTTGAACACTGCACTTTTTACGCGCGCATCCTACGAAGCGAACATTTCGAAATTTTAACAACGATTAACTGAAAATTCGCTTTTGTTGCTCCTTTTATGCGAACGCAGCGAATTCGTTCTGCTCGTCTATATGTATTAATTGGCAATCAATAATTTATATGCAATATTCGTTTTTAAATCGTAAAAGTCACACTTTGTAACAATTCTAAAACAAATCAAAATGTATCAATATAAAAAAACAAAATCTTTAACCGCCATAAAAAATTAACACTTTAGAGTTTAGCTATTTTACGATAAAATTCGGGATATTTAGTTATATTCGGTAAGCTTACATATTCTATACTTAATTTCCGCTGACACCAGTTATTGTTTTGAGCGAAGTTGAGCAGTAGAATAGAGCAGTATTTATAGAGTAGTTGAAAAGCTTCAACACGGTAGATTGTTTAGATGTAAATATTTCATTCAATTGTTTAACATTTTTTTCATTATAATAATTTTAACAATTTTTTAAACATAATGAAGGATTTTTTTTTCATAACCGATAGTTCGATTGTATATTGAACTAGATGTTTAATTTGGTTTTGTTTTATTATTTTATATTATATTAACTAACAATGTAATTGTTTAAAATTTTAGGTGTAATTTTTTATTACAATTTACAAAATAAAGTCAGGCAATTTTTATTTTATTTACAAAGAGCAACTGATTTCACTCATGTACACGTTGTCTATGCAATACAGCTTTTTGCTCATAACTTTATACCGCAAAATATTTAAACAAAAAACGTTAACGTCTGCCTGGTTGGTAATTTTTTGTGCTTACTAATCGAAGTGGAATTATATGTTCGCTTTAATCGAATTTAATTCGGTTTTATCTGGTTTGCTCTGTATGTTTTGCACTCACTCACTACTTCATAACGAGTTAATTTGAATTGAATGAGTTGATTTTTGCTGAAGCTTTTTTTTCGCTTGTGCTGTTCTTTAGTTGATGTGTAGTCTTAATTCAATCAAATCTGAAAAGAAATGCTCTGAAAACATTACTTCATTCAGTTAGGCTTAAACTTTGTTAAAAAAAATGTGATTAATTTAATATGAAAATATAAATATTCACGAGATTCAAATTAGTTAATTATAAGTTAATTTTGAGAAAAAAATAAAAATTAAAGGTACTTTTTAGGTTATTCAATTTTGTAACGAATTTGTTTTATTTATTTAAACTCTAAGTTTATTTCTCGTATTGATGTGATCACGAAATCTTACAATGTTATATCCAAGCGAAGTATTCTCAATATAGAAATCAAAATTAGTTCTTAACTGTAATATCTTCTTCGCGCTAATTTCATGGTATACTTTAAAGTTTTTACTCTTAAATAGTGTCATTATGTGGTAAGTCAACATAATGAAACATACTATCTAAGAAACATAAAGTTTCTTAGATGTCTTAGATGTGAATAACAATGAAAAGTGATAATTCACCTTCCAGAGAAGAATGTTTTTTGACGATTCTATATTCTTTCCAATTTCAGCATAATTGTTGATGACGGTGTTGATTTAATGAGATAAACAAGTCACTGCTTTTACGAAATGCAGTATAATGCCTAAGTTTATGCTTATAAAAGTACTTCGATATTAGATAAACTCGTTAAGTGAACTGTTGAAGTGAATAGACTATTTAATCTCTATTTCAGGTGAGCGTACTTAGAAGAACTACAGATATGGTAATAATATATTCAAGTATGCTTCAAGTATACTCGTTTTAGTGCTGATCCTTTTAATTAACCTTAAAATAAAGTAATACTTTCAAGTGTGTCCATGGCGAAGAGATATAATGATTGAGCTAAAACTGTTAGTCTTCAAGATACTATATGATCGAAGTACACTATGTGGAACAGGAGATTCAGAAGCAAGAGAAGTTGTTAATGGCCAACCATTTTTGTAATGACAGAATGTGTGATTCGAGAACTCATCTACTATATTAATGTCTATATTACTATTCATTAAAAAATTAGTAATAAATTTTAAGTAGAAGTCAAAAGTTAAAGTACTATTTTATTTAATAACTTTTGCAATAAAATTGTTTTATTTATTTACAAAATGTATTATTCTAATTTTGTAGATTATATATATATATATTATATATACTTACATTAAGTAAAATTTGTTTATTCTTCAATTTCTTTTAGTATTTTTAGTACTAGCAGTACTAATGAACTAAAAAATTAAGACAAATTTTTTGTATACTAACATTCTCTGTTCTTATTGAGAGAAGCAATAGATTTCAAATCATCAAATCAAGTCAAATCATCTCCTTTATTTGAAGAAGGGTTTAGAAAATATTTAGCATATTGATGCCAGTCAAATCTTTTGCAGAGGGAGATCTCTATCATTATAGACAACAAGCAGATAGCATGCTAGACAAGTGCAGCTTGCACTCGCTTTGAACTTTGTAATATACGCCAACGGTGGACGCAGTAACACCACAACCATCACCTTTCTTTAGTCAGTGTTTAGTTACAGAAGCAATAAAAACTTCAAATAACAATGCCACAAAAATAAAATTCTCACAGGTATACAGGACCCCATTGCGAACCCCAATATGTGGCCGAAGCATCCATAGTAACTTCAAATGAAGAAATGTGATGAAAGAAACATCTTTTGTGTTATTATAGTTTCTACTTTGAGAAAAATACCAAAAAATAAGTATAGCCTTCTAGCTTCAGCAACTCGGAAAATAATATTCGATTGAAATGTAGGTGAGGTGGAGTGGGTTCAACTTAATTTTCTCATTGATACAAACGCTTACATTGCCATCCTATCAATATTCTATTTATGAAAACGCAAAATTCAAACATTAGTTGTTCAATTTTTTACAGCAAATTGATTCCATATCAAAACTTGAAGGCATTGGATTCTGCACTGGATTTTAGACTTCATCGAAAATTTGATTGAGAATTCGAAATAGGTGCTATTATAGGCACTGATTCTCTTGAACAAATGGGCTGCATCGTACATATTAAACTCAAGATACTAATGGTAATCTGATTGAGTATGCTATCTATGAACTTATATTTTCCATAAATCGCGATGACAACTATAGAAAGCTGTACACCCGATTTAAACATCTGACTAAGGCAACTTCATACTGTCAGAACGGCAGGTAATAGACTCTAACTACAGGTTAACTAGTGTTCTCTATAGTTCAACAATTCAATGTTCAACTTCAAGTTGCCGAAAATGAATTTGAGTATGTATTCAAATGTATGTTACAACAAAGTATTTGTGTTCCACTAACCCATAGATTAGTGCATTAGCGACCGTGCAGAGATTACCAATAATTATACGTATTTCGAGAGCCTACTATAACAGGAAGGTTGCTAAGTTGCTAAAGGAGAGAGCAACCGGAAGGTTGCTAAAGGCGACAGGTTGTAGACGTCCATCATTACACAATTCAGTCTATAAGAATTCAACATCGCGACATTTCTTTGAGTTTAGCAACGTTGTGCAAACGTTTCAAGGTAGAGATACATAACATACATAGACTTTGTAGTTATCATATTCGCTTTATATAAGTAGTGACATACAAAAATAATGTAAAAGGTTGGGGTATTCTTTTAATATTTAATTTAATGTTTTATAATTACTTACGATCTTTAAAAATGAATGTTAATTTTAATTTTTAAATTAATAAATAAAAATAAAATAAAAATAATTTAAATTAATGAATAGAATTTGTTCATTAATTAGTTAAAGAAATATTTTTGCTACTGAATAATATTATTAAACTTATTATAACGAATTGTTGTACACTTATAAATTATTTTTTAAATTTGTTTAAAAAGTAGGTCAATTGGCTCATTCTGTTATTCGATCTGTTCGAAAATGATAAATAAAAGACACGTGTGCAACTTTATAGAGCCACATAATAACTATAAAATCGTTATCCGCCGCACGTAACAATTTTTGCATATACAAATTTGTTATTGTAATATCACTTGTTATTCAAACTCGCACGATTCCCTGTACTTATGGACTTAATACTAGTATGCATGCAAAAATTATTATCAAAATGCGTAGATAAACAGAGCTATGATATGCAACATGTAAATACTCATAAGAAGTTACATATATATATACATCTTAATAAGTGATTCATATTTTAAAATAGTGATATATCAAATATATTTTAAAACATTTAACATAATTATTATTTTATTCATTTCTAAAATTATAAATCCTGAGACTGTACTTAATGTGTATACGAAATAGAAGCTTTTAATTTACATACATACAATATATTTTTATGTCACATATTATCAAATTATATATGAAACTGATCACATCGTGTTAAATTGTATATGAATGCTCTTTCCTTTATAAATCACATTTTAAATTTAATAAGCTTTCAGTACTGCTTTCGTGCTTTTTTCTTTTTGAAGTCAGAGAAGAAGCAAAATATCAAGCAATGTTATATGGGTACTGGCCTTTGTATCTCAAATAACGATGATATTAGGAAAAGCTTGACTTTATCAGTCAATCCTCAGAACAGATATTAGACAAAGACCTTGTGACAAGGAATAAGTTCACTTCTTCTGGCGGACACCAAAATTTTGATTTGTTAGCTGACAGGTAGAAAGGAGCTCAACTTGAATTAAAGAATGACTTACAAAATTTTTGATATGAAAGTGATCCTAATCGAAAAGTTAACTCTACTGTGAATAGTACAAATCTACAAATATATAATCATAACTTCACTGTTCGATGGAAGAACAACTAACTTGCTACAGCAAGCTGTACATTGAGATCGTTGGTAAACGTTACTGAGCCAATTAAATTAATAACCGAAATGGAAAAAATTGGTCATCAAATACCGAAGGACTT